GACGCGTTCGACTGGACGCGTACGTCGCGCTCGTGAAGCAGTCCGCGTCCGAGTCCCAGGGCGCGGGCGTCGGCGTCGGCCCGCTGGAGGGGCTGCGCGTGAACCTGGACCAGATCGTCGCGATCGCGAGCGCGATGACCGCGGACGAGAAAGCCGACCCCGGGCGGTTGAAGCCGCCGGCGTTGCGGAAGATCGCGAGTCGCGTGAGGTGCGTTCATACACTGGTCCCCATACGACCCCGTCGGCGTGGTGAACGCCGATCCTTAAGGACTTTCGCCGGCGCATCTCTCCGCCCAGGGTCCCTCGCTTTCAATCCCCGTCCTCGACGCCTTTCAACTCCGCTTCTGACGCCTTTGAAATCCACCCCGACGTCGCTTTGTATGGAACGACCCTGAGCCCGTCGTTCGGCGTCGGCGAGAAGGACGTGCGAGACGTCATCTACCAGGTCGCGATGATGCGAGTGACGTTCCGCCGCGTCGCGCGCGCGGTGAAGAGCGGCTCGAGCGCGATGCCGACGTCGCCGGAGGCGTTCGCGGCGATCGTGACGAAGAGCCAGGAGGAGAGCACTCCGGAGCAGAGAGTCGAGGACGCGAAGTCGCTCCGAGGCGCGTACGCGGGGAACTCGCCGTGCATCTGCGGGAGCGGTAAGAGGTATAAGAACTGCTGCGACGCGTGAGTCGTGCGGGTGTGCTTATTCGGGGAGGCGATGCGATGTCGTCGTGTGGCGATGAGGTCGCGCGCGATGAAGATAGAGTCGGTTCGCGCGGTAGTTTTAGTCGCGCGCGGGAGCGCGAACGGTGTTTTTTTTTATGCGAGCTCACTTTCGTCCCCAGTCGGTCAAAACGAGGGTCAACTTTTTTGACCCGTACCTCCCCGGGGTCAAACTGCCGGTCAACGATATCGGCACCCTCATCATTCGGATGACAATCGGCCGTCAACGCAACGCACGGTCCGAGAGAGACCGCAGAATCCCTTTCCGGAACGCATTGTCGGACGGCGCCCGACGCAATGAGCGCGGACCCGCCGCCGCCGGAGAAGCCGGCGGCGCCGAAGAAGATCCCGCTGTCGAACGCGCCGGCCGCGCCGACGGAGACCGAGGTCGCGAAGACGCCCGCGCCTCCTCCCGCGTCGTCGTCGGGGGCGAAGAATCCGATCCTCCACCAATCCAACAAATCGCCCCCCGGGACGAAGACGCCGCGCACGCCGCACACGCCAGCCCCAGGGTCCTCCGCGATGCCGCAACCGCGGCCTCCTCACCCCCGCCCCGACGGCCCGATGACGCTCACCGAGCTCGCGGTCCCGCTCCGGTCGCGGATATGGGACCTCACCGACGGCCGGCTCGTGAACGGCGAGTGGACGCGATACGATTGGAAGCCGAACGGGGACCTGAAGATCCTCGAGCCGTTCGGCGGCACCGTCGCGGAGTTCGAGACGGCGATGCGCACGGAGCTCGACCTCCCGGAGCGCGAGGCCCCCGGGGTGCAGTTCATCAAGATGATCGCGGAGCACGAGAAGTACAGGGACGCGCACAGTAACGCGACGAGGTCCGCGCCCGTGGTTGGATTATTCGGCGGCTCGCTCACGGGGGTCACCGCGCAGATGTGGGAAGTGCAGGACACGGAGGGACGCACGCGTCGGGAGTTCTCGGACGGGAGAGACGCGGAGGCGTACGTGCGGAAAAACGTGGAGATCAAGGTGACGAAGATGACGAACAAGATCAAGGCTGCGGCGGCGTTCACGAGCGCGATATCGGAGGATCAGCCGGGCGGGAAAGAATTGCGAGACGCCGCCAAAGCCGCCGTATCCGCGGCGGCGAAAGAAGAGGCCGCCGCCGCCGCTTCTAGCGCTTCAGGCTCTTCTTCCGGCCTGAAGTCGAACGTCGTGACGCATAAGGTGTGGACAAAGTACTGCGCGTTCGACTCCGAGGCTGCGATCGCCGTCGCGGCGGCGCGGCACACGCTCACCGCGGAGCAACTCCCGGCTCTCGATAAGCGTCTCGAAGACCTCGTCCGCGGGAAGACGAACGGCGAGCTGAAACCGCGGAAGAAGCGGCTGCGATCGCAGGTCCAAGACGCCGTGCAGGTGTTCGCGCAAGTCATCGAGGACGAGGACGGGATCTGCGTGTGCGATTTCATGAACGCGCTGACGCTGACGCCGATTCGCTCGACGCCGAAAGATTACGACGATTGGTCCGTCGACGCGAAGCTCGAGTGGAAGCGCAAGGCGTACTTCGAGACGAAAAACCTAAACTTCAAGCTCCTGAAGGACGAGCCCGTGGTCATGCTCGGCACCGCGCTGCAAATCATGCGCCCGCTGCGCCCGCGCGTGATCGTCGTCGTCGACCGCAGGACGATGGAGAACACGTTGCGTAACTTGCGCGAAGACGCGGCGAACGGCGGGAAAGGGCTGCGACACCTGTACCCCGCGATGGGCTGGGTCATCGTCCCGAACGGCACGGACATCGCGAAGGCCAAGGCGAGCTTCATGATCGCGCTCGCGAGGGTGCTGCACCGGCACTCCATCGGCGTCGTGTGCTCGGGCGGTCAAGGCGTGTTGAACCAGATGCATCTCTCGGCGTTGTGGGACGTCCCGATGATGGTCCTGCACGGCTCGGGGCGGATGTCGGACATCTGGATGAAGATGTGGCCGAAGCGGCTCGTGCAAGGGTTCGACGCGGATAACGTCCAGGACCTGTTGCAGGCGTGCGGTGGGTACCAGATCGACATGCAGAGCGCGCATCAGGTGCGTGAAATTTTGAAGAAGGGCAGCATCATGCTGCACAAAATCTACGAGAGCTCGAACGCGTTCGAACGTCTGTTCCGCATCGAGCTCAGCGGCGACCAGCTCATCGAGACCGCGCTCCGGCGCTTGTCCTCGTACGGCCGCACGATCAAGGTGTACGCCAAGTATAAGAAGCCGCTCGCCGCGATGGCGTTGTACGTCGGACTCGCGGCGACGTTCGCATCCGTGTTCGTGTCCAACATCGAGGTGTTCGGTTCAGACTCAAATCAACAGTACTCCAAGACGACGTTCACGTGGATCGCGGTCATCGCGCCCGCGATCCTCGTGATCCTGAACAGCATCGAGAACTTCGTGAACCTCAACTCGATGCTCGTCATCGCGGAGCGCGCCAAGGCGAAGGTCGAGTCGATGCTGCACATCTACCGCCTGCGCGCGTTGCAGTTCAGCGACAACTTCATCGACGACGAGCGCGACCGACGCGCGGAGCTGACGCGTCTACAGCGAGCGATAAAGCGCGGAGGCAAGCTCAAGCCGAAGGACCGCTCGCCGCGCACGAGAGTCCGCGCGGGCGGGATGGAGACCGACAGCGACGACAGCGACGGCGGCGGCGAGGAAGACGGTCAGGAGAGCGGCGACATCATCACGTCGCGTCAGGCGAAGCTCGCGCAGTTCCTCGAGCGGATCAACAAGGACTTCAGCGAGTCCGGCGCGGTGCTTCTCGAGCTGTCCAAGCTCGCGGCGCGGGGCACCGGCCCGTCGACGCGCCACCAGAACATGGAGGGCAAGGGTGTTCTGCAGTCGCTGAAGCACCGCCGTCGGGTCCCGTCGAAATCGCGCGCGCAGAGGCAGACGAGGCCCGTCGTGCCCGATCCCGACGTCGCCGACGACAGCGACGACGACTTGAACCCGAACATGATGTCGCCGCTGTCGATGCTCGACAGCATGACCGGGCCGATGGTGCGGAACCTGCATCAGGCGCAGGCGGACGCGCTGCGGGCGAGCGGGTTGCGAGACTTCCGAGGCGGCGAATACGGCGGCGACGTCGTGAGCGTTCCCGGCGCGCGGTTCTCGAGAGACGCGCAGACGGTGTTGGACGTCGATGGACGGCGCGTCGACGTCCCGGGCGTCGGGATTCGCACCGAGGGCGGCGGCGGCGTGACCGTCCCGGACACGCGCGCGCGGTTGCCTTCCAGCGGCGAGATCACCGACGCCGCGATGGACGCGGGGCCGATGACCGACGAGGACCGGCGCTCGATGGAGTTTCTCCTCCGTCGCGCGGGCGTTGACCCCGCCAACATCCCCGGTCTGCCGCGGTTCGACGGCCGGCAGATCGGCGCGGAAGGCGGGGAGTACGGCCTCGTTCCGCCGGTGAACTACGACCTGTTGACCCCGCGGTCGTTCGAGACCCCCGGGATGGAGCTCGCGCTCCCCGGGTACGACCTCGGGTTCGGCGGGACGGAGGTGCGTTCTACCTCACACTGGTTCCCATACGACCCCGTTCGCGTGGTGAACGCCGTTTCTTAAGGACTTTATCTCCCGGCGGGCGTTTCTCTCCGCCCAGGGTCCCTCGCTTTCAATACCCGCCCTCGGCGCCTTTCAACTCCGCTTCTGACGCCTTTCAACTCAACCCCGACGTTCGCAGTTTTCCACGCCGAGGGCGAAGATCCCCGACGGCGACGCCGCCGCGGACTATCTCGAGTCGCGCGGGCGCAGAGGGATCGACCGCGGCGCGAGAGCGCTTCGCAACCGCGCGCCGAAGACGCCGAGCTCGGTGCAGAAGCTGCGCGCGCGCGGGAAGGTGGCGGCGGCGAAGGCGGACGAGGCTGGGAGGATGTTCGGGCTGTTCTTCCCGCCGCCGAAAAAGCGGACGTCCGCGCAGGTCTGTACACTGGTCCCCATACGACCGCGTCGGCGATGTGGACGCCGTTTCTTGAGGACTTTTTCACCCGGCGGCGTCTCTCTGCGCCCAGGGTCCCTCGCTTTCAATCCCGACACACCTCGAAGCCTTTCAACTCCGCTTCTAATGCCTTTCAACAACTCCACCCCTATCTCTCGCAGGAAGCCGCGGCGGCGCGAGAGGAGCTCAAAGAGTTCGAAGAAAGCGCGTGGCAAGCGTCCACGCGCGAGTACGTCCGGTTCCGTCTCTCGCTCAAGCTCGCGGAGTTTCGAAGGATGCACGCGGTCTTATTCCGCCAGAGCCTCCTCATGCAGCTCATCATGTACCTGCTCAGGTGCGTTCTATACACTGGTCCCCATACGACCGCGTTGGCGTGGTGAACGCCGATCCTTAAGGACTTTTGCCGTCGTCTCTCTCCGCCCATCCCTCGCTTTCAATCCCCGCCCTCGACGCCTTTGAACTCCGTCTGACGCCTTTCAACTCCACCCCGACATTCGCTCGTATGGAACGGCCCCCAGCGCCGCCGGTTCGGTGCTCGCGACCATCGGCATGGCGGAGTGGGTCGCGCTCACCGTCGCCGTCGGCCAAGCCGCGCAGCAGTGGCTCCGAGAGAACCGCATCGAGGAGCAGCGCATCGCGTACCGGCAAGCCAGCGCGGAGCTCGCGGACGCGAAGATGAAGTGGGAGGCGGTGCCGATGGAGAAGCGCGCGATGCAGAGTAAGATCGACGAGCTCGTGTTGCGGGTCGAGACGGCTATTGTGAGCGTGGTTGAGCCGCTGCCGCAGTCGTGTAACTGCCCGAGCTTGGAGGTGCTCGTGGAGAGGAGCGAGAGCGCGGAGGAGGGGGAGGAGAAGAAGAAGGAAGGGAAGGGGTTGGAGATTTGATTTATTTATCGATTGATTGATTGATTGATTGACGACGGCGGCGGCGGCGGCGGCGGCGGCGGCGGCGCGAGATAATTATTTAATGTGACCACTCCACGTCCTTTCACCGCCGTTTCGTCGCGACAGTTTCGTCGACCGCCTCGATCCGATCGCCTCCACGGAGAGTCCGACTTCGATCGAGGCGCCGCGCGCCCTCTCGCGCCCTCCGAACGTCCCGCGCGTCGTCACTCTCCACGCGCGCGCCGCACGCCCTCGGCCTCTCTCTCCCGCCTCCCTCCTCTCCCTCGCCCCCGCGCCCGCCCGCGCGTCATGACGATCGACTTCTCCAAGAGCGGCGTCCCCCGCGCCGCGAACGCGTTCACGCTGCGCGACCTCCAGGAGACGTGCGTCGCGAAAGGCTTCAAGAAGGCGGACGCGGACTCGAGCAAGCCGCTCGCGCAGGTGGCCGACGTGCACACCTTCTTCACGTCTCTGGGCGTGACGTCCATGAGCACGTTCAAGAAGCGCTTCAACGAGGAGAAGCTCCCGGACCCGTACCCGGGGATGACGCCGCTGATCGCGGAGAAGGTAAGTGCGCGCGCGCGACGAACGACGACGAGCGAGAGGACGTCGCGACCGGTCGTCTCCCGCGAGGCGACCGAAGGACTCTTTTATTTTCGGAACCGCTTCTGTTCGAGACCAAAACTAAGACCAAAACCAAAACCAAAACCAAAACCAAAACCGCCGCCGCCGCCGCCTTCTGTTCCGCGCTCACCCCACCCCGCCCTCCGCCCCCCCCCCCTCCTCCGCGCGCGCGCAGGACAAGCCCAAGGTGGAGAAGATCACGTGGGACGTCCCCGACGTCAGCGAGTACTACACCCTCGCCGGGGAGTGGGAGAACATGAAGTGGAAGCTGCTCCCGAAGCCCGGCGGCGCCGTCATGAAGCCGGAAGACTGGCGCGTGCCGCCTCCTCCCGGTTTCCGCGCCAAACCCTGTACCCTATACCCTAAACGCGGACCCTAACCCACCTATACCATACCCCCAGGTACAAGATCTGGGCCGCGCAGCAGCAGGTCGAGAAGGGCGACAACCCCGAGCCCCAGCAGCCGATGTGGGCGGAGACGGGTGGGATGGACTTCACCGGCCGCGAGAAGTGGAAGGCGTGGATGGCGCTCCGAGGCGCGGACGTGCACCAGGCGAAGGAGGCGTTCTGCCAGTCGTACGGCCGCGCGATGGCGCCGGAGCGGAAGGAGATCAACTTCAGGAAGTACGGCTGAGACGACGACGACGACGAAGACAGGGTCGCGTCCGGCGGAGAGCGTTTCATTTTTTCGACTCCTCTTCCGAGTCCCGGCCACGCGATGAATGACAGCGACAGGAAACTTCACAACGACGACGTCCCGTCCCTCGCGCGCTCGTCCCTCCTCACTTCGCGATGCGTCGACGCGCGTGTGACGTCGCGGGGCGCCTCGCGCGCGGCGCGACGCGCCGCGCGGCGTCCTCATCCGGCGACGCGTCGTCGTCGTCGTCGTCCTCGGCGGCGAATTCGGCGGCGGCGCGCGTCGCCGTCGCCGCCGCCGCGAGGGACGACGGCCTGTCCCTCCGCGACTTTCTGCCGAAATCTTCGTCGTCGTCCGACGCGATCGCGTGCGGCGCCGCCGGGTCCGCGTCGGGCCAAAGCGCGATCAGGGTCCCCCCTCGCGCGGCCGGGATGAACGTGTCCACGTCATCATCCGATGCTCCGGCGTCGTCGTCGTCGCGCCCGGACGACGACCAGCGCCGTCGAACCGCGTTCATCGAGACGTACGGTTGTCAGATGAACGTCAGCGACAGCGAGATCGTCGCCTCCGTACTCCAGTCGAATCGCTACGTCGTCGTGGACGACGTCGACGCCGCGGACGCGGTGCTCGTCAACACGTGCGCGATACGCGACGGCGCGGAGGCGAAGATCTGGCACCGCCTGAGGCAGCTCAAGCGCGAGTGGAAGGACGCGAAGAGTCGCGCGATTCGATCCGCGCTGAGACGCGGCGAGAAGCCGCCCGCGGGAGGTGCGTTCTATGTCACACTGGTCCCCGTGCGACCGCGTCGGCGTGGTGAACGCCGATCCTTAAGGACTTTTCCCGTCGTCTCTCTGCGCCCATCACCCCTCGCTTTCAATCCCCGACCCTATGACGCCTTTCAACGCCAACTGACGCCTTTCAACTCCACCCCGATATCATCGCTCGTATAGACGCGCCCGTCGTCGGCGTGCTGGGATGCATGGGCGAACGTCTGAAGCACAAGCTGCTCGAGACGGACGGCCTCGCGGACCTCGTCGCGGGGCCGGACGCGTACAGGGACCTCCCGCGGTTGATCGACGTCGCGCGCGGTGCGTGGAGCGGCGGCGGAAGCGTGGAGGCGGCGATCAACGTCCAGCTCAGGCGCGTTTTGTCGTACGCTGGCTCCGCGTCGGCGTCGTGAACGTCGATCCTGAAGGACTTTGCTCCCCGGCGGCGTCTCTCTCCGCCCATCGCCCCTCGCTCACAATCCCGACACACCGCGACGCCTTTCAACTCCGCCCCTGACGCGCCTTTCAACTCCACCCCGACGTTCGTCGCTTTGAACGATGGAACGCACCTCATCAGCGAGGACGAAACCTACGCGGATGTGAAACCCGTCCGCGCGAACGACGCGGGGCCTTCCGCGTTCGTGAGCATCATGCGCGGGTGCAACAACATGTGCGCGTTCTGCATCGTGCCGTTCACGCGCGGGAGGGAGCGGTCGCGGCCGAGGGCGTCCATCGTGGACGAGGTGAAGAGGCTGGTCGACGAGGGGAGGAAGGAGGTGGTGCTGCTGGGGCAAAACGTCAACTCGTACGCGGACGCTTCGGGCGCGTTCTATCTCACACTGGTCCCCATACGACCGCGTTCGCGTGGTGAACGCCGATCCTTAAAGACTTTTCTTCCCAGCGGCGCATCTCTTCGCCCAGGGTCCCTCGCGTTCAATCCCCGCCCTCGACGCCATTCAACTCCGCTTCTGACGCCTTTGAACTCCACCCCGATATCATCGCTCGTACGGACCGTCGACCTCCAGACGGCGGGGTCGCGATCGGGCTCAGAGCGGGCGCCGCTACTACCGGTGAAAGGGGAGACGCGACGTCGTCGTCGACCGCGACCGCGGAGGACGCGTTCGGGACGTACTACGCGAGAGGGTTCAAGTCCGTGTACAAGCCGGGGGCGCGGCGGGAGAACGCGTTGCTCTTCGCGGAGCTTCTCGACGAAGTCGCCGGCGTCGACCCGGAGATGCGCGTCCGCTTCACGTCGCCGCACCCGAAGGACTTCCCCGACGACGTCTTGAACGTCATCGCGTCCAGGCCGAACGTGTGCAAGCAGCTGCACATGCCCGCGCAGAGCGGCAGCACGACCGTGTTGGAGCGCATGCGGCGCGGGTACACGAGGGAGGCGTACGTGGATCTGGTGCGCCGCGCGCGCGAGCGCGTTCCGGGCGTCGCCGTCTCGAGCGACTTCATCAGGCGCGTTTTGTTCTAGTTAGTATCACACTGGTCCCCATACGACCCCGTCCGCGTTGTTGTGAACGCCGTTCCTCGTGGGCCAAAGTCTTTCTCTCCCGGCGTGCGCATCTCTCCGCCCATCACCCCTCGATGGTATGGTTTCAATCCCGACGCGCCGCGACGCCTTTCAACTTCAACCGACGCGCCTTTCGACTGACTCCGCCCCGACTTCACCATACAGCGGCTTTTGCGGGGAAACGGAGGACGAACACGCGGACACGGTGTCGCTGATGAATCTCATGCGATACGAGCAGGCGTTCATGTTCGCGTACAGCATGCGAGAGAAGACCGCGGCGTCCAGGCACCTGGTGGACGACGTCCCCGAGGAGACGAAGAAGCGGAGGCTGGCGGAAGTGATCGCCGCGCAGCGCCGGGGGTGCGTTCTATCTCACATTGGTCCCCATACGACCGCGTGGGCGTGGTGAACGCCGATCCTTAAGGACTTTTGCCGTCGTCTCTCTCCGCCCACCCCTCGGTTTCAATACCCGCCCTCGACGCCTTTCAACTTCAACTGACGCCTTTCAACTCCACCCCGACATCGCGACAGCGCGGAGGAACGAAACGCCGACGAAATAGGCGTCACGCACCTGGTGCTGATCGAGGGGACGTCGAAGCGGTCGGACGCGGAGTACACGGGGCGGACGTGCACGGGGAAGCGCGTGATCGTCACCGCGGCGAGAACGCGCGAGGCGTACGCGCGACGACAACGAACCCTGGGTAATAAGGGAGAGGCGTCGTCGACCGCATCCGTATCGTCGCGCGAGGACCGCGACTACTACGGAGGCGTCGGGAGCGACGTGGACGTGACCCCGGGCGAGTACGTCGCGGTGCGCGTCGAGAAGGCGAACGCGTCGACGTTGTTCGGATCGCCCGTCGCGCGGACGACCGCGGCGGGGTTCCACGCGCTGCACGGCGCGTCGTGGTGGGCGGGAGGCGGGGAGCCGCGATAGCGGCGCGGCGTACGGCGCGGCGCGTAGTCATCGTATTTATCGTATACCTTCGTACCCTCGCTCGTTACCTTCGAGGTACTGTGAAGGTACAGCAGCGCTCCTGATAGCGTTCGGAGTATCACGCTACGTACGTATTGATCCGTCCACACTCAGCATCACGCGATGACGCGCACGCCGCGCGCCTCGAACTTCCGCTTCACGCTCGCGATCGTCTCTCTCGACGGCGTCCGCCCCCCTCGCATCGGGTACGTTACTCCCATCTCTTTCCACTTGTACTCGCCGAACCTGTGGTACGGCAAGAGCTCCACGCCCTGGACGTTCGCGTGCGCGTCGCACAACGCCGCGACGCCGGCGATCTCGTCGTCGCCGTCGGTCGCGATGGCGCGGAAGAACGCGGCTCGATCCTCGGGCGGCGGCGGCGTCGGCGGCGGCGTCGGGCCGGAAGAACCGCCTACTAAGGGCCGTTCCATACGAGCGATGATTTCGGGGTGGAGTTGAAAGGCGTCAGAAGCGGAGTTGAAAGGCGTCGAGGACGGGGATTGAAAGCGAGGGACCCTGGGCGGAGAGACACGCCGGGAAAAGTCCTTAAGGATCGGCGTTCACCACGCGAACGCGGTCGTATGGGAACCAGTGTGAGATAGAACGCGCCTAAATCCTCGTCCTCCGGCGCCCATCGCTCCGGCGGCGACATCAGCACGAACCGGATCCACGTCTCGATCCCCCGCGCTCGCGTCGCGGCCAAGAAGCTCAGCATCTGTCTGAACGGCCGGTCGTCCGCGGACCCGGTGATGCGCGCGTGCTTACTCGCGATGGAGCTCTTGACGCACAGAAGGACGAGGTCCACGCGCGGAAGGACGACGTCCCACCCGGCGCTCGTGCCCCCCGCCGCGGTGTCGATCGCGGCGGTCAGTCCTCTCGCGCGCACGAGATCGCAGAGCTCGGCCGCGAACGCCGGCTGCGATCGCGCGGACGGAAAAGGAGAGAGGGTTTAGGGTTTAGGGTTTAGGGTTTAGGGTAGGGTTTAGGGTTTAGGGACGAAGCGGGGAGTCGTAAGGGGGGGTACGGCTCGTGCGAAGCGCGAGAGGGGACGGACGGGACGCTCGAGACGCGACGACGACGACGACGCGCCTGCAACAGCGGCTCGCCCCCCGACAGCGTGATCCCGCCGCCGCTCGCCGCGTAATACCGCGCGTTCCTCTGTATCCGCGTGAAGACCTGCTTCGCCGTCATGGACGCGCCCGAGCGCGCGGACCAGCTGTCTGGGTTACAACAGAAAACACAGCGCTTCTCGCACCCTTGCAGGAACACTATCGCGCGTATGCCGTGCCCGTCCACCGCGGTGAAGCTGTCGACGCTGTGCACGCGGCCTCGGACGTCGCCCAGGTCCTCGATGTCGCGCGGCGCGGGCGGCGGGCGGGGGGATGAGGACGTCTTCATCGCGGGGTCGTCTTTTCGGTCTTTTTCTCGACGGCGCTCGTCGTCTTCGTCCGCGGTCTTCTTCGCTCGCGTCGGGGCGTCGTCGCGCCGCGTCGCCGCGGACGCCCCCGCGGCGCGCGGCGTCGCGTCGTCGTCGCGGTCCATCGATCGATCGTTCGTTCGTCCGTTCGCCGGCGACGACGCGCGCGCGCGAGGGACGCGGCCGCCGACGACGACGACGCGCGCGCGATAGAGACGCGCCTCGGACGCCTCCGAAACCTTTTCCCTCCCGCGCGAAAGACGCGAGGCGTGGAGTGGATCACGCGCCTCGCGCCAGGCTGCAAGCCGGGCGGTCTCATCACGTGTCCGAGTCATCATCAATCTCTCTGCTGCAGATAACGAGAGAAGAGATTCTGTTCCGTCGCTCTGATCCGCGCACACTGACGCCGCACCACCGACGCGCGCACGGTACGTCTCGACGCGTTCGCGTCGCGCGCCGTCCCCGCGCGCGCGTCGCGTCGCGATCCCGCGCGATTCGCATCGCTCGCGCGCGTTCGTCCGCCTCTCCGAGCGCGCGATCCGAATTGAATCCGAACCGCGCTCGTCGTCATTAACGATCGATCTCCTTCCTCTTCCCCCGCATTCAACATCCATCCGCAGACTTCATCCGTCCCCGCGCGCTCGCGCTCTCTCGACCACCGTCAAGCCACGCTCGCAGAATGGCCGCCTCCGCACTCAACGCGTCTTCGGTTTTCCTCGGCTCGCGCGTCGCGACCCCGTCGACGCGACGCGCATCGCGATCCAAGCGCGCCTCAAAAGTCGCCGTCCGCGCGAAGCAGTGCGAAGAGTCCGACCTGATGGCGAAGTACCCCGAGGGCGGACCCGTGTTCAGGGTGTCCATCGACTGCACCATGGGCACGAACAGCACGGGGATCGTCATGAAGGAGGGCGACGAGGGACGGCCGGAGGTGAGCGCGATTCGACCGGGCGGGACCGCGAAGAACAAGCTCAAGGTGCGCGCGGCGCGCGACGGACGGACGTCCCAGCCCTCGGTTCTTTTTCGAGAGGATTCTTACTCTTTCTCTTTCGTCGAAATTGCCGCTGCGATGATGCGTCGCGCGCGAACCGAACACATCGTGACGACTGACCGATCGATCGATCGCGCCCGCCTCACCCTCTTCATCTTCCTCTTCCCCTTCCCCTTCCCCGCGCGCAGATCGGCGACGTGTGCCTGGGCGTGACGTACACGGAGCTCGTCGCCGACCCAAACAACAAGACGCTAAACTGGGGCACGCCGCAAGTCGGATGGTTCGACACGGAGGGCGAGAAGTACCAGGTGTCCATCGCGGCGATGGAGACTAACTCTACGACGCTCGACATGATCATGTTCCGGCCGGAGTGATGAGCGACGCCGTGAGTCATCGCGCGACGACGGACGGACGGACGGACGGACGGCGAAGAAGAAGAAGAAGAAGAGGAAGAAGAAGAAGAAGAGGAAGATACATCGCCCGCGCGGCGGGTACAGTATTTATGATCGATCGTCGTCGACGACGATCGCCCGCGCGGGTACAGTATGTATTTTTAATCGATCATCATCATCAACAACAACACGATATGATAGTGTACCAACAACTCGTTCGCGACTACAGTGAGGTTTACCCTATGACGCGCGCGTCCGTCGCGCGAAACAATAATCATCGCTCCCCCCCCCTTGAAACCTCAACCTCAACCTCGACCTCAACCTCCTACCACCCGAGCGCCCTCGCCACCGTCCCGAACAGCGCGCCGTCCGCCGCCGCCACGACGCCGTCGACGTTCCCCGGCGCGCCTCTCTCTTCCCCGCCGTACGCGTACGCGTTCCCGCGCTTCGCGTCCACCAGCCACCCCCCGCGCCCCACCCCGCCCGGCGTCTGCAGCGCCCGCAGCAGCGCCTCCCCCGCGCACGTGTCCCACCGCTTCGTCCCCGGCTTCGGGAACACCCACGCGTCGACGCAGCCGTCGAGCATCAGCGCGATCTTACCCCCCGCGCCGCCGACGCGGACGACCGCGTCGGGTTTCAGACGCTCGATCGCGCGCTCGATCGCGGGGCCCGCGTGCGACCGCGTCGTCGCGACGGTGAGCTTGAACGCCGACGCGTCGGGCGCGCGCGCGGGCGGATGCACGGGCGTCGCGGCGAGCGCGCCGCCGTCGCCGCCGAACTTCTTCGTCGTCGGGGCGTGCGACCACACCCCGAACCCGACGCCGCCCCACAGCGTGCGTCCACGGTCGCCGCCGACGAAGGGTTGGTGGATCACGCCCGCGACGGGGACGCCGTCGACGGCGATGCCGATGAGCGACGTCACGCCGCCGCGGTGCTCCGGTCCTTCGACGTACTCCCTGGTGCCGTCCAGAGGGTCGACCCACACGGTTATCTCGCCGCCCTGTCCGCCGCCGGACGACGACGAATTCGTCGTCGGTAACTGAATCTCCCACGCCGCCACCTGCGCGGCGGCGACGTCGAGGTCCTCCATCGAGATCGCCTCGTCGACGACGTCGCCGTCGCCGCCGGGGTTCTCGTCGAGGGCGCCCTCGAGAGCTTCCTCGCCCAGCACGACGACGGCGTCGCCAAACTTTCGACGCAGCGCGTCGCAGATCATCCGCTCCGAGCGACGGTCCGCCGCGGTCTGCGGGTCCGTCGCGAATCCGTTTGATGATTTGACCGCCGTTTGCCCGCCGTTTGCCGCCTTGTCCTTCACGCGCTTTTCGCCGCCTTTCCCGCCAAAAGAAGTAAAACAATCTTCTCCGGAGGACCCGGACGCGACGTCGCGTATGATCCCCCCCGCGACGTCCGCGAGCAGCAGCGAGACGCCCAGCACTTCCGCGACTGTGGTGTGGTAAGAAAAGGAGTTCATTCATCGGTCAGTCAAAAGGGACCACCGATCAACGCGGTCAAACGTTGAAACCACGCGAAGGGAAAAGCGTTCGCGGTGTACGACACGACGACGCGCCTGTTTTCCGCGTCTCGTTTCTCTCCGCGGCTTTCGCTCTCGACTCCATCGCGTCCAGCGCGCGCGCGGCTTTGCGAACGAGCCACGTCAGGTGCGGCATCGACCGACGCGCGATGCCGTAATTTTGCTTCGGCGCGTTGTGCGCCATCCGCTCCGGGGTCAACTCCCCGAACACGCTCCCCGCGCAGTACCTGAGGATCGAGGGTCCACACGAGCGATGATGTCGGGGTGGAGTTGAAAGGCGTCAGAAGCGGAGTTGAAAGGCGTCGAGGTGTGTGCGTCGGGATTGAACGCGAGGGACCCTGGGCGGAGAGAAACACACTCCGTGAGAGAAAGTCCTTAAGGATCGGCGTTCACCGCGCCGACGCGGTCGTATGGGGACCAGTGTGATACTAGCTAGAACGCGCCTGAGATAATCCGCCGCGTGCACGTCCAAATCCTCTCTCAAATCCGTCGCCGTGAACGCGTCCGCGGCGGCGTGATGCCCGCGCGCCCTCAGCCGTCGCGTCAACTCCGCGTGGTACGCCTCCACGAGCTCGTCCACGCGCGTCAGAGCGTCCATGGACAGCGACGTCGCGAGAAAGTACAGCAGGTCGTGCGCGACGGCGCCGGGCCCGACCCACTGCCAGTCGATCACCACCGGATCGGGATCGGGGTCGCCCTCCGCCGCGGGGTCGGACGCGTCGACGGCGTGTATCGGGAAGATGACGTTCGCGGCTTTCAGGTCGCCGTGCACGAGCGTCTGAGGGTCGAGGGTCCATACGAGCGAACGTCGGGGTGGAGTTGAAGGCGTCAGAAGCGGAGTTGAAAGGCGTCGAGGTGTGTCGGGATTGAAAGCGATGGGTGGACAGAGAGATACGCCGGGAAATGTCCTTAAGGATCGGCGTTCACCACGCGAACGGGGTCGTATGGGGACCAGTGTGGTAACAGAACGCGCCTGCGCGCCTCGGCGGTTCGCCGCGCGCGAGATGGCGGGCGCGGCGGCGGCGAGCCGCGCGCCGACGTCGCGGTGCTCGATCAGCGTCGGGTCCTCTGGAAACGCGGTCACGAGCTTGTTCCACTCCGAGACGATGCGCGGGACGTCGTCGACGCGCTTCTCCAGGGTCCAGTACCCGCCTCTCGCCCACAGATTTTCAAACGCGGACGGCGGCGGGGAGTCGCTCAGGCCTCTCCAGTGCCGCGCGTGGAACGCGCCCTGCCAGCGAACGATTCGCATCGCCTCGTCGAAGGTGAGTCCCATCTTACACGCCGCCGCGTCCGCCGCCTCCTTGTCGACGTGCAGAAGCGATGTCGGGGTGGAGTTGAAAGGCGTCAGTTGAAGTTGAAAGGCGCCGAGGGCGGGGATTGAAAGCGAGGTGTGGGCGGAGAGAGACGCCGGGAGAAATCCTTAAGGAATGGCGTTCACCACGCGAACAGGGTCGTATGGGCACCAGTGTATAGAACGCACCTCGTGAACTTCGCCCAAACGCCGCGCCCCCGCCGCGCTTCGGTCGCCGCCGTGCGCGTCGGACATGACGATTACGAACGCGTCGCCGTGATGGTCGCCCTCGACGAGCGTCGTGCTCGGGATCGCCCACCCGTCCGCGGCGGGATCGTACGTCACGCACGGCGCGCGACTCGAGTCGTTTCCGCGCGCCTGGGGTGAAGTTCATAGGCGTCAGTCGGAGTTGAAAGGCGCCGAGGGCGGGTATTGAAAGCGAGGTGTGGGCGGAGAGACGCGCCGGCGAAAGTCCTTAAGGATCGGCGTTCACCACGCCAACGCGGTCGTATGGGGACCAGTGTATGAACGCGCCTCCACGACGTCGCGATAAAACGCGCACTCGTTCGCGAACGATCTGCGCGTTCGATCGCGCGCGGCGTCGTCCCTGAACGTCACGACGTTCAGGTCCACGGTCTTGATGACCAGGTGCTGGAACGCCGTCGCACTTCTGGAAGCGGCGGCGGCGGCGGCGGCGGCGTCGTCCTCCTCGCGCATGTACGCGGGCGGCCCGCGCGTGCGCACCGTGACAGGGATCGCGCACGCGTTCGGCTGAACGACGATCGCGTCGTGATGCACCTCGACCGCTCGCGCGAGGACGCCGCCGCGCTTGAGCGCGTCGAGGACGAACGCGTCGAGGTTCACGGGGACCGCGTTCGGCATCGCTAGTGCGGCGGCGGCGGCGGGGTGGGGCTTCGCGGAGTTCGCGGGCGGCGCGCGGTCGGATGAATCCGCCGAGTGCGGACCGCCGTCCGCGGCGGTGCCCTCCCCGCCGCTCGACGCGACGCCGCGCGGATTCGACGCGGCGCGAGGGACGACGCGAGACGACGCGGTCGCGCCGCTGCGCCGCGCGGGGCGCGGAGGCGACGGAGAAGCGCCGGCGCGCGCGCGAGTCGGCCGAATGTCGCGAGGACGCGCGCGGCGGCGCGCGCGGGTGTGCGAGCGCGGCGTCGACGCGTTTTGATGAGCCGAGTAGTCAGGTGCCGGCTCCGCGCCGCGTCAGCTCCTGTCCTGTCATTTGCACCTGTCCGTGTCCGCAGCACAATTTTCGGGTGCGTTCTACGTTGCAAACGTATTTCACCCATCGGTCGGTTTCAACACTTGATCGCATCTCCTTTCAACTGACCGATGAAAATTGTTTTAGTGCGAGGCGTGAACGACGCGACGACCCTCATCAGACGTTACGGCTCGAGAAAACGCTTCGCCTCCCCACATCGCCCATCGCGCGAAGGCGCGTCGAACCGCGCGAGCGGCGCCGGCGATGACGACGCGCGGCGACGCCGCCGCCGCCGACGCCGATCGCGCGTCCCCCTCCTCCTCCTCCTCCTCGATGGCGACGGCGACGGCGACCGATCCGTTCGCGATCCTCGGCGTGGACCGCGCGACCGCGGACGCGTCCATCGCTCGCGCGTCGTTCCGCGCGCTCGCGCGGCGCGCGCACCCGGACAAGGGCGGCAGCGCGACCGCGTTCGACGCGCTGCGCGTCGCGCTCGATCGCGCGCTCGAGGAAATCGAGATCGCGCGCGGCGGCGGCGGCGGCGGCGGCGGGGACGGCGCGCGTCGGTACGACTGGCGCGCGGGGAAGGCGACGAGGCGCGATGATGAGGCGAGCGCGCGACGCGAGACGACGCGACCGACGCGAACGCCGATTCCGCCCTCTCAGCGCTCGCCCCAAACCGCCGCCGCCGCCTTTGAAGCGCCGCCGCGCGTCCGACCGAGCGCGCGGCACGTCTCGTCGCACGCCGTCGTCGCCGTGGCGTGCAGCTCGGCGTCCGCGGGAGGAACGCGAGGGGCCGGGCTCGTCGCCGCGGCGTCGCTCGCGGGGGGCGTCGTCCTGTGGGATCCGGCGACGGGGAAGATCCTCGACGTGAACGACGGAGCCTTCGCGTCGGAGAAAGATGTGTCGGAGAAAGAGTCGGAGAAAGATTCGTCGCCGGCGAATGATGAAGAGACGCGTGGACCCTCGACGAATCGCGTCGCGTTGGACGTGTGGTTCTCCGATGGCGGCGACGTCCTCGCGTGCGCGTTCGCGGACGGCGGCGTCCGCGTGTTCGACGTCGGCGGCGGCGGCGGCGGCGGCGGCGGTTCGAATTCCACCGGTTCGAAGAATCTGAATCTGAATCTGAATCTGAATCGTCACACGGATCTGAAGGGCCACGCCGAGCGCGTCACCTCGCTGTGCTTCGCGCGCGGGGACGCGATCGTCGTCACGGCGAGCGCGGATCGAACCGCGAAGGCGTGGCGCGTGCGAGACGACGCCACCGGACGACTCGTCGCCGCCGCCGCGACGCGTCCGTTTCTGGATATGAACCGTCACGCCGCGGCGCTCACGTGCGTTACGCCGTGCGGGTATGGACCTATCAGCGGGCAACACGTCATCACCTGCGACGCGCGCGGAGGGTGGAGGGTATGGTCCCTAGTCACGGGGAAGTGCGTCAAGAAGACGACGTGGGGCGGCGACCGAGGCGCGGACGGCATCACGAAGTGCGTCGCGCTTCCTTCGAAACCCACTTCCTCGAAACAAGAACAAACGAAACGCACCGATGAAGAGCTTTACGACGAAGGCGACGACGACGACGACGACATCGTGCGGTTCGCGACCGCGCACTACTACGTCGACGAGGACGCGAGCAGGATACTCGTTTGGGAGGTGTCCCTCGGCGAAAGCCCTTCTCCGTCGCGGCGGGTGTGTCCCACGCACTGGTCCCCATACGACCGCGTTCGCGTGGTGAACGCCGATCCTTAAGGACTTTGCCCGGCGCGTCTCTCCGCTCACCCCTCGGTTTCAACGCCCGACCTCGGCGCCTTTCAACTCCAACTGACGCCTTTGAACTCCAAAGGTGGACGGCTACGTGCTCGAGATTCCCGGGAGAGGCCGGACGCTCGACGGCAGAGTCTCGGACGCGACGCTCGCGGTCCGACCGACCGCGCGCGCGCTCGGCGGGCGGGAGCCACGTTCAAATTCAAATTCAAATTCGACAGATTCGACAGACGACAGCTCGGACTCGGACTCGGACCTCGACGACGGCGTCCTCCTCGCGTGCGGCTCGCGCGGGTGGATCGCCGCTCGCGGCGCGTCCACCGCGTCGCCGCTCTACGCGCTCGACCGCGAGCACCCCGTGACGGTTCAAGTTTTTAAGGGTAAAGGATATGAACCGTCGCACAGCGTCCACAGGGTGGTGACGTCCCCGTGCGGGAGGTTTTTCGCGTCGTGCGGCGAGGACGGCGCGGTGGGCGTCTTCGACGTCGCGGACGGCGAGCGCCTCGCGTCCTTCGCGCCGTACCAGGTGCGTTCTATACACTGGTTCCCATACGACCGCGTTGGTGTGGTGAACGCCGATCCTTAAGGACTTTGCCCGGCGTCTCTCTCCGCCCACCCCTCGCTTTCAATATCTGCCCTCGGCGCCTTTCAACTCCATCTGACGCCTTTCAACTCCACCCCGACGTTCGCTTGTCTAGAACGGCCCAGAGACGGACGAGACTAAAAACGCGTATAGCGGCGGTTGTTCGACGACTGCCACCACGACGACGACGTCCCCGGTCAACGCGCCCGTGCGCGCGCTGGCGTGGACGCGCGACGGGAAGCGCGTCGTGAGCGGAAGCAGGGACGGCGCGTTGACCGCGTGGGACGTGGAAGCGCTCGCGACGAAGAAGAGAAGATGACTTAGACGACGGGAAGAATGTACTGAATGTTTTTTTTTTTCCATCAGGTCGGGTCGGGTCGCGTCGCGTTCGGCGACCCGGCCAGCGGTCGGTCGCCATCACATCACGCCTCCATCGCCGACGACCGCGCGTACACGAACACCTGGTTTCTCTCCTTCCCCACTCGCGTCACCCGCAGCGTCTCGTCCACGTACGTGACGCTCGCCTGGGCTTCGTTCTTCCCCCCGTCGGCGGCGCCCGTCAGCGCCGCGAACGCGTCCGACGTCGGCACGACGACGCCTGAGTTCGTTTTATGATTGGCGGGCGACGTGGCGGGAAGTGATGTGATTGATGAGTGGTTTGATGACGTGGCGTGCGTGGACTTTCATTGGACGGTCGAGAGCGACGAAGAGGGCGAAGGGCGAAGAGAAAGTAAGTCCTCGAGGGAGGAACGGCGTCGCGTCGGGACCGGCGTGATAAACGAACGAGTACTCGTAGGACGCGCCTTCGAGCAGCCCCGCGCCGACGTTGCTGTTCCGTATCCGCGTCGTCCGCGGCGCGACCGCGATCGTCTCCTCGTCCACGACCCGCACGTTCGCGGCGGAGACGACGACGCCGCTTATCCCGCTCAGCGCGCCGAAGAACGGGTCGAAGATCTTCATCTCCACCTCGGAGACGAGCTCGCCTGAGGGTCGTTCGGGGTGGGTGGAGTTCAAAGGCGTCAGAAGCGGAGTTGAAAGGCGTCGAGGTGTGTCGGGGATTGAAAGCGAGGGGTGATGGGCGGAGAGGTGCGCCGGGCGAAGTCCTTAAGGATCGGCGTTCACCACGCCGACGGGGTCGTACGGGGACCAGTGTGATGAGATGGGACGCGCCCGACTCGAGGTTGACGATCTGCTTGATGGCGCCGAACGGCCCCGCGGTCCCAGCGACCGGGAGTCCCGCGGTGAACTTGAACACGCCGTTCGCGAGATCTTCCCCCCCCGGGATCGCGTCTTGGAACGCCCAGAAGAACGGCGACGACCGGAACGCCTCGACGTTGGCGTAGACGAGCGTCCACTCGCCGTCGATGGCGGACGCGGGATCGGTCGTCGGGTTCATGAATTCGAGCTCGGTCACGACGTCCTCGACTGACGCCCTCGTATCGCGCGTGTCCTGCTGCCCGCGCGAGGACGCCGCGGCGAGGGCCATCAGGCGGCGCGTCAACGCCGCGCGCGCCTCCGCGTCCGGGTCTTCTTCTTCTTCCTCCTCCTCCGCGAGCGATAGCGGCGGGGGAGACGGCGACGGCGACGGCGACGGCGACGGCGCGTCGACGACGCCGTCGCCGGACGCGTCCGCGCGCGGCGCTCGCGCGATGGCGACGCCTCGCCGGGAGGACGCGGGGAGGACGACGCGCGGGGACGACCTGGCGCGCGCGGTGGCGTGATGGACGACGACGCCGCGCGAGGCGGCGGCGGCGACGGAGGGACACGCGCGCATCGTCGTCGCGGCGGGTGGCGAGTGGAGCGCGCCTGCGAAACGTCGTTCTGAGCCTCTCGCTGCGCTGGGCTGGGATCTGATCGGCGATCGGAGCGCGGACGAGATCGATTGACCGACCGCGTGCGGGGTCAATCAGAACATTCTCATCAAAAGTTCATCGGTCACTTGAAAGAGGACGCGATCAAATGTTGAAAGCAACGCTAGATCTGAAATGTCAACTCTCTCGAACGAATCGACGCCCCCCCCCCCTCCATTGGATCTCGCGCGCCGCGGTCGAACGCGACGCGGTCGCGATGCACGTCACCGTCACGACCGAGGACGACGCGATCGTCACCGTGGACGTCGACCCCGCGACGGTCGTGGAGAACCTCAAGGCGATCTTAGAGGCGGAGACGGACGTCCCGACGCGCGAGCAGGTGTTATTATTCAACGGCGGCGAGCTCGCGAACGACGACGTCCTCTCCGCGAAGAACGTCGGCGAGGGCGACCTCCTGATGCTCCTGCGGAAGCGCGGAGGAGGAGGCGGGGGCGTTGGCGCCGCCGCGAATGGCGCGAACGATAACCCGACGGCGATGCGCCCCGACGGCAGCGCGGTCGACCCCGCGGCGTTCCAGCGCGCGATCCGCGCGGACGCGCACGCGATGCAGTCGCTCCGCGCGAACAACCCGTCGCTCCATGGCGCCATCCTGAACGACGACCCGAGCGCCATGCAGCAGATGTTGCGCGACGCGGCGACGGCGCGGAAGCGCGCGGAGGACGCGCGACAGGCGGAGATCGACCTCCTGAACGCGGACCCGTTCGATCTGGACGCGCAGAGGAAGATCGAAGAGGCGATTCGACAGAAAAACGTGGACGAGAACTTCGAGACGGCGATGGAGACGACGCCGGAGGCGTTCGGGTCGGTGATCATGCTGTACGTGGACATGGAGGTGAACGGACACGCGCTGAAGGTGTTCGTGGACAGCGGCGCGCAGATGACGATCATGAGCTTGGGATGCGCGATTAGATTGGGATTGGAGCGACTCATCGATAAGGTGCGTTCTATACAAAAGTTTTTCACCCATCGCCCAGTTTCAACACTTGATCGCGTCCCCTTTCAACTGACCGATGAACTATTTTTGTATGGAATGGCCCTAAGAGATGGCGAGGCGTCGCGAAGGGCGTCGGGACGCAGAAGATCATCGGGCGCGTGCACCAGGCCCCGATCACGGTCGCGGGGAGCATGATGCCGTGCGCGATCACGGTGTTGGAGAAGGAGCAGGACATGGACTTCATCTTCGGGTTGGACATGTTGCGAAGGCACCAGTGTCAGATCGATCTGAAGGACAACGTGTTGCGACTCGGGACGATCGAGAAGGCGATTCCGTTCTATACACTGGTTCCCATACGACCCCGTTCGCGTGGTGAACGCCGTTTCTTAAGGACTTCGCCCGGCGATTCTCTCCGCCCACCCCTCGCTTTCAATACCCGCCCTCGGCGCCTTTCAACTCCAACTGACGCCTTTCAACTCCACCCCGACGTTCGCTCGTATGGAACGGCCCTAAGGCGATTCCGTTCTTGGGCGAGAGCGAGCTGCCGTCGTTCGCGAAGGCGATGGGCGAGCCGGAGCCGGAGGAGGCGGCGGGAGGGGCGGCGGCGGCGGCGGCGGCGGCGGCGGCGGCGGGCGGTGGTGGTGGTGTCGGCGGCGGCGGCGGCGGCGCGGCGGCGGCGCCGGCGCCAGCTGGCGGCGGCGGCGGCGGCGACGCGGAGGGTAAGGTGGCGAAACTGATGGAGCTCGGGTTCGACCGCGCGAAGTGCGTGGAGGCGCTGCAGGCGTGCGGGTGGAACGAAGAGCACGCGGCGTCGCTGCTGTTCTCGGGGGGATTCTAAAATCGACGCGCAGAAGTGCCGCGGGCGCGACGACGCGATAAACATGTGAAAGAGAAACTTGAACAGCTCTCGCGCTCGTCCAGTCGCGTTTTAAACCGTCGCTCTTCTTCGATCACTACGATGGGCGCTCGCGACGCGTCGCGCGCGTGCGCGATATGCAGCGAGGACGTGGACGCCCTCCGCGGCGTCCCTCGCGAGACCACGTGCGCGCACGTCCTGTGTCAGGACTGCGCCAAGCTGTGGTTCGGCTCGGAGACGACGTGCCCCGCGTGCAACGCGCCGCAGAAGACTGAAGATGCGCGGACCGAGAAGACCGCCGAGAAGGCGTCCGAGGGTGCGAACGCGTCGTCGTCTTCGAGGGAGACGCGAGACGCCGAGGACGAGCGCGAGATGCGAGGCGCGGCGTCGGCGTTCCTCCTCCCCGCCAACCCGAACGACGCGAGCGCGAGCGCTGCTAACGCGGACGCTGACGCGTCGAACGTCGCGCGCGTGCTCATGGAGCGACTCGGCGAGGAGTGGCGCAAGCTGTCGACGCGATGCTCGACGCTCGAGCGCGAGAACGCCGCGCTGAGCGACGAGTGCGCGTCGCTGAAGCGCGCGCTGTCGAGACAGAAGGCGCTGACGGACGACGCGGAAGGCGGAGGAGGAGGAGGAGAGCTGAGGGCGATGCCGTTGGAAGCGCTCGACGCGACGCTCACGGAGGACGAAGACGAAGACGGCGGCGGCGACGGCGGCGGCGGCGGCGGCGACGCGGCGGCGGCGTGCGAACCCTCCGAGCTCCGCTGGCGTCGCGCCGCGTCCTCCTCCTCCTCGACGATTCACTGCGTGTCGTACGAGACGTCCGACGAGCCCCTGCACGCGTGCGCGACGCACCCGACGTCTTCTCGCGACGTCGTCGTCGTCGCGTCGTGGGACGGCGTCGCGACGATTCACGAGGCGACGACGACGACGACGACGCGCGTCGGACGCAGCAGAGTATTGTCGGAGAATACTACTACAGGGACTCCTACGCGTCGGACGCCGCATCACCTCCACCACCGCGACTACGCCCCGATCGCGACGCTCGTCGGCCACGACGCGGGGCTGTACGCCGTCGCGTTCAGGGCGTCGGACGAGAAACTCGTCGGCACCGCGTCCGGCGACGGCGGCGTGAGGCTATGGGATTGGTCCGACGTGTCCGACAGTGTCGCGCCGTGTGTCCGACATATTCGCGCGCACGACGGCGCGGAGGTCAACGACGTCGCGTTCCAGGACGGCGGCGGCGCGAGGTGGCTCGTCACCGCGTCGGACGACGGCACCGCGCGCGTGTACGACGTGGCCACCGGCGCGCGCGTCGGCGTCGCCGAGGGACACGGCGCGGAGGCGCGTTCTAGTATCGCACTGGTCCCCATACGACCGCGTTCGCGTGGTGAACGCCGTTTCTTATGGACTTTCTCTCCCGGCGTGTCTCTCCGCCCAGGGTCCCTCGCTTTCAATCCAGACACACCGCGCGCGACGCCTTTCAACTCCGCTTCTGACGCCTTTCAACTCCACCCCGACGTTCGCTCGTATGGACGATTACCCTCAGGTGTACGGCGCGCGGTTCGGGCCGGGCGCCAGCGGCGGCGCGCACGCCGACGTCATCGCGACCGCGTCGTTCGACGGCACCGTCAAACTCTGGGATACGCGCGCGCCGGGTACGAATACCGCGGGTAATGCTAGTAACGGCTCGTTCGCGTGCGTTTCTACGCTCGCGGGGCACGCGGACGACGTCGTCGGCGTCGACTTCCGCCCCGGCGGGACGTACGTCGCGTCCGGGTCAGACGACGGCACCGCGCGCGTCTGGGACCTCCGAACCGGCGCGTGCGTCGCGACGATCGACGGCGGCGGGGAGGTGAAGAGGGTGGCGTGGAGCCCCGACGGCGGCGCGATCGCGAGCGCGTGCGGCGGCGGCGTCGCGCGCGTGACGCCGTCGAGCGGCGGGACGTTCGCGGCGGCGGTCGCGTCGTCGGCGTCGGCGTCGCTGGGCGGCGGGGGACCGGGAGGAGGAGGGCACGCAGACGTCGTGTTCGACGTCGCGTGGACGCGGGACGGCGGGACCGTGATCACGGCGTCGCACGACGCGACGTGGAGGACGTGGAGCGCGTAGGCGGGGGGGCGGCGGGAGGGACCCTGGCGGCGCGAGAGGTCGGGTACGTACTGCGGCGGCGCGAGGTGTGGCGCGCGTCGAAGGAAGCGAGGCGAGGTAATAAAGGGGAGGTATTTATTTCCGCGCGATAGGCGTTTCACTTCATCCCTTTCGCGAGGAGCCCGAGCCCTTTCCCGCCGCCGCCCTTCGCTTTCTTCTTCCGGCCCTTCTTCCTCCGCCCTCCTCCTCCTCGCGTTCCGTTCTCCTCCTCCTCCTCGCCGCTCTGGGGTGCGCTCACTTTCGCGGACACCGCGCTCTTAAACGCCGCCGCCGCGTCCGCCTCGTCCGCCCCCGAGCCGCTCCTGCCGTGTTCATCCGCACTCTCGCGCGATGCGACGCGCGCCCTCGCTTTCCCCGCCGCCGCGGCCAACCCCGCGGGGGACAAGTCCTCGAACGCGTCGAACAGAAACCGCACGCCGTCGCGCTCGTGCGCCGTCAGCTCCGGGTGCCAGAACCGAACGATGAGCACGAACCTGTGGGCCGTTCCATACAAAGTGAAGTCGGGGTGGAGTTCATAGGCGTCAGATGGAGTTGAAAGGCGTCGAGGGCGGGGATTGAAAGCGGGGGACCCTGGGCGGAGAGAGACGCCGGGAAAAGTCCTTAAGGAGCGGCGTTCACCACGCCAACGCGGTCGTATGGGAACCAGTGTGAGATAGAACGCGCCTGTCTCGGTCCTCCGAGTCGTTGTACGTCGAGTGGATAAAGCTCGTGTCCGCGGCCATGCCGACGCCGTCCTCCCAGTGCTTCGTCTCCTCGCCGACTTTCATCCACGACAGCGGCGGCGGCGGGCAGTCCAGACCCAGGTGCGCGGTCATTATGAAGTTGGTGAAGTCCGTGTGCGGCTTGATCCCAGTCTTGGGCGCTTGCTTCGCGAAGAACACCTCGACGCTCGGCGCGTTCGCGGCTGCGATTCGATTCAATTCAATTCAATTCAATTCGATTCGATTGGTCAGTTTGTGAGATCAGATTCGATGACGTGGCGTATCGTGTGGTGAGTATTCATTCGGAAACGAGCGACGGGCGACGATCGATCTCCTCGGCGATCTCCGCGATCTCGAGAGACGCCGGGCGAAGTCCTTAAGGAACGGCGTTCACCACGCCAACGCCGTCGTATGGGAACCAGTCGCACCTTTCACGAGCGCCGTCGTCTTCGGAAACAGCCCCACGTTCGTGGGCTCCCACTCGCACCGGTCCTGCAGCACGAGCGTGCGCCAGTCCGGGCCGTACCCTTCCGCGTCATCCCTCGCGGCCGCGACCCATATCGCGTTGCCTAACCTCTCCAGGTCCGGGTTCGCGAGTCCCTCGCGCAGCTCGTCGCGAATCGTCTCAAAGTTTTTCTCCAGCTCGACGAGCCACGGGAAATCGCCGCCTCGGACGTCCCAGTACGGCCTCGGCGTCAGCCCCGCGATGTACGACGACGCCTGCTGCAGCCCTAATCCCGGGTGGTTCACCTCGTGGACGCCGTCCGCGAGGGTGAATCGCAGGGAGTCGCGCACGCGGTCGACGGTCCTGATGCGCGTGGTGGACGGACGGACGGAGAGAGGAGGAGGGTGAGGGATCTTCCATCTGGCGAGGGTTTCGGTGGCGCGTCGGGACGAGCGCGCGCGGCGGCGGCGACCGCGGCACGGCGCGCGGGCGCGTCATCGCGACGACCGAGTCGGAGGACGCACCCTGGAGGGAACGCGCCGAGGAGCGCGGTCTCGATCTGCGTCCCGAGCGGGACTTCCTCCGTCGCCGCGGCGGCGACGACGACGGGACGCGGACGAGGGCGAGGCGGAGGCGTGCGACGCGAGACGACGACGCGTCGACGAGGCGCGGCGAGACCGGACGCCGCCGGCGCGACGCTCGTCGCGCGAGCGGCCATCGTTCGTCGTCGACGGGCGCGCGCGCGCGCGAGAAGACGACCGACCTCGGCGGTTCTTCGCCGCGGCGGGGCGCGCGCGCGTCTCTCGCCCGCGCGGAGCGTTTGGCATTACGTTTTCCCTCGAGAGCCGAATCATCAGATGCTTGAATGGCTTTCCGCGACCGCGCCGACCGCGATGAACGCGATGAACGCCGACCGACGTCGCTCCGATCAGAGACGTCGTCGTCCGCGGTCGAAACCGACCGTCGCGTCCGCGGTGGCCGATCGAGGCGGTGTCGACATGATACGTAACTTACGCGCGCGGTATCGATACACTCGTGTCGACATGATACGTAACTTACGCGCGCGGTATCGATACACTCGTATGCGATCACAATCGTCGACGACAGGATTGGCGCGGGCGCGCGCACGTTTTGAGATCGTTCGCAGCGATCGCCAGCCCCAGCGCCAAGATTTGGAAAGATACCCCGTCGGAGACAAATCAAAATATCTGCGGTATGACAGAGGCGAACAGCAACGACCGCGGCACCGCCGCGCGCACACGCAGCCGCGCGAGACGCCGCGCGCGAGCACGTCGGGGTTCGTCGCTCCCGCGCCGCGCGTCGCATACGGTCTCATCGCGCTTCCCGCGCGCCCGGAGCGGCGCGGGGCGACGCGGGCGAGGCGCGCGCGAGCGTACGCCGGGGCGACATCGAACGAGGCGGCGGTCCGAGGGCGCGGAGTTCAACCGTTCCCGCCGGAATCTAATTCCGCGCGGGGTCTCGCCCGGGGAACGCCGCGACGTCGACGACGCGCGCGTCCCGGGGCGCGCGCGACGCGATACGAGGATACCGCACAGGTACGACGAGCGTCTCCTCGCGGTTTGGGTCGCATCGCGCGTCGAGCGCCCGTCGCGATGCGGCGTCGCGATGCGGCGTCGCGTCGGCGGGCGAGACCCGTCGCGCGGCGTTCACTTTTTCCGTCCGCGCGTCTCCGCCCGGCGCGCGCGCCCTACGGCCGCTTCCGACGTCCGCGCGTCCTCGGCGAGGCGCTTCGCGCGCATCGCGCGTCAAACGGAGGCGTCGTTTTCGAGCGCGCGTTTCGCCGCGCGGCGCCGCATCCTTCGTCGCCGCGTCTGCACTATCCATCGAAGCGACAGGCTGTCATCCCACCTGTCACCGTCCGTCCGCCGGGCTTTTTTATGCGCGCGCGAGCGCGAAATCGGACCGCCCCGGCGCGATCGCGCGCCCGCGCGCCCGCGCGGCGCGCGGCCCGCGATCGCCCCCTCCCCGAACCCCCCGGAGACGCCCTCTGACGCCCTCCTCGCTCTCCCCGCGCCCCTCCCCGCCGCAGACTGTTCGGATATTTCCAACTCCAGCCAGCCCCCGTGACGAGGATCGATCAATTTGATTTGATTGACTCAAAGTCGGTTTGAACGAAATTCACACGCCCGCCGGCCGCGCGCGCCCTCGCGGAGGGAAGAAGGAAGGATCATGTCGCTCTCGACGTCGCCGATACTCGCCGCCGCCGCGAGCAACGACCTCGCGACGACGCGCTGGCTCCTCGAGCGCGAGGGCGTCCCGATCGACCTGCGCGGCGACTGGTTCGCGCCCGAGACGCCGACGAACGGTCCGGGCGAAGCGAATAATAATAACGCGAATAACGCGACCGGCGCGCTTCGACGCAAACGCCGCACGCCGCTGATGGTCGCCGCCGCGCACGGATCTCTCGACGTCCTGTCCTACCTCCTCGCCGCGGGCGCGGACGTCAACGCGCGGTCGGACGACGACGAGCGGTGCACCGGGATGCACTGCGCGGCGAGCGGCGGGTCGAGCCTCGCGGCGGACGCCATCGCGCTTTTGATGCGTTTCGGCGCCGACTCGGGCGCGTTGGACGCGAGAGGACGCGCGCCCGTGGACGTGTTGCCTCCTTCTTCCGGTGGTATTAGTGTTGTTAACGGTGGTAGTAACGCGCCCGAATATGGCGTTAGTTACACGGGTGGGAACGCCGCTACTAACCTCGCGACAAAGTCGAGGCGGGAGAGTTCGTCGGGCGCGAGCGGCAGCAGCGACTCGGGCTCGACGTCGCCGCGGGGCGACGGCGGCGGCGGCGGCGGGGATCGAACCGGCGGCGGCGGGCGGCGCCGAGACTCGAGCGGGCGAGACTCCGGGAGCGATAACAGCGGCGGAAGCGAGCAGTGCTGGTTCGTGGACGGCGCGAGGGAGGAGCAGCCGGGTTGGGGCTTCGGAGGACTTCAACAACACGCGGGAGGCGGGTATCATCCTCAGATGATGCCCGCCCACCCGAGCGCGAACCCGAACCCGACGAATAATTCGTCGAGTCCGTCCGCGACGGGCGCGGGCGGTCTGGGGGCGCGCCACGTTGGCGCCACGTCATCAGCGGGTCCGTCCGGCGGCGCGAACGGCAACGAGCCGGACGAGAGGACGAAAATGTCAGACGACTTCCGGATGTACGAGTTTAAAGTCCGACGATGCAGCCGGACGCGCGCGCACGACTGGACCGAGTGCCCGTTCACGCACCCGGGGGAAAAGGCTCGAAGACGCGACCCGCGACGATTCAACTACTGCGGCGCGGCGTGCCCGGAGTTCCGCAAGGGGAGCTGCCCGAGATCGGACGCGTGCGAGTTTTCGCACGGCGTGTTCGAGTGCTGGCTGCACCCGAGCCGGTACCGCACGCAGCTGTGCAAGGACGGTTCCGCGTGCGGTCGCCGCGCGTGCTTCTTCGCGCATCACTCGTCGCAGCTGCGGCCGGCGACGGACGCGTTCGGGAACCCGCTCACGAGTCAGCGGGGGGCGGCGGACGGCGGTGAGACTGCTTCCCATACGACCCCGTTCGCGTGGTGCACGCCGTTCCTTAAGGACTTTTCCCGTCGTCACTTTTCACCCGCGCTTCCCTTTCAACGTTTGACCGGTAAGACGTTCGACTGACCGATCGATTCACCCACGCAGGCGGCGGACTCGCGGGGCCCAGGAACTCGATGGACGGCATGAGCGGCGGGCACGGCGGATACGAGAGTCCTCCCCAGACTTGTCCGGGGTCCAACGCGCGGACGCCGCGGCAGAGTCACGACGGCGGGCACGGCGCGGGCGCGGGCGCGGCGGCGGCGGCGGCGGCGCAGTCGTCGGACGCGTTCGCCGCCGCCGTCAACGCCGCCGCCGCCGCGTTGCTCGGCGGCGCCGGGTACCTCCCTCCTTACGCGACTCCCTCGAACGGGACCCCCCTGAATCCTAACATGGTGCATAACGCGCAGCACTCGCCGCCGGCGCACGAGCTGCACGCGAAGTACCCGCGGCGGACGTCCGTTGACGCGCTCAACGGGAACATGTCCAAGCTCGGGTTCGGCGAGAACGGCGGACCGAATCATCCGTCGAGCAAGATGCACGATTCGGGCGGCGGCGGCGCGCCGTGGGGTGCCCAGTCGCAGCAGCAGCAGGCGTACGCGATGATGCAGCAGCAGCAGCAGCAGCAGCAGCAGTCGTCGTCGTCGTCGTCGTCGCAGCAGCAGCAGCAGCATCAGCAGCCGCCGCGACCCGACGCGTACTGGCGGGGGCCCGGAGGCGCGACGGCGGCCAATGCGGCGAACGACGGCGCGTCGCTCGCGTTACTTTCCAACGGCGTACCCAACGGCGTGGATCCGCTCGCGAACGCGGCGATGTTGCAGCGGCAGCAACGCACGCAACGCAGGCGTTTCTCTATGGACGTCCCGCCGACGCGGTCGCCCGAATTGCGCGGCGGGTTGCGGTTCAGCGCCGGCGGCGGCGGCGGACCGGATTTCCGATTCGGCGCGGCGCCGGTTTCGGCGGCTGTTGGCGCCGACGGCGCGACGGCTGCGAACGGATCAGCCTCGCAGCCTCTGATGAACGCGGTGAACGCGAAGGGGTGGTACCCAAACCAAAACGGAAACCTATTATCCTTAAACGGAAACGGAAACGGAAACGGTCACCACCCGGGCGTTTCTCTGGCGCCGTTCGTCGGCGGCAGAGGGAGCCAATCCCTGGACATCCCGCGCGCGAGCTCGTTCCAACACCTCGGGATGATCGAAGGCGTCCTCGGGGACGAGTCCGGGAAAGGAGGTATGTGAGAGGCTAAAGGGAGAGGCTGAATAAGGCGCGATGGATGGCGTCTCTCTCTTCCAGCGTCCCTCGCGTCTCCGTCCGTCTCATCATCATCACGCGAGAGCGCCGCGGCTCAAAGGGGGCGTCAGCCGCGAAAGCGGCGGCTGACGCGAGCGCGCGCGCGGTGTACCAACAGTCAATACGTGCACGCATTACGACATTATTTTCGATTGCTTCTTGTTTGTTTTATTACCTTCTCACACGACCGCCGCGGCATATTGATATATTGCACGCAGCGCGCGCCGCGGGTGGGCGTGTGCCATTTGACTTACATTCATATCAACATTTTTCATACGAAAGAAATCAAATCAATCACGTAAAACGTTCACGCCGTCTCGACGCGCTTCCGACCTTCAGTCGTCTAGTTAGCACGCGACGCGTTCACGCGACCACCACCGAGATGCGCGGGGGGGTCAGTCGGTCGGTCATTCGGTCGGTCACCTCGCCTTGCTCGCCTTCTTCGCGCCGTCCCCCTCGGTGGCGCCCTCGCCCGAGAAAACTGGCTGATTGATCGCCAGCTTGAGGCGCTCCCACATCCTCCCGTCCGGGTCCACCTCGCGCGCTGCGGGTCGTGAAACGGGGTGGGGACGAAGAGCGCGGGGTTTCAGCGGTCAGTCGAAAGGGACCGACGACGCGATCGAATACGTATTACGCGCATCGAAACCGAGGAGGGACGGGACGGGACGGGTGAAAAACGACGCGAAGGCGCGTTCGCGTTTGCGAGGAATAAAACGAACGCACCCGACTTGATCACCGGAGGAATCGGGAGATAGACGTAGTGCCCGTTACACAACCCCACGGTCGCGCCGCTGTACCCCGCGAACGCGGCGTGGACCGCGTTTTGCCCCAAGATGGAACAGTATATCGCGTCCGACGCGTTCGTGGGACACGCGCGGACCATGTACGTCGGGTCGATGTACTTGACGTCCACGCTGAGATCCGCCTTCATGTCCGCGTTGATTTCGTTTTGAAGAAATTTCGCAAAGTTCTGCAGCACCGGATTCCCGCTCGCGTCCGTCTCGCCAATCTTCCCCAGTATGTCCTGCCCCGCGCCCTCCGCGACGACGACGACGCAGTGCTGTTTCCTGTTCAGCACGCGCCTGATGTGCGCGAGGACGCCGCCGGGTCCCTCCAGCGGCGTGTTAATCTCCGGGATGAGGCACACGTCAACCTCGCCCGACGCCAGGCTCGCGTTCATCGCGATGAAGCCGCTCGATCGACCCATGAGACGCACGAGACCGATGCAGTTCATCGCGGATCGCGCTTCGATCGCGGCGGAGCGGATCGCCTTGATCGCCTCGTCCACCGCGGTGTTGAACCCGAACGTTCGGTCGAGGAGGAGGATGTCGTTGTCGATCGTCTGAGGGTGACGAGTGTACGTCGGGGCGGAGTCGTTGAAAGGCGTCAAGGGTGGAGTTGAAAGGCGAAGGCGGGCGTCGAGGTGTGTGCGTCGGGATTGAATGAAACCGTGGGACCCTTGGTGAGAGGTGAGATGCGACGGGAAGTAGTAAAGTCCTCAAGGATCGGCGTTCACAACGCGAACGCGGTCGTATGGGAACCGGTGTGAATCATATGAACGCGCCTTGGGCACGCCCATCACGGCGCAACACACGCCGCGTTCTTTGCACAGGTTATCGATCGCGAGCGCGCCGGCGTGGCTGCCGTTGCCGCCGATGACGAACAGAAAGTCCAGGCCCATCTCCGCGATGCCGTCGACGATCTCGGACGTCACGGACCCGCCGCGCGAGCTCCCGAGGATGCTCCCGCCGTCGAGGTGGATCGTCTCGACCATCCGACTCGTGAGCTTAGGGTCGAGGGTCCACGCGAGCGAAGCGAACGTCGGGGTGGAGTTGAAAGGCGTCAGATGGCGGAGTTGAAAGGCGTCGAGGTGTGTCGGGATTGAAAGCGAGGGGTGATGGGCGGAGAGAGACGCCGGGAAGTAAAGTCCTCAAGGATCGGCGTTCACCGCGCCGACGGGGTCGTATGGGAACCAGTGTGAGATAGAACGCGCCTTCATCGGCCGCTCGAGCTCGCCCTTCTGCTCCGTGAACCCTCGGAACCCGTACCGAACGCCCTTGATGTCCTCCACGCCGTACTCCTCGAGCGTGAACACGAGCTGCCGAACGACGTCGTTCAGACCGGGGCACAGCCCGCCGCACGTCACGATCGCGGCTTTGGGTCGTTCCATCGTTCGAAGCGACGTCGGGGTGGAGTTGAAAGGCGTCAGGGGTGGAGTTGAAAGGCGTCGAGGTGTGTCGGGATTGAACGCGAGGGACCCTGGGCGGAGAGATGCGCCGCCGGGAAGATAAAGTCCTTAAGGATCGGCGTTCACCGCGCCGACGCGGTCGCACGGGGACCGGCGCGAGATGACAGAACGCGCCTTTGACCTCGGAGGGATCGAAGTAGATGGTCTCCCGCGGCCCCGCGCGCGTCGCCCACCGCCCCGACCACGCGGTCGCGTTCTTCGGCGCGTCGTGATCGTGGTGATCGTTGACCTGATCCGCCGCTCCCAGGTCGATCGGCTCGTTCGCGAGCGCGTTCAGGAGGACGCAGTCGTCGTCTGTCGGGGTGGAGTTGAAAGGCGTCAGGTGGAGTTGAAAGGCGCCGAGGACGGGGCTTGAAACCGAGGGATGGGCGCAGAGAGACGACGGGAAAAGTCGTTAAGGATCGGCGTTCACCACGCCAACGCGGTCGTATGGGGACCAGTGTGAGATAGAACGCACCCTCGACGAAGCGCTGCCCCATGCCGTTCGAGTACTTCTCCGATCCCTCGCTGAACGGCGACGGCCTGGGCTCGAGCGCGAACGCGGACGTGAGACGCGGGCACTCGAACTCGGGGGAGACGACGGGCGGCGGCGACGCGTCGGAGGAGGAGGAGGCGCGCGCGGCGCCGACGCCGACGCCGCTTTCGCTTCGCCGCCGCCGCGCGATGTTGAATGCCGGCGACGACGGAATCGACGAGGACGATCGGGACGACGACGACGACGACGACGACGCGCGCGAGCGCGGCGCGCCCAAGCGCGGCGAGGCCGCGACCGCGGAGGCGACGACGGACATGACGACCGACGGGGAGCGACGAGAGATCGCGCGCGGCAGCCCGGGAATGGAAGCGACGCGCGCGAAGGGACGCAGATATTATTCCCTCAGCTGTTCGACAAAAATAGAGAGCCTGGAGAGACGGCATTTTCTAGGTTCGATTCCGATTTCAAACGGTCGATGAAAAATAAGCATCGACCGTACTACATGTCGTATGCCGCGATCAAAAATGCCTTTCAATCCAGAAGTGTCCGCGCGGCGCCGCAGCGCAGCGACGTCATCGCGACTTGGATAAAGCCGGCGTGCGTCGCATCGTTCGTCACTGCCCTCCCTGCGCGAGGACAGACGACGCGTCGTTCCTCGTAACGTCGATGATGGCGGCCTGCGGTCGCACGATCGCGTCACCGAGCCTGCTCGCGCGTCGCGGCGGCGCGACCGCGCCCTCGCTCACGCGACGCGCGCTCGCGACGACGACGACGTCCTCGCGTCGTCTCGGCGGATTCGACGCTCCTCGGGGAGCAGGATCCGCCGGAACCCCGCGCGGCGTCGTCCTCGCCGCCGCGTCGCCGCGCGACGCGTCGTCGTCGTCGTTCCCCGCCCGCGCCGCCCCGTCGTCGTCGTTCACGGTCCGCCGCGCCGGGCTCATCCCCGCGTCCACGTGCGTCCCGTCCGGCGCGTCGTCCTCGTGCGCGCCGCGCCGCCTCGCCGTCCTCGCCGCGGGCGCCGCGGGGGGCGCCGACGCGAGCGCGAAGAAGGGCAACAAAAAAGATCGGAAGAAGAAGGAGGACTCCGTCTACAGCAAGACCGTGCTTCTCCCGCAGACGTCATTCGAGATGCGCGCGAACAGCGTCACGAAGGAGCCCGCGATACAGTCGTGGTGGGCGGAGAACGGCGTGTACGAGCAGATCGCGAGCAGAGAGGGCGCGAACGGGGAGACGTTCACGCTGCACGACGGGCCGCCCTACGCAAACGGAGGTACGCGAATTGAATCGATGAGACTGAGACTGACTGCTTCCCGTGCGACCCCGTTCGCGTGGTGGGACGCCGTTCCTTAAGGCGTTCGTTTTATCGCGCGCGAGTGACCCCGCGTACGTTTTGACGCGTGGGAATGGCATCCACCAATCGCATGTCCGCGTTGCTGACACGTGTCTTCTTCCCCCGCGTCGCGACGACAGATTTACACATCGGACACGCGCTCAACAAAATTCTGAAAGACTTCGTGTGCCGGTACGAGGCTCTGAAAGGGAAACGCGTCCGGTTCGTCCCCGGGTGGGACTGCCACGGCCTCCCGATCGAGCTGAAAGTGCTGCAGAGCATGGACAAGGAGAAGCGCGCGGAGCTGACGCCGATCAAGCTGCGTAAAAAAGCGCGAAATTTCGCTCTGAAAACCGTCGACGCGCAGCGCGAACAGGCGCGTTCTGTTACCACACTGGTCCCCATACGACCGCGTTCGCGTGGTGAACGCCGTTTCTCAAGGACTTTTGTTCCCATCGATTCTCTCCGCCCACACCTCGCTTTCAATCCCCGCCCTCGACGCCTTTCAACTCCGCTTCTGACGCCTTTCAACTCCACCCCGAAATCATCGCTCGTACGGAACGACCCTCAACAGTTCAAGCGCTACGGCGTCTGGGCGGACTGGGAAGACCCGTACCTCACGCTCCTCCCCGAGTACGAGGGCGCGCAGATGGAGGTGTTCGGACAGATGTTCTTAAACGGCCACGTGTACCGAGGGAAGAAGCCCGTGCACTGGTCGCCGTCGTCGATGACGGCGCTCGCGGAGGTGAGACTGGTTCCCATACGACGGCGTTGGCGTGGTGAACGCCGATCCTTAAGGACTTTTGCCGTCGTCTCTCTCCGCCCAGGGTCCCTCGCTTTCAATCCCCGCCATCGACGCCTTTCAACTTCAACTGACGCCTTTCAACTCCACCCAGGCGGAGCTGGAGTACCCCGAGGGGCACGTGTCCACGTCCGTGTACGTCGCGTTTCCGATCAACGCAGACGACGAAGCCGCGAATTTCCCGGCGGAGCACAGAGAGAAGCTGAAGAACGCGAGCCTCGCGGTGTGGACGACGACGCCGTGGACGATGCCCGCGAACGCGGCGGTCGCCGTCAACGACAAGCTCTCGTATTCCCTCTGCGAAGTCACCGGCGTCGCCGCGACGAAAGAAGACGCCCCCTCGAGCGACGCCGCCGCGATGGTCGGCAAGACGCTCATCGTCGCGACCGACCTCGTCTCCGACGTCGCGTCGCGGTGGGGCCTGACGCTCGCCGCCGTCGCCGACGTCGCGGGCGCGCAACTCGAGGGTTTAACGTACGCGCACCCGTTTTACCCCGCAGATGGAGGTGAGACTGCTTCCCATACGACCCCGTTCGCGTGGTGCGCGTCGTTCCTTAAGGACTTTTCCGGTCGTCACTCTTCACCCGCGCTTCCCTTTTAACGTTTGACCGGTAAGACGTTCGACTGACCGATCGCTTCACCCAGATCGCGCGTTTAACCCCGTCGTGATCGGCGGAGAGTACATCACCACCGAGAGCGGCACGGGGCTCGTGCACACCGCGCCGGGGCACGGCCAGGAGGATTACATCACCGGCCTCAAGCACGGTCTGCCGCTGATATCCCCCGTGGACGACGCGGGGAAATTCACGGAGGACGCCGGCGATGATTTGAACGGCCTCGCGGTGCTCGACGCCGGGAACGCCGCGTGCGTCGAGAAGCTTCGCGACGTCGGCGCGCTCATCATGACCGAGGCGTACGGACACAAGTACCCGTACGACTGGCGGACGAAGAAGCCGACCATCTTCCGTGCCACGGAGCAGTGGTTCGCCTCAGTGGAGGGGTTTCGGGACGAAGCGCTGAAGGCGCTCGACGGCATCGAGTTCATCCCCGCGTCTGGCGCGAAGCGCATGCGGCCGATGGTGAGCGGCCGGAACGACTGGTGCATCTCGCGGCAGCGCTCGTGGGGCGTCCCGATCCCGTGCTTCTACGACGTCGAGACGAGGGAGCCGCTCATGGACGAGCGCACGATTAAACACGTCACGGAGATTGTCCGGGAGAAGGGCACGGACGCGTGGTGGGAGATGGACCTCGTCGACCTCCTCCCGGAGGAGTACAAAGACCGCGCGGACTCTCTCGTCCGCGGCACGGACACGATGGACGTGTGGTTCGACAGCGGGAGCTCGTGGGCGGGCGTGTGCAAAGCGCGCGGGCTGAACTATCCCGCGGACATGTACCTCGAGGGGAGCGACCAGCACCGCGGGTGGTTCCAGAGCAGCCTGCTCACGGGCGTCGCCGCCGCGGGACAGGCGCCTTACAAGACGATCCTCACGCACGGGTTCGTGCTGGACGAGAAAGGGTACAAGATGTCCAAGTCGCTCGGGAACGTGATCGACCCGCGGCTCGTCATCGAGGGCGGGAAGAACCAGAAGCAAGACCCGGCGTTCGGCGCCGATACCCTGCGGCTGTGGGTCGCGAGCACGGATTACACCTCGGACGTGCTCATCGGAATGAACGTGTTGAAGCAAACCTCGGACGCGTACCGCAAGCTCCGAGGCACGCTGCGGTTTCTCATGGGCAACATCGGCGACTTCGCGCCGGAGAAAGACGGCGTAAAGTACGAAGACCTCCCGGCCTTTGAGCGCTACGCGCTTCGGCGCACCGCGGCGATGGTGAACGAGATGGAGCGACACTACCAGAATTTCGCCTACTCGGGCGCGACGGCGACGCTTCAGGCGCGTTCTGTTACCACACTGGTCCCCATACGGCCGCGTTGGCGTGGTGAACGCCGATCCTTAAGGACTTTTGCCGGCGTGTCTCTCCGCCCAGGGTCCCTCGCTTTCAATCCCGACACACCTCGACGCCTTTCAACTCCGCTTCTGACGCCTATGAACTCCACCCCGACATCGCTTTGTATGGAACGGCCCTTCAGTCGTTCACGACGTTCCTCAGCAACGTGTACCTGGACGTCAGCAAGGACCGGCTGTACATCGAGAGCCCAAACTCCCCCGAGCGCCGCGCGTGCCAGACCGTCGTCGCGCACGTCGTCGAGAGCCTCCTCGCGTGCGTCGCGCCGCTGACGCCGCACATGGCGGAGGAGGCGTACCGCGAGCTGCCCTACGACACGCCGGAGAAGGCGCGTTTTCTTCTATCTCACACTGGTCCCCATACGACCCCGTCCGCGTGGTGAACGCCGTTTCTTAAGGACTTTGCTCGGCGTCTTTCTCCGCCCAGGGTCCCTCGGTTTCAACCCCCGCCCTCGACGCCTTTCAACTCTAACTGACGCCTTTCAACTCCACCCCGCGTTTCGCCTCGCGCGGACCCCACCCTTAACCCTCGACAGTCCGTGTTTCTCGCCGGGTGGAAGACGCCGCCCGCGGAGTGGCACGACGGGAGCCACAACGGCGGGATGTCCGACGCGGACTACGCGTTCTGGAACTCCATTCTCGCGGTCCGCGGCGAGGTGAACCGCGCGCTGGAGATCGCGCGCGGGGAAAAGATCATCGGCGCGTCGCTCGAGGCGCGTTCTAGTATCACACCGGTCCCCATACGACCGCGTCGGCGTGGTGAACGCCGATCCTTAAGGACTTTTCCCGGCGTGTCTCTCCGCCCAGGGTCCCTCGCTTTCGATCCCCGCCCGCGTTGCCTTTCAACTTCACCTGACGCCTTTCAACTCCACCCCGATATCATCGCTCGTATGGACCCTCGACCCCAAGGCGTCCGCGGCGGTGTACGCGTCTGACGCGTCGTTCGCCGAGCGCCTCGCCGCTGCGACGGACGACCTGAAACGCGTCACGCTCGTCTCCGAGATGACCGTCGTGGCCGACGAGGCGGAGATTTCGAACGCGTGCGGCGGCGACGGCGTCGGCGCCGTCACCGAGCTCGACGTGACCGCTCTGGAGAGCGATCGATCGACGGCGGGCGCCGCGGAGGTCATCAGAGGCGGCGCGGAGGGATCCGGGCGGGTCGTCGTCGGCGTGCGGCGCGCGACGGGGACCAAGTGCGCGCGGTGTTGGGAGTACACGACGGACGCGGGGAGCGACGAGCGGCACCCGGAGCTGTGCGCGCGGTGCACGCCGATCGTGATCGCGATCGATCCGGAATTGAGGGCGCCGGTGAAAGCGGCGGAGGGCGTGGCGGCGTGATCGAATAATTAATTTTTGACCAAACGCATCCATCATCGTACGTAGGCCCTACTGTACTACGTGGTACGGAAGTACTTTCGTACTTTCGTACTTCCTTCGAAGGTACGCCCTTTAAGCCGCGAATGAGCGGGTTTCATAACGTTGTACGGAAGTAAATTGTTACGGAAGTTGTAGGGATGCCTCGCGTTGTAGGGCTGCCTCGCGAGTTTTTTCAGCGACCCCCGGCCTGGTCGCTTTTTCTCGCCAACCTTGGGTTGCTCGCTGATCTCGTTTCACATGTTTTGCCCGGTCCCCGTCTACCACTCGCGCGCGCGTCGCGACGCTTCGTTCGCCCCTCGAGGCCGCGATTCGACCCGCCGCCGCCGCGGCCGCCGCCGCGTCGAGATACGACTCCGCGGACGCGAGGTGTCGTCGCGATACGACTCCGCGGACGTCGTGCCACGAGCCGTCCGTCCGACATATCACATCGCGCGGGACGCGCACGTTCCATCGTGGCGGACGAAGATTACGGATCATCATCTTCTGCTTCTGCGCGCGCGCGGCGGTGGACGATGACGCGTCTTCCATCGCTCGTCGCGCCGCTCGCGTTCGCGCTCGCGCTGTGCGCGCTCGCCACCGCCCCCTCCGCGCGCGCGGTGATCGAGACGAAGTCGAACACCATCGATCACGTCGCGGACACCGGTTTAGGGTACGTTCCGAAGTTCAACGTGAAGTCGGACTCAGGGATCAAGCACGTCGTCGGGAGCACGACCGTGTGCGAGGCGAGCTCGACCGGCCTCGCCGTCACCGGGGATGTCACGGTCAGCGGGAAGGTGGCGCAGAGCGGGAAGCCCTACGCGTTCGGTTCCGGACTCGTTTGCGCCAAGGCTGTGGGGGGGGGTGTCACGGGGCAGTGTTCAGGCGGTCACGCACTCCTCCTCAGCACGGGCACGGTGAGACTGCTTCCCATACGACCCCGTTCGCGATGTGAACGCCGTTCCTTAAGGACTTTTCCCGTCGTCACTCTTCACCCGCGCTTCCCTTTCAACGTTTGACCGGTAAGACGTTCAACTGACCGATCGCTTCACCCACGCAGAATCTGGCGTGGAATCATCACACCATGAGCGGAGGGTTCACGACGGACGCCGACAAGATGAACATCATCCCTCCGACCACGGGCCATTATAGGGTGTCCGCGATGTTCACTTTCGAGTCTCCGCACGATGAGCGAACGATCACGGTCCAGTTACGCTCCAGCGCCGGTTCCCTCATCGTGTGCCAGACGCACGCGCACGCACACTATAATAACGCCGACGGGTGGATGAAATCGTCGTGCACAATCTCGGGAGTGGTGCTGTTGACCGGTAGTACGACGTACTACTTTGAGGGGAAATCTCAAGACGACGGCACGTCGAAAGCGTTCAGCGAAGACTGGAGGGCGAAGTTCATCGTCGAAGCGTTCCCGTGAAGATTCACCGCAAATTGTTTATGGACGAGTTGCGCTATGTACGAGATGACGACTTGCGAGTTCCCTAGCTAGGGGTCCGAAAACTGTCTTCCCGTCTTTTTCCCGCCGTGCAAATGCACGTATCTGTTGTCTAAAATCGCAAATGACTGCTGTGCAAAGTTTCAGGTCAATCCAAGCCGCGGCGGCGCATGGGGAAGCGCGGACGTGAGGGGCGCGTCTGACAGACGCTCATACGAATTTGGAATAAAAAAATCGCAAATTAATTATCTGGAACTCGGGCGGCACGGGGGATATTGGCGACAATTTGGCCGATATGATACGCGGCTGACTGGGCGTCATACGATTTTCACTTTGCGCAACTCGTCATGCATTTTGTCGATCGGTTTTTTATCGGCTGGTTTGACCGTTGAACGGCATCGTTCTTCCTTCTCCGAGATCTCCGACGCCACACGTCGGCGCGCGGCGCCCGCGCCCTTCCTCCCCCTCCCTCCCCCCCCCCCCACCCTCTCCCATCATGGCCGCGCTCGCGATGGGCGGCTCCACGAAGACGAAAGCGTTCCTCGCCGAGGCGGCGTCGTCCGCGTTCATGTCGTTCTTCATGAACACGCTCGGCGTGGAGGCGGCGGCGACGCGACGATTCCTCCCGGCCGCGATGACCGCGGGCGTGGACGCGCAGACGCTCACGCTGACGCTGCTGTTCCTTCACCTGTGCTTCTTCTTCTCGCCCTTCTACGTCAAGAAGAGCGCCGGCGCGGTGAACAACCCGACGGTGTACGTCCTCTTCTGGCTCATCGGCGACGTCGCGTTCGGCGCGATGGCGATCGGCGTCGCCGCGACCGTCGTCGGGCAGACCGCCGGTCTCTTCGCGTACGCGAGCGCGATGCGCGCGTTTCCCTTGCCGGGGCACGCGGCGATCACGCGCGGGGTAACGGCCGCGGGTGGTGCGTTTAACGGCGCGCTGTCCGAGGGCGTCGTCGCGTTCGCGAACTTTCTCTTCGCCGCGGTGGCGCTGCCGCTCGCGCCGACGGCGCTCGCGCCGGCGCTCGGCGCTGCGTTTTACTGCGCGTGTCTCGTGTACGAGCGTTGCGCGTACAGCTGCGGGTGCGTTCCATCGGTCCATCGGTTCTCCTCATTCACGTGGCGCGTTTCTATTGGATCGTTCCCACGTCGTGTCCGACACTCGCTCACCAATCCCCCGTCGCCGCGTGTCCTTCCTCTCGAAGGTTTATGAACCCCGCGGTGGTGTTCGCCACGCACGCCGTCGCCGGCGACGTCCTCTCGCGCGAATCGCTTCGGCAGTGCGCCATATACGTATGTCACACTGGTTCCCATACGACCGCGTTGGCGTGGTGAACGCCGATCCCTAAAGACTTTTGTTTCTTCCCGGCGGCGCATCTCTCCGCTCAGGGTCCCTCGAGTTCAATCCCGACACACCTCGACGCCTTTCAACTCCGCTTCTGACGCCTTTCAACTCCGCCCCGACGTCATCGCTTCGTATGGAACGACCCTAGACGGTCGGCGCGTTCGGCGGCGCGGCCGCGACCGCGGTGCTCGCCCGCGCGATCGGCGCGAAGGGAAGGACGCGCGGCGGCCGAGCGATCGGCGACGAGGTCGAGAGAACGACGACGACGACGACGAGGGCGAAGAAGAAGCCGGCGGCGGCGGGGAGATCCAAAAAAAAGCCCGCCGCCGCCGCCGCCGCGACGAAATCCAAATCCAAATCCGCCGCGCGGTCTCCCTCGCCGCCGCCGCGTCGTTCCGCGGCCGGCGCCGCTCCCGCGGAGACGCCGACGCGGCAGAGCGTGCGACGACGGAAAGAGAAGTTTCCCATGGACCTGTGAGCGACGACGGGAGAGAGAGGCGACGCGGCGCGCCTCGAGCGAATTTATATAAAAATAACAACGAGCCGTTTTGTGTGAGCCGTCAAAAAACGCGCGAGCGACAAAATATCGTGGTCCCTGCCCGTCCGTTGAGAGAGACTGGAGTGCCCACTCTCACGATGCACGCCGCACGCGCGCCCGTCCTCCGCCCCCTCGGCGCCGCCCCCGCTCGCAAACGCCACGCCGCGCGCGCGTCTCGCACGCTCCGCGGCAGGGCGCTCGTCGCCGCATCCTCGGAGAACGAAGAGACGACGACGATCATTACGAATAATGATCATCGTCCGACCGCGTCCGTGGAGGAGACCGCGAGCGGCGACCTGCTGTATCGCTTCGCGGATGTTGACTCCAGAACCGGCGCGCTCGCGTTCACGTCGCGCGACGGCGTCGACGTCTACGCCCTCGGCGCCATGGCGAGGATCGCGGAGGAGACGAACCCCGTGGGGCCGTCGGAGGACGCCGCGCTCCGCCTCGCGACGAAAATGAGGTGCGTTCTATACACTGGTCCCCATACGACCGCGTTCGCGTGGTGAACGCCGATCCTTAAGGACTTTTGCCGGCGTCTCTCTCCGACCACCCCTCGGTTTCAATCCCGACACACCTCGACGCCTTTCAACTCCACCTGACGCCTTTCAACTCCACCCCGACGTTCGCTTGTATAGAACGGACCTGAACGACGACGACGACGACGACGTCGAGGCTGCTGGCGCGCGGCTCGTCGCGTCGCTGCGCGCTGAGCTCGACGACGCGCGCGCGAAGCTCAAACGCGCGGAGGAGGACGAGCGATACGCGCGCGACGAGCTCGAGGTGGCGCGCGTCGCGCTCGTGGAGGAGGCGCGCGAGCGCGTTTCCGCGACGCGCGAACTCAAGGCGACGCACGACCTGCAAGTGTGGGACCTGGAAGATTACATCCAGGTAAGTAGGTAACTCATCACCGGGAGTCGAATCCGACGAATTCCGCGCCGCACCCCCGACGCTTCCGACCCTCCCGAAGAACCCCTTGACATTAATATACCCACTATCCTCGCTCGCAGTCGCTCGAGGACATCGTCCTTCGCACGCGCGACGCCGCGTCGATCGGGTACGAAGACTTCAGACGAAAAATGTCCAGATCATCGGCGTCCGGGACGACGACGTTCCGTCGGTTCCGCGACGTGGACCCCAACCGCGTGGACCTCTCCATCGCCGGCTCGTTCGACGAAACGCTAGCATCATTCGACGACGATCACGTCCACGCGGTCCCGGTGACGCTGTCGTGCAACGCGACGACGGTCCCGGGGCAGCGCGTCGTCGCCGTGGGCACGTGGTGCGACTGGGACGTCGCGAAGGGCGCGCGCATGGAGTGGACGGAAGGTGCGAAGGCTGACTGATCCCCATACGACCGCGTTCGCGCGATGCACGCCGATCCTTAAGGACTTTTCCCGTCGCATCTCTTCGCCCAGGGTCCCTCGCTTTCGATCCCCCACCCTACGACGCCTTTCGACTACTAACTCCGCCCCGTCGCCGCGCCTAATCAGGGCACGTGTGGCGATGCGACGCGCCGTTCTTCAACGCGGACGAGCCCGTCGAGTACAAGTACGTCGTTCTGAACGAGCACGACGCCGCCGACGTCCGGTGGCAAGCCGGGAACAACCGCGTCGTGACCGTCCCGGGGAGCTTAAGGCGCGTTCTAGTATCACACTGGTTCCCATACGACCGCGTCGGCGCGGCGCGCGCCGTTCCTTGAGGACTTTACTTCCCGGCGCATCTCTCCGCCCACCACCCCTCGGTTTCAATTCCGACGCACACACCGCGACGCCTTTCAACTCCACCCCTGACGCCTTTGAACTCCATCTACCTCGACGTCGCTTCGCGTGGACCCACCCTCGACCCTCAGAGAGGAGGTGGTGGAGATCGAGATCGTCGACGACTTCGACGCGGACCCGAGCTCGGCGCCGGTGATCCTTCGCAACGTCGACGGCACGGGCGCGTTCTATTTCCACACTGGTCCCCATACGACCCCGTTCGCGTTGTGAACTTCATTCCTTAAGGACTTTCTCTCCCGGTCGACGTTCCTCTCCGCGCGTGCCTCGGTTTCTTCATTCCCGACGCACGCGCCTCGACGCCTTTCAACTCCGCTTCTGACGCCTTTCGACTCCGCCCCGACGTGCTTTCGTCGCTTCGAACGACGGAACGGCCCTCACAGTCCTGGAACGCGGGAGCACGGAGCTCATCGACGCGAGCGCGCGCGAGCTGCGCGAGGAGTACGCGAGGGTGCTGCGGGAGATCGGCGCGATCGCGAACGGCGGAAGGACGCGACTGCTGACGGAGGGCATCACGGGCGGGGCGCACGGCGGACCTTCGGGAGCGCTCGGTTCCGCCGCGGACGCGGAGGCGACGACGACGATTCATCCGCTCGAGATCGCGAACAACGTCGTCAGCGCGGGGGCGTTGTACGACGCGCGGGAGGAGGAGGAGGAGGAGGACGTGTTCGTGGACGCGGAGGAGAGCTTCGCGGCGGAGGACGAGGGCGCGGTGGAGTCGATCTGAGCGCACCCTCTGTGAATAGACTAAGTTGTACCTGATGACCTCCTTTGAATCGAAACGGCGAGAAAACGCTCGATCGTTCGCTGACCGACCGCGATACGCGTCGTCTCTCTGCTCGCGACAGGACGCGCCGACGGTCAGCTCCATAACGAGATGAACGAATGCTCTCGCGTCGTCGTAGTGTCCCCCGCGCGCGTCGGTCGTCGGTTCGTCCGTCGTCGCGATGCGCGGCGCGGACGCGGACGCGGAGGTCGCGGCCGCGGCCGCGACGGCGACGCGCGCGAACGACGCGCGCGGCGGTCGCGCGGAGGACGCGAACGACGACGACGACGACGACGACGGAAGGGGGTCCCCGGTCGACAGCTTGGGATCCGAGGACGGAGGCGCGCATCGCGACGACGCGCGTCGCGAGGCGAAGACGGGAGGAGACGCGCGGCGCGATGTCGCGGTTTCCGCGGCGGCGGCGACGACGACGACGACGACGACGACGCGAGGCGACGACGACGACGACGACGACGACGACGACGACGACGAAGTCCTTAAGGAACGGCGTTCACCACGCGAACGCGGTCGTATGGGAACCAGTCACGACGCGGTGGACCGAAGCTTCGACGCGGAACGAACGATCCCCCCGGCGTTGGAGTCCATCCTTCTGGACGTCGCGCACGAGGAGGAGGATTCGGAAGAGGAAGAGGAAGAGGAAGAGGACGCCGCCGTCGGGCCCTCGTCGTGGGACCCTCACGCGGCCGGGTTCGGACTCCCTCTGACGACGCCGCGCGCGTCGATGCGAATGACGTCGATGCCCCGCGCGAAAGTTCTCGACTCCGCCGCCGTCGCTCGCGCGTGCGGCGCGCGCGCCGCCTCCTCCTCCTCCTCCCTCCGCGACTGCGTCCACGCGACGCTTCGCGGGAAGGGCTTCCGCGACGTCGACGTCGCGTCCGTCGAAACCGACGACGACGGAGCGTTACCGGAGGTGCTGCGGGTCCTGGACGTGAGCGATAACCACCTCGCCGACCTCGGCGCGTTGGCCGGGTTGTCGGCGCTGACGCATCTCGTCGCGCCGTGCAACGCCGTCGCCGTCGCGTCGTTGCCGACGCCGACGTCGTATTCGACGGTTCATATTCCGCCGTTCGCGTCGCTTCGCGTCCTGGACGTGTCGTTCAACCGCTTGGACTGTAGGTGCTTCGAGCCGCTCTCGACGATCGCGACGTTGAGAAGCTTGAACCTGAGCGGGAACGCGATCTCGAAGGCGCGTTCTATCATGTTTACACTGGTCCCCATACGACCGCGTCGGCGTGGTGAACGCCGATCCTTAAGGACTTTATTATCTCCCGCCGCATCGCTCCGCCCAGGGTCCCTGGGTTTCAATCCCGACACACCTCGACACCTTTCAACTCCGCTTCTGACGCCTTTCAACTCCACCCCGATCTCGAAGGTGCCGCGGGACGGGCTCTTCGGCGGCGCGACGGCGGACGCGAAGAACGCGACGCGCGGACGCCGTCGCGCGTACGACGACTGCGAGGACGAGGAGGCGTTTGATGACGTGGCGTCGTTTGATGACGTGGACGAATCACGGCCGATCGCGTCGCTTCAGATTCCGTTTCCGAATCTGAAGCACCTGGACCTGAGCGCGCAGACGCCGCGGCTGACGTCGAGGACGTTTCATCCGCGCGCGTTGGCGACGCTTCCTCGACTCGAGACGCTGTCGCTCGCGCGGAATAAGCTGTCGCGCCCGGGCGTCGTCGAGCGACACCCGGACGAGGACGAACACGACGACGGGGAAGGGGGTGCCACGTGGCGCGATACCGAAGACGAAGGTGCCACGTGGAGCGATCCCAGACGCGCGGCGGCGGCGGGGAGTGCCACGTCGACACGTGGCACCTTCCCCGCGTTGCGTCTCTTGGACGTCGCCGGGAACGACATTCGCGACGCGCGCGCGTTCGCCCCCCTTCTCTCCGCGGCTTCGTTCCCCTCGCTCGTGGACGTCCGCGCGCACGCGAACCCGTGCGCGGAGGCGATGCTCTCATTCGCGCTTCGCGGGACGGGGATCGGGCCGGGACGGATCGCGGCGGCGGCGGCGGGGAGGGGCTTCGACGCGCGAGCGATGCGCGCCGCGTTGGCGAAGGCGCGCGGGACGACTTTGAGGTGCGTTCTATACACTGGTTCCCATACGACCGCGTTCGCGTGGTGAACGCCGATCCTTAAGGACTTTTCCCGGCGCATCTCTCCGCCCACCCCTCGCTTTCAATCCCCGCCCTCGGCGCCTTTCAACTCCAACTGACGCCTTTGAACTCCACCCCAACATTCGCTTGTATAGAACGGCCCTGACTTTCGGCGCCGTCGACGCGGACGGAGAGGACGAGACGCTTCTCCGCGTGCCGCTGGTCGACGCGCGCGGGCGCGAGACCGCGATCGCGGTCGCGGTGACCCCGCCGCGCGGGTGGGGTCACTGGGTTGGGGCGTCCGCGTCGTCCCGCGGTGTCGGTCGGTCGACGACGAGGGCGCCGCGCCGCCGCGCCGGCCGCGCGAGCGAGGTGAGCGACGAAGCAGACTGGTTCCCGTACGACGCCGTTCGCGATGTGAACGCCGTTCCTTGAGGACTTTATTTCCCGGCGAGCTCTCCGTCGCTCTCGTCCAATCAATGAAACGTCCGTCCACGTCATCAAACCACTAACCAATCGCATCACTCCCAAACTCTCCACGTCACCGATCGCAGCCGTCGCCGCTCGCGTCCTTCGCGCCCGGGGACGACGACGTCGACCCCGAGGTGGGCAAGGTTGACCGCGCGTTCGACCCCACGTACGGCGCGGTCGACATGCGGCTCACGGGTCAGGCGCGTTCTATACACTGGTCCCCATACGACCCCGTCGGCGTGGTAAACGCCGATCCTTAAGGACTTTTGCCGGCGCATCTCTCCGCCCATCCCTCGCTTTCAATCCCCGCCCCGCCATCGACGCCTTTCAACTCCGACTGACGCCTTTCAACTCCACCCCGACAATGCTTTGTATGGAACGACCCTCAGCACGACTGGATCAGCGCGCCCGCGGAGATCGTTCGCGTCGTCCGCGGGGCCCGGGGCTGGGGCGAGGGCGAGGGAGGAGGAGGAGGAGGAGGAGACGCGCGGCGGGGGCGGGGGCGGGACGATGATGATTTCGCCGGCGGGCCTTGGGTCGTCGCGGCGCCGAAAGCGTACGAGCCCCCCGGCCCGCCCGCGCTGGAGAGCGTCCAGGGCGGCGAGGAGGAGGAGGAGGGCGGCGGCGACGCGAGCGCGAGGCTGATGCGGCGGTTGGAGATGGAGGAATACAGCGACGACGACGACGACGGCGACGACGGCGGCGGCGGCGGGACGACGCGCGCCGGCGTCGGCGTCGGCGGCGACGTCGCCGCGCTTCGAGCGCTGAAGACGGCGCTGAGCAAGCCGCTCGCGAGCGACGCGGATGTTCGAAGGGTCCTCCGCGGCGAGAAACGAGCGGGGTACATGAAGACGACGAGGGCGTTAGAGCTCCGCAGAGAAGCCCGGCTCGGCGGCGGCGGGCGCCGAGAGAGAACGAAGAGGGACGCATAAAAATCCTAAAAATGACAGTTTCGTCTGACATTCGCGCGTCTGCGTCTTTCTGTTGTACAGTACAGTAGACGCGTCGGAACGTGTCGTCGTTCGTGACCGATCACTCGCCGCGTCGCACTCGCGAAGACACGCACGCACGCGCCGGTACGTCCGTCCCCGTCGTCGCCTGTCGTTCGAACGCGCGTCGATCCCTCCCTCGCGGCGATCGCGGGCGCGCGCGACGCGCGCGATCGTTCGATCGCGCGTCGCGTCGCGTCGCGAGAGCTTCCGAGGCTTTCCCATTCACATTCTGTTATTTTTCCATCATCGATCGCGCCGCGCGCGCGTCGTCCCGTCGTCGTCGTCGTCTTCGGCTCCCCCGCCCGCGGCGCGTCGCCCCGCGCGCGATCCGACGCTTCTCTCCCGCCGTCGTCGTCCACAGACTCGATTCCAACGACAACAGGATGGGTCCGTGCATCTCCACGCCCAAGCAAGCCGCGCCCTCGGAAGTCGCCGACTCGGGTGCGTTCTACACACTGGTTCCCATACGACCGCGTCCGCGTGGTGAACGCCATTCCTTAAGGACTTTGCCCGGCGTCTCTCTCCGCCCACCCCTCGCTTTCAATCCCCGCCCTCGGCGCCTTTCAACTCCACCTGACGCCTTTGAACTCCACCCCGACATCGCTCGTATGGAACGACCCTCAGTCGTCATCCGCCAGCTCCCCGGCGCGTACCCGGAGCTCGCGAAGCGATGGAGCATCCAGAACGACTTCAGCACGTGGCCGGGCATCACCTGGGACGAGAACGGCGTCGCGGGCAACGTCCTCAAGGTGCGAATTCGGTCGATCCCGCGCGGAGTCGTCCCGACGCTGATGACGCCCGACTGAGCTTTTGGATTTTTTCATTCTTTCGGACGACTGACCGCCGCGCGTCGGCGTCGCGCGTCGGCGCGCGCGCGTTCTCCATCCGACGCTAACTAACCACGCGTTCCCTCCCCACCTCCTCCTCATCATCATCATCATCCTCCTCCAGATCGATCTCAGCGGGTGCGGCCTCAAGGAGTGCCCGTGGCAGCTCGGCGAGCTCAACTCGATGACGCACCTCGACCTCTCCGGCAACGACTTCCACACGCTCCCGCCCGAGCTGTCGCAGGCCAAGGCGGTGACGCATCTCAACCTCTCCGGGTCCAACGTCGGGCTCGCGGAGGACGGCTCCTCGGACGGCCCGCTCCCGGAGTGGGTGTACACGTTTAAGCTCAAGGAGCTCATTCTCACGGATTGCGGCAAGCTCAACGACGTGCGTTTGGTTATCACTCTGGTCCCCATACGACCGCGTTCGCGCGGCGCGCGCCGATCCTTATTAAAGACTTACTATACTTTTCCCATCGCATCTTTCCGCCCACGCCACGGTTTCAATCCCCGCCTACGATACCTTTCAACTCCGTTTCTGACGCCTTTCAATAACTCCACAGATCGACGTCGCGCGATTTCCCAGCCTCGAGACGCTCAACATCGACGGCACGCAGTTTTTGAACTGGAAGTTCGTGTTCATCAAGTGCGGCGGGCGGAAGAACCTCAAGACGATCAGCGCGAGGAACCTGCCCGCGCTCGGCGACCTCCCGGAGGAGCTCGCGCAGTGCACATCGCTGGAGAGCCTCGACGTCTCCGGCTGCAACTTCACTTCGCTCCCGTCGATGTTTACGAACAAGGAGCTGGCGCGCGGGATGAAGCTCAAGGTGCGTTCTATACAAAAGTGTTTCACCCATCGATCGGTTTCAACACTTGATCGCGTCCCCTTTCAACTGACCGGTGAACTTTTTTTGTATTGAATGGCCCTAAGACGCTCGTGATGACGAACAACAAGCTCAAGGAGCTCCCCGACGGCCTGAAGTACCTCGAGTCGATCGAGACGATGAACTTCCAAAACAACGACATCAAGCAGGTGGACATGGACATCGGGAGCGACCTCCCCAGCTTGAAGCGCGTGGACCTCACGAAAAACCCGCTCAAGAAGGTGCCGCCGCCGGTGTGGAAGAAGAAGGAGGAGGGCATCATCCTCGTGGACGACAACGTCAAGGAGGGAATCAACGCGGACGACGCCATGGAGATGGCGCAGGATAAGGCGCAGGAGGCCAAGAAGGCTGCGCAGAAGGGCGCAGATGAGGCCAAGAAGGCTGCGAAGAAGGCGATGGGGTCGATCAAGAAGATGTTCTGAGCGAGCGTCTCGTTCGACGACGACGCTCGCGTCGTTTCGATGGATCGTTTCGATCGACCGGCGAGCGTCGACGACAGTCGATCTCGCGCGCGTTCGTTTTTAAGTAACCTTAAACCTTAACGTTTCCTTATTAGACCGACGCCGACGCGACGCGCGACGACGACGACGTTCTTCCGACGACGTCGCGTAGCGTCGCGTCGCGTCGTCAGAACGAACCGATCTGTCGCCGCGTCGCGTCGCGTCGTCGTTCATCTTCCTTCACAAGGACGTCTGAAATACTAATATCACTTCAGACGTTCTTCCTTCACCGTTTCGGCTTCGCGCCCTTCGGCTTATTAAACTTCCGTCCTCCTCCTCCTCCGCCGCCGCCGCCGCGGGCGCGCCGAGCGTTCGCGTCTTCGCGCTCCGAGTCCGACTCGGATTCCGTCGCGTCCTCGTCGTCCTCGTCGTCCGAAGAGGCCTCTTCGCTGCTGTCGCTCTGCGGGAACGGCGCGAACGTCTTGAACGGCCACCGCTTCAGGTGCTTCGACCCGCCCGCGAACGCTTCCTCGGCGCGCGTCGCTCGCGTCACGTCATCATAACGCTCATCCTCCGGGCGTTTCTTCCCCGGCGGTTTCGGCGGCGGACGCTCCCGTAACAAACGCGTCGCCTCCTCCACCGCGGCGTCGAGCTGCGGGTCGCGGCCCAACGCGTGGTCCGTCGGCGAGATGCGCACGACCACGTCCGGGGTCACGCCGCGGTTCTCGATGACGTTTCGATGCGAGGCAGCGGTGCCGGTCGCGGCGCCGGTCGAGGCGCTCGTTTCGGGTTCGATCGCATCATTATTCCCGACTGCAAAAACTTTTTCGTCCCTAAACAGCGCGACGTTGGACTGCGGCAGCGACACCTCGCCGCCGTCCACGAGGCCGTACGACTCGCTCGTCGTCAGCAGCCCGCCCCATGTCCTGCACCCGACCACGACCCCGAGCCCGAGCGCGCGGAACGCCTCCGCGGCGAGCTCCGCGTCGGAGCCGGTGTTCTCGTCGACGAGGACGACGAGCGGGCCGCACGCGTGCGACGGGTACTGAGGGTCGAGGGTAAATTTTCAAAGCGATGTCGGGGTGGCGTTGAAAGGCGTCAGTTGGCGTTGAAAGGCGTCATAGGGTCGGGTCTTGAAACCGAGGGATGGGCGGAGAGATGCGCCGGGAACAAAAGTCCTTAAGAAACGGCGTTCACAACGCCAACGGGGTCGTATGGGAACCAGTGTGAATCGAACGCGCCGTCGCCGCCGCGCCTCTGCGGGGAACGTCCCACGCCAGCGGTCGTTGCGCGAGCTTCGCGAGGAGCAGCTCGCTGATGTGCCCGCCCGCGTTCCCGCGGAGGTCAACGATCAGCGCGCCTTTCTTCACCTCGCGCGGGAAGTGCCGCCAGAACTCTGAGTACCCCGTGCGCTCCATGTCCGGCAGATGGAGGTACCCGACTTGGTCTTTTCCTAATTTGGCCACCCTCGAGGTGCGGTCTCGGACCGCGTCCCTGTACCGCGCGTCGAGCTCGCTGTGCATCGCGCGCACGCGGACGGACACGACGTCGCCGCGCTTCAGCGTGCCGTTGGCGCCGGCGGCGTCGGCGGCGGTGGCGTCCTTGCCCTTGGTCTTTTTGTGCTTCGCGCCGGATCCGCCCGAGCGATTCTTCTTATCAGACGCCGCGGCGGCTGGAGCGATCTCGCCCGTACTCCGCCCCCCCCCGCCGCCGCCGCCGCCGCCGCGGTCTCCAACCTTGAACGTGACCATCACCTCCGCGCCGCCCTTCCCGGTCAACACCTCGTCCACGCCCACCTCCTCGGTCAACGTCACGCGGTTCAACGCGACGATCGCGTCCCCGACCGCGACATTCAACCCCGGCTTGCGCAGCGCCCCCCCGGTGAGATCGTCCCACTGATCGCCGCCGACGATGTGCGTGATTCGATACCCACGCATCTTCGCGTCCCACACGAGGTCGCACCCGAGCCGCCCGGGCGCGGGCGAACGTCGGCGCGCGGTCGACCCGGCGTCGCCGAGGCTCACGTGGACGTGTGACGACCGCAGCTCCGCGGTCATCTCGCGCAACACGTCCGACAACTCCGCGACGGACGCGACTCGGGGAAGCAGCCTCGCGTGTCGCGTCAACGCGCCCTCCCAGTCCGCGACGCCGCGCGCGTCGCCGTGCGCCATCCCGGCGTCGAACCACTCGTCCCTGCATATCCTCCACGTCTCCAGCAGCGCCTGCGTCCACTCCGCGAGCGGGTCGACCTCGGCGGCGATGCGTCCGTCGATGTCGATGAGCCCGGACCTTCGATCGAACGCGTCCTCGTCGACGTCTTCGCCGTCGCTGTCCTCCTCGTCCGGCTTGGTCCCCGCCTTGTGCGCTCTGAGCTCGACGTATCCGTCCACGGACTTTTCCACGAGCATGCACCGGCGGTCCATGCTGAGGACGACGGACCGCACCCCGGAGGGGATCAGCACCGAGGTCTTCAGTCGACGGACGTCAAACTTACACAACGCGCCGACGCCGCCGGCGTCCTCGTCGTCGGAGTCGTCAGCGCGTTCGTTTTCCGCGTCCGAGCCGCCGTCGTCGCCGTAATACGGCGCGTCTAACCCCACCCTCCCGCCTCGCCGGATCGGGTACTTCACGAACATGAATCTGCCGTCGTCTAAGCCGCGGACGTGGCCGTACCGCCCGGGGGGGACGGGCAGCGCGACGACGCGGTCGCGTAAGCCTTCCCACTCGATCACGATCGGCGGGCACTTATCTTCGTCGTTTGAATCCGAACCGTCGGCATACGAATCGTCATCGTCGGAATCAGAACCGTCGTCGTCGCCGTCGCCTTCGCTGTCTGAGCTGTGGTCCCCGGGAGGCGTCAGCGCTTTGAGGAGAGGGTTCTTCACGTCCGCGCGCAACGCGACGCAATGCGGTCGGTGCGCGCCGTGGAAACTCAGGGTCGTTCCATACAAAGCGATGTCGGGGTGGATTTGAAAGGCGTCAGATGGAGTTGAAAGGCGTCGACGGCGGGGATTGAACGCAAGGGATGGGCGGAGAGATGCGCCGGGCAAAGTCCTTAAGGATCGGCGTTCACCACACGAACGCGGTCGTATGGGGACCAGTGTATAGAACGCACCTCAGCCCGAAACGATGCGCGTCGTACGCGGGCTCCAACTCGCGCGAACTCAGAAAGTAGAGGAAATCCCCAGCCGGGTCCCAGCCCGGGTTGCAGTCGCCGAGCACGGGCGTCGTCGCGTCGCGCGTCACGCCGGTTCGCGCGTCTAAAATTCGAATCAACGTCGTCTCCGAGTCGACCCTCTTCGTGTACGCGACCCAGCATCCGCACGGCGACCACGCGACGTGCGTTATCCCGCCTTGCTCTTCGCTGACGTCCGCGGTGCGGCACGTCCCCGCGTCCACGTCGACGATGAGCAACGCGTTCCGGTGGTTCGTCACCGCGAGAAGCGGCGCCTCCGGCGACGGCGCGAGGGAGATCGGCCGACCGAGGAGCGCGGGCGGCAACCCCATGCGTCTGAGGGTCGTTCCATACGATGCAAAGTCGGGGTGGAGTTGAAAGGCGTCAGAAGCAGAGTTGAAAGGCGTCGAGGTCGGGGATTGAAAGCGAGGGACCCTGGGCGGAGAGAGACGCCGCCGGAAAGTAAAGTCCTTAAGGATCGGCGTGCACAACGCGAACGCGGTCGTATGGGGACCAGTGTGAATCACGTGAACGCGCCTGGGCTTTTTGCCGTCCTCGCGGTGAATCTCTATGTCGTCCTCGCCGGTGGCGTCGGACACGAACGCGAGCCGCTTACCGTCCCAGAGGTACGACGCGAGCCTCGCGCGCGGGGCGAAGCTCCCGGTCGCGCGGGTGGCGACGTGACGCAACGCCGCCGCGCCCGGCGTCGGCGTCGCGTCGGTAGTATTTTTCTTCTCCCGAAACGCCTCCTCTAAAGCGTCCACGTCGGCGTCCACGTCGGCGCACGGGTAACTCAACGCGGGCCCGTCCCACAGGCCCATCGTGAACGCCCTGCCGCGGATCGTCGTCGCGAGGGTGAGCCCCTCCGGGTGGAGGCTCCAGTCTTGGAGAAACTCCGACGGCTCGTCGACGGCGCGTCTCTCGAGCTCGCTCTTCGCGCCCGTCCACTGCACCGCGATCTCTTTCGTCGTACACGCGGCACTACTGTCGGACGCAAGTTCGGACATAAACAGCCGTCCGCCCGCGACGAACGCCACCCTGAGCGGGGGCGACTCGGTCGCGTCCGCGCGTTGCGACGCGTCCGCGGCGGGGTGCCGCGCGCCGTGCGCTTCGCCCGGCGCCGTCGCGCGCGGCGTCAGCGTCGCCCGGAGCACGGTCGCGTCGGACGAAGAAGAGCCGTTGCTGTCTTGTCCGACACTATGCGTCCTCTCCCGCGTCACGTCCTCCGCGCACGACATCGGGCGGAACGAGCACAGCGACGCGCGCCCGCGGCCATCGTCCGCGACGCACAGCGCGAGGTCCGGCCGGCACCACGACACGTTGCCGACTGATCCCTCGAACGACGCGCCGTCGGGGGTGAAGAACTCGACCCTCTTAGGGTCGTTCCATACAAGCGAATGTCGGGGTGGAGTTGAAAGGCGTCAGTTGGAGTTGAAAGGCGTCGAGGGCAGGGATTGAACGCAAGGGACCCTGGGCGGAGAGACACGCCGGGCAAAGTCCTTAAGGATCGGCGTTCACCACGCCAACGGGGTCGTATGGGAACCAGTGTATAGAACGCGCCTTAAAATCGCCGACGCCCTCGACGTCCAGCCAGACCTCGCCGCCGGCGCCGCCGCGGTACCCTTTCCAGTGCGCGATCGACGGGTCTTCCGTGTGCCGCCCGATCAGCCGCGCGGGGGGGCGCGGGGGGGCGCCGTCGGTCGCCGCCGGCGTCGGTCGAAACTGAGGGTCGTTCCGTACGAGCGATGATATCGGGGTGGAGTTGAAAGGCGTCAGTTGGCGTTGAAAGGCGTCGAGGTGTGTCGGGATTGAAACCATGGCGTGGGCGGGGAGAAACGCCGGGAGAGAAAGTCCTTAAGGATCGGCGTTCACCACGCCAACGGGGTCGTATGGGAACCAGTGTGAGATGGGACGCGCCTGCGCGTCGCTGACGGGGCCGAGCGTCATCTTCTCCGGCGCGCCGCCGCGCGAGGGCACGCGCCACAGGGTGTCGTCGTCCGGAAACGCCCGCGACGCGGACGTTACGAAGTACACTACCTCGCCGTCCTCCGACCACGTCGCGACGCGCGCGAAGTCCGCGCCCGCGCGCGTCAGCCGTCGCATCCGCCCGCCCTCGACGCTCACGACGTAGATCTCCTCGTGGCCGTCGGGCTCGGAGACGGTGAACGCGACGAGCGCGCCGTCGGGGCTGCAGTGCGTTTTGATTGGTCGAGGGAAGACACGTGTCAGTCGCGCGTGTACGCGATTGGTTAATATCATTACCACGTGTCAAAACGTGAGGTTCACAGCGCGCGAGTGAAAGTCCTTAAGGAACGGCGTTCACCGCGCGAACGGGAGCGTATGGGGACCAGTGCGAATTCGTTTTAGTCTCGACGCGCCTGATCACGGGCCGTCGGACTGGCCCCGGGGCGTCCGTGACGCGGTGCGCGCGCCCGCCCAGGGTGGCGTGGACGCCGTAGATGTCGTCCTCGCACACGAACAGCAGCGTGTCGCCGTGCAGCGCGGGGTAGCGGTAGTACCCGTCGGTGGACGCGGCGGCGGCGTGATGAGTTGACATCGCGACCTCGGGACGACGACGACGCGACGACGACGACGCGAGAGGCGCGGCGACGACCGCGAAGGATGGGGAACGCTCGGCGCGGCGGAAGAGAGGTCGCGCACGCGCTGAGGATGGAGAGACCGCGAAAGCGGAGGCGCGCATGCACCGAACCCGCGCGGCTCGGGGGGCAGCGCGCGCGACGGTGTCGAGCGACGCAAACCTAATGGCGTCCGTGCCGACGCGTTTTCTCGGGTGCATCGATCGGTCAGTCAGTTCAACCAGACGCCGTCGCGGTCACCTTTTGAAACCGTGCGAGGGGTGGGTGAAAAGGTCGATCGATCGATAGCGTCTCCGCTGAAAACTGTCTGATCTTCGCGAGCGTCTACGTCTGTCGACACGTCATCGAGGTCACTCATCACTCGAGACGCGCGCCGCCGCGCGTCCGTCCGAAGGCGACGATGGCCTCCTCGACGCTCGCCGCGCGCACCGCGACGACGCTCGCGTCGTCGTCGTGGGCGTCGTCGCCTCGCCGCGTCCTTAAGGATCGGCGTTCACCACGCGAACGCGGTCGTATGGGAACCAGTGTGACGCCGCGAAGGCGACGCGATGGCGCGACGTCGATCGCGGCGCGATCGTCCGCCCCCGACGACGACGACGCGCCGCCGCCGCCGCCCTCGGTCGCCTCCTCCCCGTCGCGATGGACGGGCCCGCCCGTGAACCGCCTGGACGAGCAGGCGGCGAGAGAGCGCGTGATGCGCCTCGCGACGACGACGACGCAGGGCGCGGGCGCGCTCGAGGCGATACAGGGGTGCCTGAGCTCCATGCCGGGCGTCACGAACAATCGCCTCGCGCTGTTCCGATACCCGGAGCGTGAAGTGCCCGCTCGACACGGTCGCGCTCAACTTGATCGAGACGCGCTGGGTCGTCGCGTTCGACGCGCTGGCGAACGCGCCGAGACGACCGGGGGACCCGCCGTTTTGTTTCGGCATCACGCACCCGGCGCTGACGGTGCGCGCGACACTGGTCCCCATACGACCCCGTTCGCGTGGTGAACGCCGTTCCTTAAGGACTTTCTCTCCCGACCAACCGACCCGTCGTTCGACCGCGCGTCCGCCAATCACCCACCAATCACGTCGCGCCACGTCACCATCTACAGTAGTACACGTGTTCTTCCATCCTCGTCGTCTCGACTCACCAATCCGATCGCGGCGCGTCGTCGTCGTCCGTATCCCGCAGCCCGCGAAGACGCCGCCGGGGGAGGACCCGATACCCCCGAAGGAGGGCGACGTCGGCCTCGTCTGTCGCATGGTCGACGCGTACCACGACAACAAGGAAGAGAGGCTGTACGTCACGTCTCAGGTTGTGGGGAGGTTTCGAGTCGACCGCGTCGTGACGGACGGGAATCCGTTTTTCGTCGCGGAGACGAGCCAGGCGCGTTCGTATTCACACTGGTCCCCATACGAACTCGTCCGCGTGGTGAACGCCGATCCTTAAGGACTTTTCCACCCGTCGTCACTCTCCGCCCACACCTCGCTCGCTTTCAATCCCCGCCCCTATGACGCCTTTCAACTCCGTCTGACGCCTTTGAACTCCGCAGGTTTTGGACCAAGTCCCGGAAGACGACGAGGGCGCGAAGGCGCTGGCGGAGGAGGAGGCGGACGTGTGGCGCCTCCTGAAACAACTCGAAACGCTCTCCGCGAAGACGAAAGAGGGTGACGGCGCGCAGATCGACTACGACATGCGGCGGTGCTCGCCGGATCCCAAGGAGCGGCCGCCGTGGGACGCGGACCCGCCCGCGCCGGAGCGACGCGCGGAGATGTTTTCGTGGGCGGTGACGCGGCGACTGGGGTTGGGTGCGTTCTATACACACGTTTTTCACCCGTCCATCGGTTTCAACATTTGATCGCGTGGGTCCCTTTCAACTGACCGATGAACTATTTTTGTACGGAACGACCCTCAGAGCCGCGCGAGCATCTGGACGCGGTGCGCACGACGCACACGTCCGCGCGCCTCGCGCAGGTGAAGAGCGCGCTGACGGAGGGGGTGAACTACCTCGCCGCGGTGAGCGCGCTGCAGGGCGCGGAGGGGGGCGGGGAGGGCGGGGGGGGCGAATGAAGAAATCTTTTCGCCCTCCACAGCATTTTATTCCGAAACGAACGCGTGTCCGTACTACGCGAGATTCGTACTCGCGTGACTGTTTGCTCGTGCGGGCTAGCGGGCGCCGTCGAGCCGTTGACGGCCGTTTTCTCGTTCGTCGTGTCGTCGTTCTCGTTCTCGGTCCCCCCCACCGCGCGCGTCGCATTCCCGCGCCGCGCCGCGACCGCCGCTCGCACCTCGGCGTTCCCCGCGCATCGCGCATCGCACCGCGCCGCGAAGACCACCGCGCGCGCCGCGCCGCATCGCATCGCGTCGCATCGCGTCGCGTCCGTCGCGTCCGTCGCGTCCGTCGCGTCCGTCGCGTCGCGCGAAGAGAGCATCATGTTCGTGGAAGAGGTGTGCATCGACGGGTTCAAGTCGTACGCGCAGCGGACTGTCGTCCCCGCGTTCGACCCTCTGTTCAACGCCATCACCGGTCTGAACGGCTCGGGGAAGAGCAACATCCTGGACTCGATATGCTTCGTGCTCGGCATCACGAACCTGACGCAGGTGCGCGTCGTCGTCGTCGTCGTCGTCGTCTGTTTTCCCTCCGCTGCGCTGTTCCCCCCCGAATGAATGAATGAACGAGTCTCCGAGATCCGCGGCCGACGCGCGCGCGGCGTCGGAGGGCGCCGCACCGCGCGCGCGCGACGCGGGGGGTCCCGCGTGGACGTCCTCAGAGGAGATAGACGACGACGCGTCGCGCGCGCGGAGAAGGGGGGGAGGGGTCCCGCGCCGCCGGCGTCGCGCGTTGGATCCCGCGCGCCCCCCGCGCGAACGACGCGACGACAGACGCGAAACCGAACCGAAAACCGAAAACTGACGAACGCCGACGCGCCCGCCGTCCTACCCCATCCTCCAGGTTCGATGCTCGTCGCTGCAAGAGCTCGTGTACAAGCAAGGCCAAGCCGGCGTCACGAAAGCGTCCGTGTCCATCACGTTTAACAACTCGGACCGCTCGCGTTCCCCCGTCGGATACGAGCACTGCGACCAGGCGCGTTCGCATTCGTACTAGTCCCCATACGACCCCGTTCGCGTGGTGCACGCCGATCCTTAAGGACTTCACTTCCCGGCGCATCTCTCCGCCCACCCCCCGCTTTCAATCCCCGCCCTCGGCGCCTTTCAACGCCGACTGACGCCTTCCAACTCCACCCACCCTCGACCCTCGTCGATCATTCAGATCGTCGTCACGCGGCAGATCGTCATCGGCGGGCGGAACAAGTACCTCATCAACGGGCACGTCGCGCAGCCGACGAGGGTTCAGAACTTGTTTCACTCCGTGCAGCTCAACGTGAACAACCCGCACTTTCTCATCATGCAAGGGCGGATCACGAAGGTGTTGAACATGAAGCCGCCGGAGATTCTCGGCATGCTCGAAGAAGCCGCGGGGTGCGTCCTCCAATCACATCACGCCATGTCATCAGTATGTATTCGTCCACGTCACCGCGTCTAACCAATCAACTCACGTCCATACATCGCCACGTCATCAATCAATACCTCCATCCAATCCAATCCAATCAGGACGCGCATGTACGAGAGCAAGAAGGAGGCGGCGCTCAAGACGCTCGATAAGAAGCAGACCAAGGTGGACGAGATCGACAAGCTCCTGGAGGAAGAGATCTTGCCGACGATCGAGAAGCTTCGCAAAGAGCGCGGCGATTACATGAAATGGGCGTCCGGGAACGACGCGCTGGAGCGCCTCCGCAGGTTTTGCGTCGCGTACGAGGTGCGTTCTATCTTACACTGGTCCCCATACGACCGCGTCGGCGGGGTGAACGCCGATCCTTAAGGACTTCTCTTCCCGGCGGCGCATCTCTCCGCCCAGGGTCCCTCGCTTTCAATCCCCGCCCTCGATGCCTTTCAACTCCACCCCTGACGCCTTACAATTCCACCCAAAACCTTCGAATTCAGTACGCCAACGCGAGGGCGGCGCTCGAGGAGGACGCCGTCGGCGAGTTGAAGACGAAGATCGACGACCTCGATGCCAGGGCGATCGACCGCGCGGATCAGAGCGACGCGATCGACGCGGAGATGAAACGTCTGAGCGACGAGCGAAAGGCGCACGAGAGCGGCGACGCGAAGGCGTTAACGGACGTCGTCGAGGCGTTATCGAAAACGCTCGTGAAGGACCAAGCCGCGGCGAGCCACAAGAAGGACGCGGTGAAGGCGGAAAAGAAGCAGGCGCGTTCTCCTCACACTGGTTCCCATACGGCCGCGTTGGCGTGGTGAACGCCGTTTCTTAAGGACTTTTGCCATCGTCTCTCTCCGCCCAGGGTCCCTCGCTTTCAATCCCGACACACCTCGACGCCTTTCAACTTCAACTGACGCCTTTGAACTCCACCCCGACTTCGCTTTGTAGGTTGAAAAACTCGTCAAGCAAGCGAAGCAGCACGAGGAGCAGGTCGCGAAGGACGAGGAGCGGCTCTCGAAGATGCGCGACAGCAGCGACGCGGCGGCCGACGCGCTCGCCGCCGCGGAGAAGGCGGTTGAAGTCGCGGAGGTGACACTTCAAGGCGTCACCAGCGGCAGCGGCGCCGGCGGCGACGGCAACAAATCGCTTCAGACGCAGCTCGGCGACGCGACTTCCGCGATCGCTTCCGCGGACGCGGACGCCAAGGCGGCCGCGCTCAAGGCGAAGCACGCGGAGAAGGAGCTCAGCGCGAAGAAGAAGCAGCGCGCGGCGAAGGAGAAGGAGGGAGACAAGCTCTCGAAGGACCTGTCCGCGGCGACGGCGAAGCGCGACGCCGCGGTGGACGCGTATGAGAACGCGAGCGGCGGGTGCACGCCCGATCGACTCGCCGAGCTCGAGGCGTCCAGGGACTTCGCGGAGCGAAACGTGCGAGCCGCGCAGGAGAAGGTGGACGTCCTCTGCGGGCAGCTCGCGGGTCTGGACTTTAAGTTTAAAGACCCGGAGGCGAAGTTTGACCGAGGGCGGGTGAAAGGTGTGGTCGCCGCGCTCATGAAGGTGAAGGATCCCGCGATGTCCACCGCGCTCGAGGTTGTCGCCGCCGGGAAGCTGTACCAGGTGGTCGTCGACACGGAAGTCACGGGCAAGGCGCTCCTGTCGAGAGGCCAGCTCCAGAAGCGCGTGACGATCATACCCCTGAATAAGGTGCGTTCTATACACTGGTCCCCATACGACCCCGTCCGCGTGGTGAACGCCGATCCTTAAGGACTTTTGCCGTCGTCTCTCTCCGCCCACCCCTCGCTTTCAATCCCCGTTCTCGACGCCTTTCAACGCCAACTGACGCCTTTCAACTCCACCCCGACATCGCTTTGTATGGTATGGCCCTAAGATCGACGCGCGGATTGCGTCGGAGGGGCAAATCGCCGCCGCGACCGAGGCGTCCGACGGCGACGCGAGGCTCGCGCTGTCGCTCGTGACGTGCGACGCGGAGGTGCAAAACGTCATGAACTACGTCTTCGGGAGGGCGTTCGTGTGCAAGGACGCGTCCACGGCGAGGGCGGTGGCGTTCGATAAGAACGTGTTGACCAACTGCGTCACCGTGGAGGGCGACCTGTTGAACCCGAGCGGGTTGCTCACCGGCGGGTCGAGGAACAACTCGCACAGCGTCCTCGCGAAGCTTCACGCGCTGCACGAGGCGGAGAAGGCTCTCGGCGAGCTGAAAATCGTCGCGAGAGAAGCGTCCGACGCCGCGAAGACGGCGGCGAGAGAGGCGAAAGCGAGCGAAGGCTTGGAAGCCGCCGTCGACGCCGCCGAGCACGCGCTCGGGTTGGTCAAGGCGAAGATCGAAGGGAGCGAATCGCACGCGCTCGCCTCCGCGGTGGAAGCGCTCGAGAAGGACCTGATGGACGCGAAAGCCGCGGGCGAAGCCGCGAAAGATGCGAAAGCCGCCGCGACCGATCGCGCGTCCGCGCTCGAGAAGGAGATCGCGTCGTTCGCGAAGGAGCGCGACGCGCGGTTAAAGGAGGCGGAGAAGGCGCTGAAGCTGGCGCGCGCCGACGTCGCGGCCAAACGCGACGAGATTAAAACCGTCGAAACCGTGATGCGAGACGCCAAGGTTGAGCGCGAGTCCGCGGCGGCGGAGCGCGTCGCGATCGCGGAGAACGTCGCCGCCGCGGAGACCGCGGTGGCGGAACTCGAGGGCGAGCTCGCGGCGCTCGAGGCGGTCGTCGCGTCGCGCGCGAAGGAGCACGACGACGCGACGAAGGAGCTCGCGAAGTGCCGCGCGAAGATGGCCGCGTGCGATGAAGAGGCGGCGGCGCTCCGAAAGAAGCAGACGCGCATCGAGCGCGCGGCGGACGCCGACGCCGTGGAGCGCAAAAAGCTTGAACACAAAATCGCGCGCGTCGAAAAAGAAGCCGCGGAGGGCAAGGCGCGCTGCGCGAAACTCGAGGAGGAGCACCCGTGGATCGCCTCCGAAGCGTCGCGGTTCGGCGTGCGCGGCGGCGAGTACGACTGGGCGTCCCGCGACCCGGACGCCGCGGCTGCCGAGCTCGCGGACGCGGAGGCGGCGCAGGCGACCCTGGCCAAGCGCATCAACAAAAAGGTGATCGCGATGTTCGACAAAGCAGAAGGCGAGTTTAAAGCGTTGCAAGAGAAGCGACGCATCGTCCTCGACGACCGGAAGAAGATCCAGGACGTCATCGGCGAGCTGGACGAGAAGAAGAAGGAGGCGCTGTCCGTGACGTGGAACAAAGTCAACGCGGATTTCGGCTCCATCTTCTCCACGCTTCTCCCCGGCACGAGCGCCAAGCTGGAGCCTCCCGAGGCGCGTTCTAGTATCACACTGGTTCCCATACGACCCCGTCGGCGTGGTGAACGCCGATCCTTAAGGACTTCTAATCCAGGCGTCTCTCTCCACCCATCACCCCTCGCTTTCAATCCCGACACACCTCGACGCCTTTCAACTTCAACTGACGCCTTTCAACTCCAGGGTGAGTCGTTCCTCGCCGGGCTCGAGGTGCGAGTCGCGTTCGGGGGCGTGTGGAAAGAGTCGCTCACCGAGCTGAGCGGCGGGCAGCGGTCGCTGCTCGCGCTGTCGCTCATCCTCGCGCTTCTGCTGTTCAAGCCCGCGCCGATTTACATTCTCGACGAGGTGGACGCCGCGTTGGACTTGTCGCACACGCAAAACATCGGCCGCATGATCGCGCAGTACTTTCCGTACTCGCAGTTCATCGTCGTGTCGTTGAAGGAGGGGATGTTTAACAACGCCAACTGCATCTTCAGGACGAAGTTCGTCGACGGCGTGTCCACGGTGACGAGGACGGTGCCGGCGCTGAAGGATAAGGCGGCGCTGAACAAAGCCGCCGGGGATGGCGGCGGGTTTGGCGTCAGCGACGCCGCGCAGAAGCGAAGAGCGGCGGGGGCGAAGGGGAAGGGGAAGGAAAACTAAACGCTACGTACGCGGGGGGTTGGTCGCGGGCGACGCCGACGGGGAACTGTTTGTCGACGGGGCGCGGGGATTTAACTAACGAACTCACGGGTGATGATGATGATGATGATGATGATGATGATGATGTAAAGAATGCGATCGGTATGACCAATTAAACGACGTCCCCGCCGCGATGTTCGCGGCGCGGCTGTTTCTTTCTGTTCGACCCTCGAAAACTACAACGCGCCCTGCCGCTGCGTGCATTTTTTACGTCAAAAAGTCTCTCCGCCTCCAACGAACACGCCGCGCGTCAGGTCGTCGTCTCAGATCCGCCCGCGCGGCGCCGCGAAGAGGGACCAAATGATGGCGTCGTCGTCGCCCTCCGGGTCCCCCCCCCCCCCCCCCGCGACGCATCAGCTGATCACCGCGTCCGGCGACCTCCTCGAGCCGCCGCTCCACGCGTACCTCTCCTCGCTCCCGAACGGCGAGGACTACCTCCGATGGAACGACGCGTACCAGGTGGTCGCCATCATGGGCCCGCAGAGCAGCGGCAAGAGCACGCTGCTGAACCACGTCTTCGGCGTGCGATTCGACGAGATGAACGCGGACTTGGGGAGGTCGCAGACGACGAAGGGCGTGTGGCTGTCGCGCGCGGCGAGCGGCGGCGACGACGCGGCGGTCCCGACGCTCGTCATGGACCTCGAGGGGACCGACGGACGAGAGCGCGGCGAGGACGACACCGCGTTCGAGAAGCAGACCGCGCTGTTCGCGATGGCCGCCGCGGACGTGCTCCTGGTGAACATGTGGTGCAACGACATCGGGAGAGAAGTCGCGAGCGGGAAGCCGCTCCTGAAGACGATCTTCCAGGTCAACCTCAAGGTGTTCAACCCGAAGAAAACCACGCTACTTTTCGTCATCCGCGACAAATCCAGGACGCCGCTGGAGATGCTCGAGGCTAACCTGCGGGAAGACTTGGGTGCGTTCGTATTCACACTGGTCCCCATACGACCGCGTCGGCGTTGTGAACTTCATTCCTTAAGGACTTTCTCTCCCGGCGGGCGTTTCTCTCCGCCCACCCATCGCTTTCAATCCGCGACGCCTTTCAACTCCGCTTCTGACGCCTTTCAACTCCACCCCGAAATATCGCTTCGAATAATGGAACCACCCTCATCGACCCTCATCAGATCGCATCTGGACCGCGATGAAGAAGCCGGAAAAGCACGCCGACGCCGCCTTCGACGCCTTCTTCACGCTCAAGTTCGTCGCGCTGTCGCACTACGAGCACGCTCACGAGAAATTCGTGGAGGACGCCGAGGTGCGTTCTACACACTGGTCCCCATACGACCGCGATCGCGTGGTGAACGCCGATCCTTAAGGACTTTTGCCGGCGCATCTCCCCGCCCACGCCATGGTTTCAATCCCCGACCACGACGCCTTTCAACTCCTACTGACGCCTTTCAACTCCACCCCGACATTCGCTCGTATGGAACGACCCTGAGGCGCTCCGCGAGCGCTTCTCGCTGCCGCCGTCGGACCCGCGATCGCTGCGGCCGAGCGGCGACGACGGCAGAGCGGCGGTGCCCGCGGCGGGCTTGGTCGTGTCGTGGAGAGAGGCGTGGCGCGCGGTGAAAGAGAACCGCGATCTCGACCTCCCCGCGCACAACGTCATGGTCGCGACGGTGCGATGCGAGGAGATCGCGCGCGAGCGGCTGGCGTGCGTGGCGTCCGACCGCGAGATCGCGCACCTGAGCGCCGCCGTCGCGTCCGGGCCGGGGTGCGTTCATATTTACACTGGTCCCCATACGACCGCGTTGGCGTGATGAACGCCGATCCTTAAGGGCGTTTCTCTCCGACCACCCCCCGCTTTCAATCCCCGACCCTATGACGCCTTTCAACTCCGCTTCTGACGCCTTTGAACTCCACCCCAGACCGAGAGGCATCGCCGAGACGTTGACCGGGTTGACGCGTTCGGCGCTCGAAAAGTACGACGAGGACGCGGGGTACTTCGACGCGACGGTTCGCAACGCGAAACGTCGCGAGCTGGCCTCGCGGCTCGTCCTCGCGCTGCGGAAGATCGTCGCGAAGCACCTGACGCACGTCAAGGAGGCGGTCGCGAGGGACGCGAAAGACGCGATTCGCGCGAGGAGGTGAGACTGCTTCCCATACGACCCCGTTCGCGTGGTGCACGCCGTTCCTTAAGGACTTTTCCCGTCGTCACTCTTCACCCGCGCTTCCCTTTCAACGTACGTTTGACCGGTAAGACGTTCGACTGACCGATCGCTTCACCCACGAAGGACTCGAGCGGAGGACTCGAGAACGACTTCGGGGTTCGCCGCTCTCGCCGCCGCGGCGTCGGCGGAGGCGCGCGCGAAGTGGCGCGACGCGATCGCGGACGCGGTCCCGAACGACGGCGACGACGGCGACGACGAAAGCGGCGGCGCGAAGACGGCTTCGGGTGCTGCCGTGGATGCCGACGTGGACGAATCAGACGCGGACGCCGCCGCCGCCGCAGCGACGTGGTCCCGCGTCGCCGCCGTCGCCACCGCCGAGCTCGAGCGCGAGCTCGCGGCGATCGTCTCCGCGGAGCGTAAAACCCGCGTCGACGAGGACGTGCGCGCGATCGAGCGCGTCATGGAGCGCCACGTGGCTGCTGACGTGTCGAGCCTCCTCGACGACGCCCCCGCGGACGCGTGGGCGAAGCTCGAAAAGATTTTACTCGCGGCGGCGAAAAAATACGTCGGCGTCGTCTCGAGGTGCGTTCTATACACTGGTCCCCATACAACCGCGTTCGCGTGGTGAACGCCGATCCTTAAGGACTTTGCCCGGCGCATCTCTCCGCCCAGGGTCCCTCGCTTTTAAACCCCGCCCTCGGCGCCTTTCAACTTCAACTGACGCCTTTGAACTCCACCCCGACGTGTATAGAACGCTCGCCGGTTTCGAACTCGACGCGACCGAGCTCGCCGCGCTGACGACCGCGATGGCGAAGCGCGTGCACGAGACCGTGGACGCGCGCGTGAGAGACGCCGCGAGCCCGACGTGCGTCGTGGAGTCGATGAAGACGGCGTTCTCGCGCGTCTTTTCGAAGGACACGAAGGCGCGCGCGAGCTACGCCCTAAACGCATTTCTTTCTTTCATCACCCGTTCATCATCGTTCGGTTTCGTTCGATCAACACTTCTTCATCGCGTGCGTCTCCTTTCTTTCAACTGACCGATGATCGAACATTCATTCATTGCACGGAACGATCCGCGTCATCAATCAGGGTTTGCCCAAGACGTGGCGCGCGAACGACGACGTCGCGGCGGCGAACGCGCGCGCGCGACGCGAGGCGGTCAGGGTGCTCGGGCTCCTCGCCGTGTGCCGGCTGCCAGCCTGGCGTGGGGACGTGGCGGCCGGCCACGTGGCGGCGGTGTCGGACATGTCGGACATGTCGGACATCGGCGCGAGCCCGACGCGGCGCGGGGGCGACCCGGCGGCGTGGTTCGCGCCGCGAGCGGAGGCGCTGGACGCCGCGTCGCAAGACGTCGTCGACGCGGCGCTCAGCGGGTTCGCGGCGACGGCGGGTTCCGACGTCGTGGACGAATCAGGAGGCGAGAAAGCGAATCTCGTGACGAATGACGTGGCGGCATCTGATTCGCGCGCGGGCGCGACTGACGACGACGACGACGACGGCTTCCCCGGCGAGTGGCCGGGCGCGAAGGACGAAGATGTGATGCTCTCCCCGGCGCAGTGTAAGCGCGCGTGGAAAAAATTCGAGAGCGAGATCGCGTACGCGGTGTCCCAAGCCCTCAACGCGGTCGAGGCCGCCGCGCGCGGTGGGTCGCCGTCGGCGCCGGCGTGGATGATCGCGCTGTTGATCGTCTGCGGCTTCGACGAGATGATGTGGCTTTTGCGGCATCCGTTTTCGGCGACGCTGTTGCTCGCGGTTTTTTTGTTCGGACGCGCGCTGTACAACAACCTGGACGTGGAGGTGCGTTCTAGTATCACACTGGTCCCCATACGACCGCGTTCGCGAGGTGAACGCCGTTCCTTAAGGACTTTACTTCCCGGCGGGCGTTTCTCTCCGCCCAGGGTCCCTCGCTTTCAATCCCGACACACCTCGATGCCTTTCAACTCCGCTTCTGACGCCTTTGAACTCCGCCCCGACGATGCTTTGAACGATGGAACGATAGGCCGCGATGAAGATGGGCGTGATCCCGGGGCTCGTGTTTCTCAGCACGAAGATCATCCCCACCGCGATCGTCGTGTTGAAGCGGTTGATGGACGAAGGGAACAACGCACCGATCGCCGTCGCGGACGCCGCGGGCAAGGCGAAGGTGGAGACCGATCCGGGGGGGGGCGGATCCCCGGGGGAGCGACCCGAGGTGCGTTCTATACACTGGTTCCCATACGACCGCGTTGGCGAGGTGGACGCCGATCCTTAAGGACTTTTCCTGGCGCATCTCTCGGCCCTACCCCCGCTTTCAATCCCCACCCTCGGCGCCTTTCAACTCCAACTGACGCCTTTCAACTCCACCCCGACATTCGCTCAGAGCCGCGTCGGACGCGTGCACGTCTCCGGCGACGGCGCGCGTCGCAGGGTCGCCGTCGCGGAGGAGTCCCAATACGCTCAGCTCGTGAGCTAAAGCATCGGAGGAGGGATGCGAGGAGAAGAGAGCGAGAGCGAGAGCAGAGCGCGCGGCGGCGAGGCGAGGCGAGGAACGATCGATCGAACGACGGAACATTGCAATTGCATCTTTTTTCCTTCGAGGCTTCGCTTCACTTAGCCGCCATCCTTCGTTCGCCTACGCGTCATCCTCCGGCCCGCCCACGACGACGCTCTTCAGCCACGCGAACGAATCGTCGCCGATCATCCAGAACAGCCCGAACCCCGCGGCGGCGCCCCACCCCGCGAGCGTCGTCACCGTCGACACCGGCGGGATCATCTTCACCGGAATCTGCTTGTACATGGCCTTGGGAACGAACATCTCCGCGATCTCGCGCATGACGACTGGACTGGACGCGCGCTGCGAGCGCGTGCGTGCCTCGAGCGGTGGTGCCTTTCGTTCGTTTCTGCGAGCGCGGCGCGCGCGATGAGAGGCGAGACGGGCGAGCGGGGGCGCGATCGATCGGTCGGTCAGCGAGGCGCGTTCGTCGAAGGTGGTGGTTTATTTTTTAGGGTATCTTATTTTTCGAGCGGCGCGGCGAGCGGAGCGAACGATCGCGCGGGGGAGGGGAGAGATCGCGGCGACGCGACGCGACGCGCGAGCGCGCGCGGCGAGCGCGCGCGGGGAAACGCGCGCGCGGGGATGGTGGGGGGGAGAGGACGCACCCGTGACGCGTGCGCGGCGACGGCGGGTGTGCGGCGACGGAGGGAGGGAGGAGCGCCGTGCCTCTTCGAGCCCGCCCGCGATTTTTCCTGTCGCTGCGCGCTTCGCGCCAGCGCCATCGACGACAGGAGCGCGTCCGAGTCCGGTCCGAGTCATGCAATTTTTATCGCTCCCTCGCTCGCCCTCCCTCCCCGGGTGGGTTCACACGTCGCCGCGCGGAGGGGCCCCACTCGCGGGAGGCGCCCGAAGCGAGCGCGGGGAGGGAGGACGCGCGGAGGCCGCGGCGCGAGCGACGCGCGCGCGCGAGAAGTCGGGTGCGAACCCGCCCGGGCGGAATCGAGCGAGCGAGCGAGCGCGCATTATCACTATTTTCCCTTCCCGCGCGCCCGCGCGAGTTCAGCGAGCGCGCGTCGAGCTCGGTGAGACGCGCGTCGTTCGTCGATCCTCGCCGCGGTCGCGCCGCCGACGCGCGGAACAGCACCGCGCGCGTTTCACCGAGCTCGACGCGCGAGCGCGCGGCCGTCGCGCGCGGTCTCGCGCCGTCTCGCGCCGCGCGAGCGCGCGCGCGCGCTCCGCGCGTCGTCGCCGAGGGAATAAACGAATTACCTGTATTCACGCGCTCCCCCCCATCCACCCCCCCCCGTCCGTCCGTCGCGACAGCTGTCATGGCGTATCGCCCCGGCGACCAGGTCTGGGCGAAAGTCGAGGGCTACCGATGGTGGCCCGCGACGGTCCTCGACCCGAAAGAGCACGCGGAGTGGAAGGGCGGCGGAACCAAGGGCGGCTCGATGAGCGGCGCGGGCGGTGATTTGAGAGACGAACGCGACGAAAAACGCGTGCTCGTCCGATTCCATCACACGAACGATTTCGGCTCTCTGCGCGACTGCAAGATACTCGACTTCGAGACGCACAAGAGGGAGAAGTCGCGCGGGGGGAAGAAAGCGAGCGGGTTCGCGCAGGCGGTCGCCGCCGCGGAGGCGGCGTCGACGCGCGCCGGCGGGGGGAGCGCATTAAACGGCGCCGGCGTCGAAAGCGGCGGGGAGCGACCCGCGGCGGCGCCCACCGCGGCGAAGCGTCGGACGCCCACGAAACCACCACCCTCCAAGCCGCCGCAGCCGCCGCACGCGCACACGTCGTCGGGTAAGACGGCGGCGGAAGATGAAACGTCGATCGTCGCTGCTACGCCGGATGAACGATTCAAGGGCGTGTTCCGACTCCCGGGCGGCGCGGCGGCGGCGCGTTGGGAAGCCCGCGTCGACGTCTCGGGCGCGACGGTTGACGTTTCACATTCTGCCTCTACCGCGACCGCGACCGCGATCGGCGTGTTCCCCACGCCCGAGGAAGCCGCGCAGGCGCACGACGTCGCGCTCGTCGCCGCGCTCGGGGCGTCGAAGTGCGTCGGACGCGTCAACTTTTCGCTCGAGATGTACGGCGGCGGCGGCGGCGACGGCGGCGGCGGCGGCGGCGGCGGCGGCGGCGGCGGCGTGTCGTCGGCGCGCGGCGCGGGTCCCGGTCGCCGAGCCGCCGCGGCGAGAGGCGAGGCGAGCCGGAGGGAGGTTGGGAAGAACGGGTTCGCGGTGATCGAAGGCGCGCTCGGCGCGGGCGTCGGCGGCGGCGGCTTGAAACGCGAGGAAGACGATTCTGACGACGACGACGACGATTCTGACGACGACGACGACGCGGTCGCGCGCTCGAGCTCGAGCGACGACGAAGAGAGCGAAGAAGAAGAGGGGGAGAACGACGAAGCGCAAACGCGCGAGGACGCGCTCGCGGCGTTCGCCGCGCGCAGGCTCGGCGGTTTCGGCGCCAAGTCGCGCGCGTTCTGGTGCGTTCGTATTTACACTGGTCCCCATACGACCGCGTCGGCGTGGTGAACGCCGATCCTTAAGGACTTTCTCTCCCGGCGCATCTCTCCGCCCAGGGTCCCTCGCGTTCAATCCCGATACACCGCTTCTGACGCCTTTCAACTCCGCTTCTGACGCCTTTCAACTCCATCCCGACGTTCAGCCCGGACGCCGTCGGCGGAAGCGACGAGCTCCGCGGCGTGGACTTCTCGCACGCGATGGAGGCGTACTTGGGGGTGAACGACCCCGCGAAGGCGCACGTCGTCGCGGGGCTCGGGCTCCACCTCACGGATGTGGAGGTTTTGAGAGGGAAGGACGCGCGGGAGGCGGCGGCGGCGTTTGAGGCGGCGGCCAGGCGCGGCGGCGGATCAGGCGGCGACTCGAGGGCCCCGCGGCGGGACGCGTTCGCGGCCGCGAAGGAGGGCATCGAAGGCGGCGGCCGAGGCGGGGGCGCGTCTGCTGCGTCCGCGAGCGCGAGCGCGAGACGACACACTGTCGTAGGACAGCACGCCGCGGCCGCGGCGGCGCACGCGTCCAAAGCCCGCGCCGCCGCGGCTGAGGCGGCTGCGCTCGTCGACGCGGTCGCCGCGTCCGGTACCGTCGGAAAAACTGTCGGATGTCCGAACACGAAGGCGTGCCACCAGTGTCAGCATCAGCACGTCCCGAGGTCGTGCCGAGCGCGGAGAGCGGGTCCCGGGAGCCACGCGGCGGGTAAGGGCGGCGGATCAGGCGGCGCAGCGCAGTGCGGTTTGTCGTACTGCGACGGGTGCGTCCGAAAATTTTATCGCGACGGCGACGGCGGGCTCACGCGCGACGACGTCGAGCGCATTTGCCCCAAGTGCCGCGGCGTGTGCAACTGCCGAGCGTGTCTGCGCCGGGACCCCGGCCCGCCGCCGACGGTGTCGGACAAACTGTCGGAAAGTACGACACGTCAGCTGTACGAACACTTTCTCCGACGCGCCGCCGCGCCGATGCTCGCGTCGGACGCCGCGGAGCGAAAGGAGATCGACGCGGAGATCGAGTGCGGCGTAAATAACGGCGCCGTCGCCCCCGGGTACTACGGATACTCGGACGCGTCGCACGCGAGCGGGTGGCGCCTGTTCTGCGACGCGTGCGGGAGCGCGGTCGCGAACCTGCACCGGAGCTGCTGGGCGTGCGAGGTGGACGTGTGCGGCGACTGCTGCGCGGATTTAAGACGCGGAAACACCGTGGGAAAACCCGCGGCGACGCTCGCGAGCGCGCTCATCATGGGGGGCAGCGGTGGTGTCGGCGGCGGCGGCGGCGGGAAGAGGAAAGCGCATCAGCCGCCGCCGCCGCCGCCGCAGCCGACGTCGTCCGGCGGCGGCGGGGATCGAACAGGCGGCGAAGGGTGGTTCAACGCGTCGCACACGGAGGCGGAGCTCAGCGCGATGCCGCTGAAGAAGCGTCTGAAGCTGCGGGCGATGAAGGCGGCGAAGGAGGTGCGTTCTATACACTGGTCCCCATACGACCCCGTTCGCGTGGTGAACGCCGATCCTTAAGGACTTTTTCCGTCGTCACTCTTCACCCGCGCTTCCCTTTCAACGTTTGACCGGTAAGACGTTCGACTGACCGATCGCTTCACCCACACAGTACGAAACCCTCGCGGACGCGGCGACGAAGGCGGAGGAGGAGGAAGGGGCCGTGTCGAGGAAGATGTCGTCGGGGACGGAGGACGTCGAGTCTCGCGGTTTCGAGTCGACGGCGGTTTCGGTTTCGGTTTCGACGGCGGTTCAACCGGTTTCAACCGCCGCGGCTTCCGGGGTCAAGCCAGAACCCCCGGTTTCAACCGCGGGCGCGCCCCTGAAACCGCTCCCGCTCGTCGTCCACGCCACCGCGGACGAGACGGACCCGAGCGCGGAGCCGATTTTGTGCCTGAAGTGCACGCGGCCGCTGGAGCTGCGCGCGTGCATCGAACGCGCGTGGCTCCGCGGGATTTACGACTCGCCGCACGTGGCGAAACACGCGAAGCGCGACGCGTCGGCGGCGGTCGCGGTGGAATCTTTTGATTCGAAATCATCTGATTCGGATGATTCGGATTCGTGTCCGTGTCCGTGGTGCGCGAAACTGAGCGACGAGGACGCGCCGGTGATGTCGACGCGCACGTCGGGCGAGGGCGGCGGCGCGGTGGACGCGCGCGTGTGGCGTCCGCGAGCGGCGGATCTCGCGCGCGCGCTATCGTCGTCGTCAGACGACGCGCGCGGGGTCGGGGCGCACGAATCACGCGATGACACGTCAGCATCATGTTTGACGACGAATTCGGACAATCTCCGACACTTCCAGTGGCACTGGTCCAGAGGCCACCCGGTGATCGTGACGGAGGTGGATCTCGGCGGGATGTCCTGGTCCCCCGCCGTCATGGAGCGCGCGTACGCCAACCACGGCCAGGCGCGTTCTATACACTGGTCCCCATACGACCGCGTTGGCGTGGTGAATGCCGATCCTTAAGGACTTTTCCCGGCGTCTCTCTCCGCCCACACCTCGGTTTTAATCCCCGCCCTCGACGCCTTTCAACTTCGACTGACGCCTTTGAACTCCACCCCGACATTCGCTTGTATAGAACGGCCCTCAGACTACTTCACGCGACGCGTACGGCGGCCAGGGCGCGGGTGCGAACAACAGTAACGCGTCAGGATACGGCGGCGTTGCCGTCACCGCGGGCGGGCGTTCCACCGTCTCCGACCGCATGGTCCCCGTCATGAACTGCGCGCCGAGCGGGAACGTCTCTAAAGAACGCGAGGAGGCGATGACGACGCACGATTTCTTCAAAGGCTTCGTCGACGCCGCCGCGTTCGACGGCGCGCTGTATCGACTGAAGGACGTCGACGCGTCCGCCGCCTCTCAAATGAGCTCAAATGACGCCTCGGCACGCGTGGACCGACTCCCGCGGCATCACCGAAGGTTAATTTCGCGCGGTTTGCCGTTTCAAGAGTACACCAACCCCGAGGATGGTCCGATGAACGCGACGACGCATCTGCCGCGAAGAACCGTCGGCGGCGCCGCGCTCAAAGTCTCCGTCGACGCGGCGTCCCGCCCGAGGCACCACGTCGCCTACGGCCGCGTGGAAGAAAACGGCCTGGGCGACTGCGTTACCAGGCTCACGGCCGGGTCAGGCGCGGACGTCGTCGACGTCATGACGTACGCGTGCGACGCGACGACGAAGAGCCGCGTCGGTCAGGGCGCGGAGTGGCACGTGTTTCGCAGACGAGACGCGGCGGCGGTGGAGTCGTTTCTTAAAAGGCGGCGGAAGCATCTGACGCATCGCCCGAAGGACGGCGCGAAGGTGCACCACCCGCTGCACGACGGCGTGTTCTTCCTCACCGCGAACGATCTGGAGATTCTGCGCGCGGAGAGCAAGGGCGCGATCGCGCCGTGGACGTTCACGCAGCGCGAGCGCGACGCCGCGTTGATTCCCGCGGGGTGCCCGCGGCAGATTCGGAATTTGTCGTCGACGCTGAGGGTCGCGATCGAATTCGCGTCGCCGGAGAGCGCCGCCGCGGCGCTGCGGGCGAGCGACGAGCGGCGCGCGCTGCCGGAGAATCACGTCGCGCGGAGGAGCGAAGAGAAGACGCACCCGATGGTCGCGCTGCTGCACGCCGCGAACGACGCGGTGCGGTATCTCGACCGGGCGGCGGCGGAGTGATCGATGACCTATGGTCATCATGGAGATCGTAAGTTGTCGTGTGACTGGGATTTATTATTTTGGAATAAAATCAACTCGGTTCCTCGCGACGTCGACGTCATCGGACCCTTCTTTCTACCCCCCCTTCCTTCCTTCCTTCCTTCCTTCACGCGTTGAAGATGTACAGCGAGTTCGACGCCGCGCACGCGAGGACGTCCTCCCGCGGGTGCCACGCCATGTGCAGCGTCTTGGTCGGGAAGTCTGCCGACCCCGGTCCGACACCCGCGCCCGCGCCCGCCGCCGCCGCCGCCGCCGCCGCCGCCGCCTTCTTCCCGTCGGCGCCGCCCTCCGCCGCCATGCCCTGCTGCCGCAACCGCCGCAACCGCTGCGGATTCTTCGTCACCTCGAGCGTGTCCGTCCCGCCGCTGTGCGAATCAAACGTCCGGAACTGGTTCCCGTACGACCCCGTCGCGAGCCTCGAGCCGTCGCGCGAGAGGCAGCACTGAAACTTATCGAAGATCGCGTCGCTCTCGTACAGGTCGCAGAGCTTCGACCGCAGATGCTCGTGCACCTTGAACGTCGCCACCGGCTCGCGCTCCATGTTGATGTCCCACAGTTTCAGCGTGAGGTAATCTCGCGCGAGAAGGTATCGACCGTCGCGCGAAAATTTAACGTCCGAGATGCTCGCGATGATCTCTGACGGTGGGGAAGTTCGTGAAAAAGTTCGTTCATCGGTCAGTCGAAAGCGACCAACGCACGCGCGCGATCAAAGGTTGGTTGGTTGAAACTGAAACTGAATCTACGACGCGGGTCGGGTGAAAATCAAAACGTCCGAAATAGTAATAAACACAAACAAACGCACCCGAGAAGAAGCTCCGCGCCCCCGGCGGCTCCGCCTCGTCGAAGAGCTTACAGTGCGCGTTACACAGCGCGTTGGACCGCATATCCGCGAGCCGAATCGACCCTTTACTGCTTGAGTACGCGAACAAGTTACACGACCCGGGGTGGAACTCCGCGGCGGTGATCACCTCCGTGAGGTCCTCCATGTTCCCCGGCTTGATGTCCACGATGTTGAAGCTCGCGTCGTGGCGGTCCAGGTGCCACAGGTTGACGCGCAAGTCATCCGCGCTGCGATCGGTGGGCGACGCGGCGGGGAGTGATGTGATTGGTCAGTGGCAGTGGTTGGTTTGATGACGTGGACGTCCGTTCGTTTCGGGAGTATTCGTATTCGCGCGTTTGTACGGTGAGCAGTCAGCCAGCGGTTCTTCCGTCAAAAGAAAAGCGCGCGATGGATTATGTCGCACCTGATGTACGTCTCGCAGTCGCTGTTGACGGAGAGAGAGTTTATGTGATACGCGTGCGCGTTACTGTACAGCCGCCTGCACCGCGCGCTGAAGACGACGTCCGCGGCGCGAACGCTCGGGATTTTCAGCGGGCCCGCGAAGGACGGGCGGTTGGGACCCTTGGGGTTGGGGCTCGTCGTCGTCGCGCCCGCGTCGTGACACTTCTCCGGCGTGATGGGAGCCGCCGGCGAGGCTCTGTTCGAGCCGCCGCCGCCACCCTTGCCCGGTCCGAAAACGCTCATATCCCGGCCGTTATCCCGCGTGTGCGCGTCCAAGTTATAATCCGCGACGCACTGCATCTGTTTCTCGAACACTTTCCACAGCTTGATCGTCTTATCGTTCGTGCTGATCAGGAACCTCGACGCGTTCGCGCCCTGACGGTCGAGGGTCCATCGTTCAAAGCGACGCGCGTCGGGGTGGAGTTCAAAGGCGTCAGAAGCGGAGTTGAAAGGCGCCGAGGGCGGGTATTGAAAGCGAGCTGTGGGCGGAGAGAGACGCCGCCGGGAAAAAAATTCCTTAAGGATCGGCGTTCACCACGCGGACGTGGTCGTATGGGGACCAGTGTGAGATAGAACGCGCCTGATGGCACCATCGCAGCGTGTTGATCTTTTCCTCGATCTCGAGCGACTTCAGGTAGTCAAACTCCGGCTCGTGCGACTGGAACTCGGTCAGGTATCGATACTCCACCGGCGCGGGCGGCGTCGCGCCGTCGGGGCCCGCGCGCGACCGCATCGCTTCGACCTGGCACCGGGAGGAGGGAGCGGCGGGGACGGCGGGGATGGGATGCGGGCGCGTTGGTTTTAAGAGAAAAGTCACTCACTTCGTCGCGAATCGATCCGATCGCGATTTCGTCGATGAAGTCGATCGACGCGCTCGGGTGAAAACCAAACCGAACCGCGGGTGAAAACCAAACCGAAACCGAACCACCGCGAACGCACCGCAGCCTTCGACGGGTGGATGCGCTCGAAGAGGACGACGCGCCCACCGCGGTCGCCCGTCGCGAGGTGCTCGCCCGTGCGATCGAACTCCACGGCGCTGATCACGTCCGCTGTGTGAGTATTTAGTGATGAAGAGGAACGAGGGCCCCCGGGGTGTGGTGAAGACGTCAGGCGGGCGGAAGGGCTCGATCGGTGGACGGAGGGAGGGCGAGCGGTGGGGACGGACGGATCGACGGGTCGGGGCGGACGATCGAGCGCGAGGGTTCGTTCGTTCGCTCGGGGTTCGCGCTCGCGCTCGGCGCGACGTCGCCGCGCGCGATCGAACGTCGCGGACGCGCGGGGACGAGTCGCTCGCGCGCACCGTCCTGAACCTCCTCCCCCGGCGTCCTCTCCCCGAACACCTGGCTGAAGTTCCATTCCAGCTCCGCGATGGGCTCGGGCGCGGCGGACGCCATGATGGTCGGCTCCGACGAGGCGCTCGCTCGCGTCTGTCTACTCGGCCGCGACGCCGCCGCCGCCGCCGCGGTCGCCGCCGCCGCCGCCGCGCGATCGCGCGCCGGCCGCGCGTCCCTCCTCTTCGCGACCCGACGCGCGTTCCTGCGACGCGGGGGAGGAGCGATGCGCGAGCGGGTGGGAGCGTCGCCGTGGGCGCGGCGCGGCGCTCTGTTGGGCCCCCGCCGCCGACCCCGGGGAAACGCCGACCGCTCCGCGCGGACGACGGCGCTTTCCGTGCGACGCAGTTTCCGACACGCGCGCGACGAGCTCTTGGCGTATCGTTTGGCATTCGATCGGCGACGTCGGCGCGTTCACCCCGAGCGTTGATCGCGGGTTGCGATCGGGCGCTTCCTTTCAAAAACCAAACAGGGTTCAGTTCTTCCGTCGTCGGTCGCGTCTGGTTGGCGCGAGCACGCGCACGTGCGAAAAAAATCTCCTGATGATAGATGAGGCACTCGCACTCGCGAAATGACATCATCACATCACGACGCACATCCGTCCGTCGCGCCGCAGCCTCGGACGCCGCCGCCGCCGCCGCCGCCGCCGCCGCCGCGCCCGTCATGGCGTCCTCCGCGCGAGACACCCTCCTGTTCCCGTTCGTCCTCTCCGCGGTGGTCGCGTTAGTTCTCCTGTACGTCGCGGCGTGCAAGCTGTTCGTCGCGTACTATCGAGACGACGACTGCCCGCCTTCGATGGGCGACGCGAAGGAGGACGACGCGCACGAGGCGACGCCGATATACGCGCTGACGGGGGTGTGCGTCGTGCATCCGAACGGGAAGGTCGTGTTCGGCGGCGAGGAGGAGGAGGAGGAGAGGGAGAGGGACGGGAGAGGGCGCGCGATGGACGACGAGGCGACGACGACGACGACGACGAGTTCGTTGTTCGTTGACGCGGCGGTGTATGCCGACGAGGATATTCCGACGAAGCGCGCGTCGTCGTCGTCGTCGTCGATCGGGGAGGGCGACGGCGACGGCGCGCGCGTCGAGGAGAAGAGCGAAGAGGACGCGGGATAGGGAGACCGCTCGCGTCGCGACGCGGACGCGGACGACGCGACGCGCGGGGACGCCGCGGGGTAGCCGCCGCGCGCGTCCGAACGTCGTCTCATCGGTCGACGTGTACTAAAGTGTATCTACACGAATCTGGCGCTGATGAGCCAGATCAGATGCTGATGACTTCTTTGCCGCGCGTTTCTTTTTCGACACGCGAAAATAACCAATTCGTTCGTTCGCTGAGACGAGAGCCGCGGGCTATGTACATCCCGTCGTCGTTCGTCGTTCGTCGCGCGATCATCCATCGCGTCGCGTCGCGTCGCGTCGCATCACGCGCGCGGCGGCTCGACGCTGTTCTCGCGCTCGAGCGGCTCGAGCGGCGCGCGGTTCTTCGCCTGCGTCGGAATCTTCGTCGTCGTCGGCGCCCTCCCGCGGCTCCCGGCGGACGTTTTCGTTTTCGTCGGCGCAGGGGAAGACGAAACGTCAACCGCCGCGTCGCCGCCGTCGTCCGCCGCCGCGTCTTCCGCGTCGGCGGCGGCGGCCGTCTTCTTCGCCGCGCCGCGCGTCGACCGACCGCGCGTCCCTCCTCCGCGGCGCGTTGACGCGCACATCGCCGGTTTTTGTGTTTTTTCCTCCTCCTCCTCCTCCTCCTCCTCCTCCTCCTCCGTCGTCGTCGGCGCCGGCGGCGTGACGTCTTCTTCCTCCGCCTCCGCCGTGACGTCGAGTACGTCCACCGCGCTCTCGCCCGCCGCGTCTTCGCCGCCGCCCTCCTCCTCGTCGTCGTCCTCGTCGTACGGATGCGCGCCCGCAGCCTTCTCCCCGCCGCCCCCCCCCGCCGCCTTCGTCGCCCTGAACGCCGCGAGCGTCGCCTCTCGACGCAACGTCATCCGCGCCATCGTCTTCGCTTCCACGGGCGTCGTCAACGCCGCCGCGACCGTCTCCCGCGCGGGCGTGCCGCCCGTCGGGACGTCGCGCGCGAGCTTCGCGAACGCGCTCGAGAGTGTCGCCGCGAGCTCGCCGGCGTCCGCCGCGCTCCGAGTCATGACCGCCTCGTTCTCCGGAGAGGCAGCCAACGCCTCGGCCATCGCGTCAATCTCCGCGACGTCGGCGTCGCGACGCGCGTCGAGCGACGCCCGCGTCGCGTTAATCTCGGCAGCCATGGCGTCCAGCTTCTTCCGCAGCGCCGCGGTCTCCTCGTCCTTGCGCTTCGCGAAAGCCTTCATCGCCGCGACGTGCGTTCTCCGCCGCTCGCGTTCTCGCTCCGCGGCTTCGCTCAGGCGCTCTTCCATCTCGATCAAGCGCGCGGCGACGCTCTCTTTGATCGCGGCGATGGCCTCCTCGTTCGTCCGCTCCAAGCCCGCTTTCCTCTCGAGCTTGCCGAACAAGCCCTCGACGTCTCGCCTCGCGTGCGACAAGACGTCCGCGAGCTTCCCGGTCGCGCGACCGAGCGTCTCGTTGGCTTTTTCAAACTCCCCGAGGACGTGCTCGTGTTCTTCTCGCTCCATCGCCGCCTCCGCGAGTTCGCTCTCGGTCGTCTGGAGCCTCGCCTCGGCGTGCGTTAACGCCTCGACCGCGTCCGTTTTTTCCGCGACCAAAGCTTTGTGCTGCATCTTTTGCGTCTCGAACAGCGCGGTCATCGACGCGAGCTCGCTCTTCGCGAGGCCCAAGGCGCTGAGGGCCGTTCCATACAAAGCGATGTCGGGGTGGAGTTCATAGGCGTCAGGTGGAGTTGAAAGGCGTCGAGGTCGGGGATTGAACGCGAGGGGTGGGCGGAGAGACACGCCGGGGAAAGTCCTTAAGGAACGGCGTTCACCACGCGAACGGGGTCGTATGGGGACCAGTGTATAGAACGCACCTCTCGAGCGTCTCCGTCCGCCGTCGCAACCCCTCGCGTTCGCTCTCGCTCGCGTCGAAGCTCTCCGGGGTCAGATAGACGCCGTTCTTCTCGCGCGTCGCGATCAAATCTAAGCGCAGGCGTTCGATCTCATTCTGAAGGTCCTTGATCAACCCCGTCTTCGTCATCCGCGCGTTCACCTCCGGCTTATTCTTGATCGCCGCCGCTCTGCGCGCGTACTCGAGCGTGGAGACGGTCTCGTCGACGTTTTGACTGGCGGGCGAGATGGTCGCGACGACGCACGTCTTACTCTTCCCTCCCAGCGCGTCTCGCAGTAAACGCGTCAGCTTCGAGTCTCGGTACGGGACGTGCGCGAGTCTGTCGACGAGCGCGGTGATGACGCGGCCGAGCGTGAGCAGCGACTTGTTGATCTCTCCCGCCTCGCGCGCCCTCGAGTCCTTCGCGCCCGACCGCGAGATGTTCTCCGACCCGGCCAGGTCGACAAGGTTAAGCTTCCCCTGCTTGATCAGATCCTCCCCGTTCGCGGCGTTGTGCTCGCGCGTGTGAATCGTCACGCTGAAGACGCTGTGCGAGCGCGACGACTGCTTGTTGCAGAGCGTCTCCGCGGTCCTTCGCTTGGCGCTGCCTCTCGCGAGGTGCTGGAAAATCTCGGCGGGGGACCGCGCGGTGATCTCTTCGAGGCCCTTCACGCTGACGCCGCCTTTGCCGTCCTCGAGAAGGTTGTGCCGGCGCTTCTCCGCGTTGGCAGCCTCGAGCGTGCCCTCCGCGGGCGACTCCGGGGACAAAAGGTCGGTGATCTCCTCGTTGTACAGCTCCAGAAACGTGCACTTGACTTCAAACTCGGCGCCGCTCGCTTTGAGGTACTCGAAGACGTGCGCCATGGCGCGCGGGATGACGCCGGCGTCCGTCGGCAACGCGTCGGCGTCGCCGCCGTCTGCGATGATGATTGATGATGATTGGTCGAGGGAGGACATGTGTCAGTCTCGCATGCGTGTGATTGGTGGATTCTATTCCCACGTGTCAAAACGTGAGGCACACGGCGCGCGTATGGGAAGCGGTCGGTCGGCGCGGCGCGCTCACCGACGCCGACGGCGGAGAGATCCCCTTCCATCGTGTGCGTCTTCCCCGTCCCCGTCTGCCCGTACGCGAAGATCGTGCAGTTGAACCCTTCCAATACCTCCTCCACGATGGGCGCGATCGCGCCGTCGTACACGTCGCTCTGGCTCGCGTCCGCGCCGAAGACTGCGGGCGGGTCGTTCCGTACGATGACGCGTCGACGACGTCGGGGCGGAGTCGAAAGGCGTCAGGCGGATGCGTGGATGAGTTCGTTGAAAGGCGTCGCGGCGCGTCGGGATTGAAACCATCGAGAGGCGGGTGGAGTGATGCGCCCGCCGGGAGAGAGCAAAAGTCCTCAAGGACCGGCGTGCACCACGCCAACGCGGTCGTACGGGAACCAGTGTGAATGCGAACGCGCCTCGGTCGAAGCTGTACGTCCGCTCCACCGTCTTCTTGGTCTCTTCGTGCGGCCCCTTCCCCACGGTCTGCGCGACGACGCACTGGTCGAGGCCGACGCGCGTCTTGACCACCTCGGGCATCCGCGCGGCGAGCTCCGTCGCGTTCATGGGGCTGCGACGCGATGGACGCGAGGAGGGGGGGGGGGGAGAGATGGCGATGAGGTCGGGTGTCGTCGTTTTCGCGCAACGGAACGAATAACGGGACGACGACGACGACGACGACGGGGGATCGGTTCCCGTCGCGTCGCGTCGCGTCGCGTCGCGTCGCGCGCGCGCACCGGCATCGCAGCACGACTTTGACGTTCGCTTCCGCGGCCTGGCTCGTCTGCCGCCGCGGCGGCGCCGTGGACGGGCGGTCCGCGGGTGCCATCGCGCGTCGACGGATGACGTCCGCGGCGCTGTTGAGATTTCCGTTATTTCTTTCCCCCTCCGCGCGAAGACGTACTGTAGACGTCCGATCGAACGACCGCGCGATAGTTTCGTTTTTCACCCACCCCGTGGTTTCAACACTTGATCGCGTCCCCTTTCAACCGACCGATGAACTTTTTTCGTTCGCCCCGATGAAATAAATCGCGCGCATCGAACGGCGCGTCGCGAGCGTCCGGTCGCGTCGCCGTCGACGAAGCCGCCTCCGACCACAACTCTCATCGGCGAGGAACCGTCGTCGTCGTCGTCGTCGTCGTCGTCGTCGTCGTCGTCGTCGTCGTCGTCGCGTCGTCGAGCGGGACGACCGGAAGCGAGCGGCGGCGGGAGGCGGAGCGCAGCGCCGCGCGCGTCGGGGTTCGATCGATCGACCCACCCGACCCGTCCATCGCTCCTCCTCTTCCTTTGAACGACCGAGCGCGATATCGCGCGAGCGGACGTCGCCATGGAGGAGTGGGCGCAGCGCGCGGAGGGCTCGGGGGGCGTCGGGAACCTCGCGAGGAAGGTGGTCAAGCCCGCGAGCGCGGGGAGGAAGCTCACGATCAAGCCGTTCAAAGGTGCGAGCGCGCGCGCGAGCGTCGTCGTCCCCGTCGGTCAGATCGCGCGACGGGCGCGCCGCGCGCGTCTTTCCCTCCCTCCCTCCCAACGTCATCGTCCCGCCGTTGGGTCCCCGCTCCCTCCTCACCGCCGTTCCCCCGCGCCCGCCGCCGCCGCAGAGAAACCCAAGCTCCCGGCGGACTTCGAGGCCAAGGCGTGGGACGCGCTCAGCGGCGCGATCGACGCGATACACGCCAAGGCGCGTCCTCGGAGCATCATCACACATATTTACACTGGTCCCCATACGACCGCGTTCGCGTCGTGAACTTCATTCCTTGAGGACTTTCTCATCTCCCGGCGTTCGTCTCTCTCCGCCGCCCGCCCACCCCACGGTGGTTTCAATCCCCGACCCTATGACGCCTTTCGACTCCACCACTGACGCCTTTCAACTACTCCAACCCTTTCGACCCCCGCCGGACCCGCAGCGCGCCGTCGCCGCGTCGTTCGAGGAACTCTACCGCCGCGTCGAGGACGCGTGCTCGCACAAGCTCGCCGATTCGCTCTATCAAAAGCTCCGCGCCGCGATGAAAGCGCGCGCGATCGCGCAGTTGAAAGCGCTGCGATCGCGGTCGTGCCCGGACCCGATCGCGTTCCTCTCGCGCGTGGACGAGTGCTGGAGCGATCACTGCGCTTCGACGCTCACGACGCGGTCTATATTTTTGTACCTGGACCGAGCGTACTGCGCGAAGACGCCCGGGGTGAAGGGCGTGTGGGACCTCGGGCTGATGCTGTTTCGCGCGTCGCTCGTCGGCGGCGACGAAGAGGGCGGTGGGGGTGGGGGTGTTGGTAACGCTTCGAATTCAGGCGTTACCGTTGTCGAAGAGGACGTCGGCGAGATCGTGCGGAAGACGACCAGGGGGTTGCTGGCGTCGATACAGAGAGAACGCGACGGCGAAGCGGTGGACCGCGCGCGGATCAAACGACTCACCGCCGCGCTCGTCAACCTCGGGCTCTACGCCGACCACTTCGAGCGCGCGTTCCTGGACCACTCCGCGGCGTACTACCGCGCCGAGGGCACGCGCGCGGCGCAAAGCTCCGACGCCGCGGGTTTTTTGACGCACTGCGAGGCGCGACTGGCGGAGGAGGAGGACAGGGCGTCGACGTATTTGGACGCGTCGACGCGACGGACGCTGACGCGGTGCGTCGAGCAGAACCTCGTCGAGACGCACGTCATCGGCGTGTTAGACAAAGGCTTCGACGCGCTCTGCGCGGAGAACAGGATCGAGGACTTGCGGCGGCTCCACGCGCTGTGCGCGCGCGTGGACAAGGTGGACAAGCTGCGCGACGCGTTCGCGGCGAGGGCGAAGCGCGTCGGCGCGGCGATCGTGCAGGACGAAGAGAACGATAAGGACATGGTGCAGAATTTGCTCGACGTGAAGGAGTCGTTGGAGCGGATCGTGTCCGACGCGTTTGGCGGCAGCCTCGAGCTCTTCTCGAACGCGCTCAAGGAGGCGTTCGAGTCGTTCGTGAACTCGCGTCGGAACCGACCCGCGGAGCTCATCGCTAAGTACGTAGACGGTAAGCTTCGCGCGGGTTCCAAGTCTGGGTACGTCGACGAGGAAGAGATGGAGCGCACCCTAGACGCGGTGCTCACGTTGTTCAGGTGCGTTCTATACAAACGTTTTTCACCCTTCGCCCGGTTTCAACATTTGATCGCGTCCCCTTTCAACTGACCGGTGAACTTGTTTTGTACGGAATCGCCCTCAGGCACATCCAAGGCAAGGACGTGTTCGAGGCGTTCTACAAGAAGGACCTCGCGAAGCGTCTTCTGCTCTCGAAGAGCGCCTCCGTGGACGCGGAGAAGAGCATGATCAGCCGTCTGAAGGCGGAGTGCGGGTCGCAGTTCACGACGAAGCTCGAGGGGATGTTCAAAGACGTGGAGACGTCGCGAGACATCATGCGCGGGTTCGCGGCGGATGAAAAGATCGCGAAAGAACTCCCCGAAAACGTCGACGTGTTCGTCCACGTCCTCACCGCGGGGTACTGGCCGACGTACGCCCCGTGCGAGGTGAAGCTCCCGCGCGAGCTCGACCACCTCCAGCGCGTGTTCAGCGAGTATTACCTCAGCAAGCACGGCGGGCGCAGGTTGGTGTGGCAAAATGCGCTCGGGCACGTCTTGCTTCGCGCGGAGTTTCCAAAGTGCGGCGTTAAAGAGCTCGCGGTGTCGCTGTTTCAGGCGGTGGTTCTCATGCTCTTCAACGACGCGGAGACGATGTCGTTCGAGGAGCTTAAGGACGCGACCGGGATCGAAGACAAGGAGCTGCGGCGGACGTTGCAATCGCTCGCGTGCGGGAAAGCGAACCAACGCGTGCTGAGCAAAACCCCGAAGGGCAAGGATGTCGACGACGGAGACGTCTTCGCCGTCAACGACGACTTCAACGAGCGGCTGACGAGGATAAAGGTGAACTCGATACAGATGAAGGAGACGAAGGAGGACAACGACGCGACGAACGAGCGCGTGTTCCAGGACCGGCAGTATCAGATCGACGCGGCCATCGTGCGCGTGATGAAGACGAGGAAGACGTTGTCGCATCAGGCGCGTTCTGGTTACACTGGTCCCCATACGACCGCGTCGGCGTGGTGAACGCCGATCCTTAAAGACTTTCTCTCCCGGCGATTCTCTCCGCCCAGGGTCCCTCGCTTTCAATCCCCGCCCTCGACGCCTTTCAACTCCACCTGACGCCTTTCAACTCCACCCCGACGTTCGCTCGTACGGAACGACCATCAGCTGCTCGTCGGCGAACTCTTCAACCAGATCAAGTTCCCGGCCAAGCCGGCGGATCTGAAGAAACGGATCGAGTCGCTCATCGACCGAGAGTACTTGGAGCGCGACCGCGGGAACGCGCAGGTGTACAACTACCTCGCGTGAGCGAGCGAGCGCGGGCGGGCGGGCGGCGCGCGAGTTGGAGCGGAGCGCTCTTCTTCTTTCTTTTCGTATAAGATAGTCTATGAGATAGTAGGCCCGCTGTGACCGTCGGGAACAACAGACGGACGCGTCCGAGAGAGAGAGCGCGCGCGCCGCGCGACGACAGACGGATAGATGGATGGATAGATGGATCTTACTTCTCGCTTAATTCTCCCTCAGTTCGCGCCGCCGGTGACCGTGAACGTCGCCCGCGGCGGCGAAAGCGCTTGGGCGCCGTTCGGACCCCGCCCCGGCGATCGCATCGCCGCCGCCGCCGCGCCCGTCGGCGCCCCTCCTCCCCTCCAATTATTTCCATTATAATTTCCATTTCCTCCTCCGACCCACCGCATCCCGTCCGCGTCCGCGTCGGGCAGACCCATCGCGACGAACCATCCGGACATGAACGTGATCCCCGTCGTCGCGATCGAGATGGCGTTCAGGAGCACCTCCATCTCCAGTATGTACGTCTGCTGGACCATGTAGTACACGTGCATGTAAATAACGATCGGCGTGATCAAGAGGCTTCGGTACACGAGCTTCTTGCTCAGCGCGGCGTTGCCCTGCCCCATCAGCGTCAGCCGCAGCCACTCCACGACGATGTACATAAACAGGTACGAGAACTCCAGGCCCCAGTAGTTGTGTCCGACGTTTGGGTACGGCAACGCGTTGCCCTTGTAGATCATGATGAGCGCGGCGGTCCAAAAGTAGACGACGTCCCACATAGCGGCGAAGTAGAGGTACTGAGGTGTCGTCGTTTGATTGGTGGGCGACGTGGCGGGAAGTTATGTGATTGGTTAGTTATTTGATGACGTGGATGTTCGACGTTTCATTGGACGACAGAGAGCGACGGAGAGAGAGAGACGCCGGGAGAGAAAGTCAAGTCCTTCTTAAGGATCGGCGCGCGCCGCGCCGACGCGGTCGTATGGGGATCAGTCTGGTGTGAGATGGGACGCGCCTGCGCGAGCGACACGGACGTGATGAGCGGTCGCTTGTTCAGCCGCGCGTAGGCGGCGTCCCCCATCGCGCTCGAGCGCGCTTCCGCGGCGGCGCGGCGGTTGAACAGCGCGCCTAGGGTCGTTCCATACGAAGCGATGGCGGGGTGAGGTTCAAAGGCGTCAGTTGAAGTTGAAAGGCGTCGAGGTGTGTCGGGATTGAAAGCGTGGTGTGGGCGGAGAGATGCGCCGGGATAAGTCCTTAAGGAACGGCGTTCACCACGCGAACGCGGTCGTATGGGGACCAGTGTGAAGAGAACGCGCCTACGAACCCCCGCGGCGTTCGCGGCGAGTCGGCGCCCGCCGCGGACGTCCCGCCGGCTTCGCTCCCGCCGCCGCCGTCGTTCGACGCGGACGGCGGCGCGCGGGCGCCGCCAAAGCCGAACCTGAACCTCGACCCGCCGCCGCTGCTTCCCGCGTGCGACAACGCCGGGATGTCGTGCCCGGTGAGTTTGAACACGGGCGCGGGGCCGCCCGCGTTGTTTTCCGTTCGCGTCGTAGTAGCCGGAGCATCGTTACCAAGCCCTCTCGCGTCGGCTCCCGCTCTTCGCGGGCCGCGGACCGCGACGTCGCCGTAGCCGGTGTTCCCGCCGAAGCGTCGCGATCGCGCGGCCGCGTCCGCGTTCTGCGTCGACGCCTGCGCCTGCGCCGCCGCGCGCGGATCGTTCGCGTTCGCGTTCGCGTTCGCGTCGTAGTCGCGCTCGTCGCGGCGGACGCCGAAGCGGAACCCGCCGCGCGGACCGCCTCCGAAGCCTCCTCCGGCGCCGCCGCCGCCGAAGCCGGCGGTACGCGGCGGCGACGACGGCTGCTGCGGCCCCCCGACGTTGAAGCGGTTCACCTCCGCGGGGCGAGATCCCGCGGGCGCGAACGGCGCGGGCGCGTTTCTGTTTCGATTCGCCCCGAACGTCGACATCGAACGACGACGACGACGACGACGACGCGACGGCGGCGGCGACGCGCTTAAGACGCGATGGGTTTAGGGCGCGTCTTCTTTCGACGCGATGGATGCGCGTGCGCGTTCGTTGCGTCCGCGAGAGGAGGAGGAGGAGGACGACGACGACGACGACGGCGGCGCGCGCGTGCGATGTGCGCGTCCGTCCGTTGACGACGAACGAAAAAAAGTTCGTTCGAAGGCAACAACGAACCGATCGATTCGCGACGAGACCCCAACGGCTCTGCCGAGGGTGCGATCTGATCGACGCCGGTCGATCGGTCGCCGCGGTGAAATTGAGCCCGGCGGGAGGGTCGGGCTCGATTTTTCACCGACCAACCTTTCACGCGCGGTTTCAATAATTTCGCGACTGATGACTCTAAAACCGACGACCGCCGATCGCGCTCGGCGCGAGCGTCGCGTCGATGAGATGAGACTTGCTGAGATTTCGCTCCTCGTCAGTCCCGCTCGCGCGACTTCGCCGCCGCACGATGTCCGGATGGGACGAGGGCAACGTGTACTTCACGGACAGCGGCCTCGCGGGCGACGGCGACGCGCCGGGCGGCGGCGGCGGCGGAGACGCGCTCGGAGTCACCCCCGGGCAGGCGAGGCGGAAGTTTGCCGACTTTTTTCGAAACTTCAGGGGCGAGCCCACGGCGGACTACCCGGACGGGCGGCTGACGTATCGCGACGCGCTGGATCAGGCGATGCCGCCGCAGGAGCTCACGGTGCTCATGGACGACGTCATAGGTGCGCGCGACGCGTTTCGGTTTCGTCGCGGGGAGTCGGTGTCTCGTGTCTCGTGAAAGCGCGACGATCGGACGGCGTCCCCGATCGATCGATCGATCGATGCGTCGGACCGCGTACGACGCGCAACGATCGCAAACTTTCTCCCGTGCGTGGTGTCTCTCTCTCCGCTCTCTCCTCCGCGCGCGTTCTGTTCTGGTCGGCTGACCCGCCTCGCGCGCCTCCCTCCCACTTCCCCCTCCCGCTTCTCTTCTCGCAGCGCACGACCCCGAGCTCGCGAAGGAACTCCGCGCGCGCCCGGACACGTACGTCCCCGTCCTCGAGGCTGCAGGTGCGTTCTGGTTACACTGGTCCCCATACGACCGCGTTCGCGTGGTGGACGCCGATCCTTAAGGACTTTGCCCGGCGCATCGCTCCGCCCAGGGTCCATCGCTTTCAATCCCGACACACCTCGACGCCTTTCAACTCCGCTTCTGACGCCTTTGAACTCCACCCCGACGTTCGCCGCAGCCGTGGATGTCGTGGAGTCGCTCCGCAACGAGTCCGCGATCAATCCGCAAAACGATCCCAACTCCACCGCCGTGGTCGCCGGCGTCGGCGGCGCGGCGGCGCACTTCGCGGATCACGTCGAGATCCAGGTGCACCTCCTGAGTCACGAGAACCCGCGGCCGCTGCGGTCGCTGAGCAGCAAGGACGTCTCGAAGATGGTGTACGTTCCGGGCATCGTGATCACGACTTCGAGGGCGAAATCGAAAGCAACGCGGCTGTGCATTCAGTGTAAGACGTGCCGGAACACGAAGCACATCGCGTTGGGGGGCGGGTACGCCGGCACGGTGGTCCCGCGGTTCTGCGACGGCGCGGGCGGCGGCGGCGGCGGCGCGGGCGGCGGCGGCGGCGACGGCGCGATCGGCGACGGCGGAGGCTGCGGGATCGACCCTTTCATCGTCCTGCCGGATAAGTCGAAGTTCATGGACCAACAGACGATGAAACTGCAGGCGCGTCCCATCTATCTCAACGTTCGACCCTATGACGCCTTTCGACTCCACCCCTGACGCCTTTCAACGCATTTCAACGACCCGCAGGAGAACCCGGAGGACGTCCCCGCCGGGGAGATGCCGCGGCACCTCCTCATCGTCGTCGAGCGCAACCTCGTGCAGTCGATAACCCCGGGCACGAGGGTGAAGGTCATGGGGACGTACTCGTTGGGGCCGTCGGGGGGCAAGGGCGCGAAAGAACGCGGCGGCGGCGGCGGCGTGTCCATCTCGCAGCCGTACCTGAAAGTGGTAGGGCTGGCGCAGGAGAGCGAGGGCGCGCGCGGGAACGCGCACTTCACGGACGCGGAGCACACGGAGTTCAAGGCGTTCGCGGCGCGGCCGTTCAAGGAGGTCATCAAAGACATCCGCAGCCGCATCGCGCCGGCGATTTTCGGATCCGACGACGTCAAAGCCGCCGTCGCGAGTCTGCTCTTCTCCGGCGCGAGAAAGACGACGAGAGACGGCGCGAGGCTGAGGTACGTCGCGCACCACGCGTCATTCACCCGCCCGTCCATCGGTTTGTTTCAACATTCATTTGATCGCGTGGGTCCGTGGGTGGGTCCCTTTCTTTCAACTAACTGATGACCGATGAACGCACCACTTTTTTTCATCGCAGGGGCGACGTGAACGTCCTCCTCATGGGCGACCCGTCCACGGCCAAGTCGCAGTTTCTGAAGTTTGTGGAAAAGACCGCGCCGATATGCGTGTACACCTCCGGCAAGGGTTCCTCCGCCGCGGGTCTCACCGCGTCCGTGATCAGAGGCGGCGACGGCGAGTTTTACCTCGAAGGCGGCGCGATGGTGTTGGCAGACGGAGGGTGCGTGTGCATCGACGAGTTCGATAAGGTGCGTTCGTATTTACACTGGTCCCCATACGATGGCGTTCGCGTGGTGAACGCCGAACCTTAAGGACTTTTGCCGTCGTCTCTCTCCGCCCACCCCTCGCTTTCAATCCCCGACATCGACGCCTTTCAACTCCACCTGACGCCTATGAACTCCACCCCGACGTTCGCTTGTATGGAACGACCCTAAGATGCGCGACGAGGACAGAGTCGCGATTCACGAAGCCATGGAGCAGCAGACGATCTCGATCGCGAAAGCGGGGATCACGACGGTGTTGAACTCGAGGACCGCGGTGCTGGCGGCCGCGAACCCTCCGTCGGTGCGCTCGCGCTCGCGCTCGCGTCAGTCGGTCCCTCCTTTTCGGGAGATCTCTTCTCGTCTTTTTTCGGTCGGTCGGTGACGAATGCTGTTTAGCAATCGAAGTTTGCAGTGTCACCCGAGCCTCGGCTCTGACGACGCGCTAAACGAGTGAACATCCGAGGCCGGCCGCGCGTTCTTTCCTTTCCTTTCCTTTCCTTCGACGAACGAACGAACGCTTTTCTCACGTCCGTCCGTCGACGCCATCCCCTTCGATCCATCCTCCGACGAAATCAAAAAAACAGGGCCGCTACGACGACCTGAAGACCGCGCAGGAGAACATCGACCTCCAGACGACGATTCTCTCGCGCTTCGACCTCATCTTCATCGTCCGCGACGAGCGCTTATACGAGCGCGACTTGCAGATCGCGGATCACGTTCTGTCCATGCACGCGAGCGCCGGCGACGACCGCTCGCTCGTCCTCGCCGGCGGCGGATCCGCGCTAAACCCGGAGCAAGAGCGCGAGCAGAAATTTCTGAAGCGGTACATCGAGTACTGCCGGTCGCAGTGCTCGCCTCGCATCGTCCCTCGAAGCGCGAAGATGCTGGAGGACCAGTACGTGAAATACCGGCAGGAGATGCGCGAGCGGGCGAAGAAGGGCGGCGCGCCCGCGGTGCCCATCACCGTCCGACAGGTTCGTTTCGTTTCGTTCGTTTCGTTTCGTTTCGTTCGTAACTGTCGACCACATGATATGCCACGTCATCGTATCTGATCACGCGCTGACCAATCAAATCGTATCGCTGACCAATCAAATCGTATCCCTCCGTCGTCCGACGCAGCTCGAGGCGATCACGCGCGTGAGCGAATCCCTCGCGAAGATGTGCCTCCAACCGCACGTCACGGAGGAGCACGTCCAGGAAGCTCTGAGGCTGTTCGAAGTGTCCACGATCGACGCCGCGCGAAGCGGCGTCGCGGAGATGGTCGTGCTCACGCCGGAGCAGCGCGAAGAGCTCACTCGCGTGGAGACGATGATCAAACAAAAGCTCGCCATCGGCGCCACGGCGAGTAAGCGTCACCTCGTCGAGGACCTCTCCCGGCTGGGCGTGAACGAGTGGGCGGTGATGCGCGCGCTCATGGTGATGGCGCAGCGGGGGGAAGTCACCGAGCGCGCGGAGGGACGGCGCGTCACGCGGGTGCATTAGAGAGACCCTCGCGGGAGGAGAGAGGACTCGACGACGAATGAACGAAAATAGTTTCTTCGCGTGAAAGTACAACTACGTGTAGTACGGAAATACGAGTACGATGCTGCACGGAAGTTCTGACTGTTTCGTCGCGCGCGACCGTTCCAGCCAACCGGCGCTCGGCTGGCGCTCGGATCTGATCTCGTGATCCGCTTTTCCGAGCCGAAACGCGCGACCGGACGCGCTCCCTCCGCCTCCGCCGCACTCACGCGCGCGCGCTTCACCGCACCGCACGCACCCCTCCTCGCATCGTCGCATCCTTTACGAACGATGGCGTCGTTCACGATCGCCGCGTCCGCGCCCTGCGCCGCCGCCGCCGCCGCGCGCGGCATCTCGTCCAAGCGCGCGATCGCGCGATCGTCCGCCGCGCTGACGACGCGCGCGAAAGGATCCCGCGGGGTCCTCCTTCGCCGCAAGGCCAACTTGGCGATTCACGCGGACCTCGAGCCGGACAACATCTCCGTCCTCGTCGCCGGCGGCAGCGGCGTTGCCATGGACGTCGTCCGCCAGCTCAAGGACGCGGGCACGTGGGTCACGGTGTTGCAGCGCAAGAACGACGACCGCGCGGAGATCGAAAAGATGGGCGCGTTCCTAAGCAAGGGCGACGCGCTCGTCGATAAGGACGTGAAGAAGGCGTACGACATGGTCGAGGAGTACGACGCGGTCGTGTCCACGATCGGTGGCACCCCCGCGGACGCCACCGCGGACAGCGTGGGGAACATCAACCTCATCGAGGCGTGCGTGAAGAAGGGGGAGGAGCAAGGACGCATGCCCAAGTTTGTTCTCGTGACGTCCATTGGCACCGGAGACTCGCAGGGCGCGCCGCCGCCGCAGGTGTACGAGGCCCTCAAGCCGGTCCTCCTCGAGAAGGTCAAGGCGGAGGACCGATTGAAGGAGCTCGCGAAGGAGAAGGGTTTGCCGTTTTGCATCGTCAGACCGGGCGGGCTGAAGTCTGAGCCCGCGACAGGCACGGGGGTTCTCACGGAGGCGCGTCCATATTTTCTCACACTGGTTCCCATACGACCGCGTCGGCGATGTGAACGCCGATCCTTAAGGACTTTGCCCGGCGCATCTCTCCGTCGCTCTCGTCCAATGAAACATCCACGTCATCAAATAACTAACCAATCACATCACTTCCCGCCACATCACCCACCAATCAAACGACCCTCAGGACACGAGCGTGTGCGGCGCGGTCAACCGCGCGGACGTCGCGTCGCTCGTCGTGAAGTGCGTGTTGAAGGATAAGGCGAACGGGAAGGTGTTGAGCGCGGTCGATTCCGAGCAGCTGTTCGACCAGCCCGCGTTCGAGGTGTTCGAGCTGTGATGTGATGATCGACGGGGCGGACGGACGATGGTTTGACGCGTCTGATCGTCATCGCGTTGAGATTATTCATTCATTCATTTTAACGACGTTCGTTCGGACGTGATTCGACGGAGTTTTGAAGAAAGAGGAGGACGGCGAACGAGCGCGCGATCGATATCATTTTAATACGCACACGTCGCGTTCGTTACGAAGGCGTCTTCGTCGTCTCGTCGGTCTCTTTCGTGCTCGTTATTTAGGTTGACATTATTATACTCGCGCTTGCGCGCTTCTCGTCTAAAACACATTCAGAAGGACGTCGAAAACCGCCCGGAGCGTCGTTTTTCGCCCCTCTCGTCCGCGCGCCCCTCTCGTCCGCCCGCGCCCATCGCTCATCACGGAATCCGCACGAGCTCCCCAGGCTGCAGGTAGTGCGGCCTCGACGCGAGCTCCGGGTTCATGCGCTCCAGCGCGTCCGGGTCGATCCCCCGGTTCACCGCGATCCGGTACAGGCAGTCGCCCTCCTGAGGGTCGAGGGTCCACACGAGCGATGATGTCGGGGTGAGGTTCAAAGGCGTCAGATGGCGTTGAAAGGCGTCGAGGTGTGTCGGGATTGAACGCGAGGGATGGGCGCAGAGATAAGCCGGGAAACGTCCTTAAGGATCGGCGTTCACCACGCGATCGCGGTCGTATGGGGACCAGTGTGTAGAACGCGCCTTTATCTGGTAGCTGCCCTTGGAGCCGGCGACGGATCGACTGACGTCGATCGGACGCGCGCCGACGACGTTAGCGACGCGAGGCTTGGGCGCGACGCCGTTGCGCTGGTCGCGCTCGATCTTCGCCTGGGGTGGGGGCGGGGCGGAGGAGGATCAGAGGCGAACGAAGCGACGACTGACGCGGCCGGCGCGGAGGGTACTGAGCGGGGGGTGGGCGGAGAGAGACGACGGCAAAAGTTCTTAAGGATCGGCGTTCACCACGCGAACGCTGTCGTATGGGGACCAGTGCGAGGGACGGGCCGACGCGTCGAATCGAATCGAACGCGAACGAATGAATGAAGGCGCGCGGCGTCGCGCACCAGAATCGCGACCGCGACGACCGCGCCGCCCGCCATGAGCGTCCGGAGCAGGCTCCCGAAGAGCGTCGGGCCGTCCTCGCTGTACTCGCTGTACTCGCTCTCGCTCCGCGGACCGCGACGAGGCGTCGTGCGATCGCCGCGGTAGTCGCGCCCGCGCGAGGGGGGGGTCCGCGGCATGTCAAGTGTCCGCAGCCGGGGCACGGCTGCCAGACGTGCAATCCGAAATCCGAGCTGTGGATTCGGTCGGGCGACAGCTAAGTCGTTCTATACAAACGTGTTTCACCCATCGCCCGGTTTCAACATTTGATCGCGTCTCCTTTCAACTGACCGATGAACTATTTTTGAATGTAATGGCCCTAAACAGCGACACGACGCGTTGTCGGCGGTGATGATAGCGTGGGGATACTATTATAAAAACGCCGCCGCGGCGCGCGTCATCGATCCCCCTCTCGATCCCAATCCCAATCCCATTCTAGTAGGTCGCCTAGTCAAGCCGGTGAAGCGTTTGTTATAAGTTTTGAATCTCTTCCTCCTCCTCCTCCGTCGATCGAAACAAATCAATCTTTCCCTCCACCGCCACCACCTCCCCCTCCCACGCCGCCGCCGCCAACCCCGCCCGCCACGTGCGGCGGCAATAGCTTCCTCACCATCTCCGGCGTGCACGTCGCGAGCTCCTCGGCGGAGAAGTCGAACAGCGGAGGGAGAGGTCCGCCGTTGGGCAGCCTCGTCGCCGGGTCCCTCAGCTCGTCGAAATACGCGTGGCAGCACGCCTCCAGCCCGGTGTAACGCGTCTCCGGGGCGTACGCGAGCAGGTGAGAGATGAGGTCCAGGGCTTCCGGGGGCAGCCTCTTGTGGAACACCTTGCTCCACGGGTGCGCTTTGATCTGCGGAAACTTAAACTCGGTGTAGTTGGGATTCATCGCGTGAATCTCCTCGCGCGTCGGCGTTCCCAACACCTTGAGCGTCACGCGGTCGGGGTGGAGTTGAAAGGCGTCAGGTGGAGTTGAAAGGCGTCGAGGGCGGGGATTGAAAGCGGGGGGTGGGCGGAGAGATGCGCCGGGCAAAGTCCTTAAGGATCGGCGTTCACCACGCGAACGCGGTCGTATGGGAACCAGTGTATAGAACGCACCTTGATGATCTCCACGAGCTGGTCCACGCCGCTCTCACCGGGGAAGAGAGGCGTCCCGAGGAGGAGCTCCGCCATGACGCACCCCAAGGACCAGATGTCGATCGCGGTGGTGTAATCCGTCGCGCCGAAGATGAGCTCGGGGGCGCGGTAATACCGCGAACAAATGTAGGAGATGTTGGGCTCCGTGCGGACGAGAATCTTCGCGCTGCCGAAATCGCACAGCTTCAACACGTGCGTCTCGCCGTCCACGAGCAAGTTCTGCGGCTTGATGTCTCGGTGACACACGCCGCCGCTGTGAATGTTCGCCAGCGCTCGAGCCATCTGATACGTGTACAACTTCACGTACAACCCGGGCATGCGCTGCGCCGCCTTTATGTACTGCTTGGACAGCCTGTACACCGTGTCCGGTACGTACTCCAACACGAGGTTCAGGTACACCTCCTCCTTCTCGTTCGTGCTGTAGTAGCAGTGCTTCAGCGCGACGACGTTGGGGTGGTCCAAGACTTTCATGATCTGCAGCTCGCGGTTTTTAAACCGCTTGTCTTGTAGGACTTTTTTGATGGCGACGCATTCTCCCGTCTCGACGCACGCGGCTTGGAAAACGACTCCAAAGGAGCCGTTACCGACGACGCGCTTCGTCTCGTACGAGATCGTCCGGCCGTCCGACGCGCCCGGGCGGCCGGTCGTCACGACGTGCCCCGCCTCGTTCGGGTCGCCCTCGATGCGCAGCGCTTCGTACGCCTGTCGTACGCGGGGGGCGTCGATCGGTCAGTCGGCGGCGACGCGGCGCGGCGCGACGCGCGGTCGTGGGAACGCGCGCGTGGGCGGGCGACGACGCGGGGGAGGTCCCGGCCGAGTCCAGCGACTCGGACGCACGCGGCCGACGCGCGGAATCGCGCGTCGCGCGTCCGTCCGTCCGTCTCAAAACGGAAGAGGAGGAGAAGGGCCGCGTGCGCGCAGTAGTACGCATGCCTACAGTAGTAAGTACGCTCACCTCGTCTCTTCGCTCGCTGTCCTCGCTCCGGTCGCGAAGGTTCAGCGCCTTGATGTCCGCCGCCGCCTTGTCCGCCATGGTGTGAGAATTCTAACGCGACCACTTCCCGCGCTCGCGACGCCGTGCGCGCGTATCGCGGGGCAAACTGCGGAGACGACGCGGGGATGCGGGAAATGCGCGGTGAGCGCGAGCGACGACGACGACGACGACGCGGTTAACGGTTCGAATTGCTCTCCGGAGACGCGCGCGAATGGACGCCACGGACGCTCGCGACGCCGTCGAGCGCGTCGCGGTTGATCCCGCGCGCGCGCACGCGACGCGCGCGCGCTCCGCGGCGACGACGACGGCGCGCGAGCGACGCGACGAGGCGTCCGCGACCGGCGACGGGGACGCGGCGAAAAGCGAGAGATGGCGGCAATTCCGCGGCGTCGACGTCGACGCGCGACGCACCTCTCGCGCTCCCGCGGCGTATCCTCCGAGCGCTGCGTGCGTCGCGCTGACGCGTGCGCGTGCGTGCGCTTCAACCCCGGACGCGGTCGCGGTCGCGCGCCGGTCGGAAGTGCCTCCGCGCCGTCGCTCCCGCGCGCCAATGTCAGCACCGGACGAGAACGCCGTTTTCAGACGCGCGGAAAATTAATTTCGTCGCTCGGAATTCTCGGTTCGGCGCGAGGGTTCAAAGGCAGGCGCTCGGTTTGAGACCGATCGAAACCGATCGACCGATCGAAACCGATCGACGCCCGCCGCGGTCAACTCGTTCCTTTCACCCGTCGCCGTCGCGTCTAAAAATGAGCACGCGAGGCGACAAGTTACACTTCGTTCGGTCTTACAGTAGTACACGTACACGCGCGCCGTCCCCCCGTCGTTCGTCGCCCCGCGCCGCTCTCTTCCCTCCCACCCCCGTCGTCACGTCGTCGTCGCGCGCCGCGCGTCACGCGCTCGACCGCTCGTTCATCACTCCGTCACCCCCGAGGCGCCGCGCGGGATGTCGTCGAGGTCGCCGAGCGAGTCCCACACCTCCGCCTCCCACCCCCACGCCCACCCCTCGCGCTCCCACGGCTCCATCCCGGTGGCGTCGTTCAGCGTATTCGCGAGGAGGTCGACGCGGTCCTGTTTGTCGTGCGCGACGTGATCGGCGGGAGAGGTGGCGGGAAGTGATGTGATTGGTCAGCGGGCGGCGGCGTCGACTCGGCGCGACGCGGACCGACGGAGAGGGACGAGGACGACGCGCGACCGACCGACGTATTCGTACGGGTGGCGGTCTAGTCCGCCGCTTGCCTTGAGCCCGACGGTGATCTCGCACGGGCCCTCCTGCTCCCACGGCTGTCCGTCCACGTGCATCGGCATCGGACGGTCCACCTGGAGTTGAAAGGCGTCAGGTGGAGTTGAAAGGCGTCAGAAGCGGAGTTGAAAGGCGTCGAGGTGTGTCGGGATTGAAAGCGAGGGACCCTGGGCGGAGAGATGCGACGGGAAATGTCCTTAAGGATCGGCGTGCACCACGCGAACGGGGTCGTATGGGGACCAGTGTGGTAATAGAACGCACCTTGAGAGTCACGCGCTTCGCCTGGCACAGACGCGCGGGGGTCGAGACGCCGAGGTTGAGCTGCCCGAGGTGCAACGCGCCGCGGACGACGACGACGTCGAGTCGGCCGTCGTCCGCGGCGGAGTCGCCAAACTCCCCGTGGTGGCGCTGCTGCTGCTGCTTCTTCTGACGTGGCGATATGTTATTGGTGGTTGGGAGGACGTCGCCGCCCGCCGACGCGTCCTTCTCTCCTCCGTCCGCGTCTGGCCCCATAACCATTCCTCCTCCGTCGCCCCGCAGCCCGCGCCACCACTCCTCCCACCATCCCCCCTCGGAAGCGCCCTCGCCCAACCGAAACCGCGGCCCGCGTTCCCACATCTTCACCCCTCCCGCGTACGAGTTGATGTTGAGGAGAATGACCCCTTCCGCGTCCCTCGGCAACGCGATCTCCTCGCCGTCCGCGACGAGGGTCACCTGAGGCGAGAGTTGAAAGGCGTCAGAAGCGGAGTTGAAAGGCGTCGAGGGCGGGCGCGTCGGGATTGAAAGCGAAGCGAGGGGTGGGGTGGGCGGAGAGAAACATGTGTACGCCGGGGTTAAAAGAAAGTCCTCAAGGAACGGCGTTCACGACGCCGACGGGGTCGTACTGTATGGGGACCAGTCTACCAACCTTGCGGTGGAGGTCGCCGCAGCTGCGCGTGAGGACGTCCTCCGCGCCCAAGACGCCGTAGAGCAGTTTGTTCGTGAGCGCGCTGACGAATAGAAACGGGCTGTGGTCTCGAAGCCTCGAGAACCGCAGCGCCGCGGCGGCGTCGACGCCGATGCCGAGGTAGTTGTGGAAGATGACCTCGCCGCTCGGTTTCCCGTCCGCGTCGCCGTTCGCGTTGACGCTCGGCTCGTACGACGCCTCTCTGCTCGCGCACGCCGCCTTGTGCGCGACGAGCGGCGAGAACTGAGGGTCGAGGGTCCATACGAGTGATGATATCGGGGTGGAGTTGAAAGGCGTCAGAAGCGGAGTTGAAAGGCGTCGCGCGAGGTGTGTCGGGATTGAAAGCGGGGGGTGATGGGCGGAGAGAAACACGCGCCGGGAAGAAAAGAAAATCCTTAAGGAACGGCGTTCACCACGCCGACGCGGTCGTATGGGGACCAGTGTGAGATGACAGAACGCACCTCGCTCTCCTCCGGCGTGAATCCGAACACCGCGCCCGCGTCGCGCGACCCGAAGAGCGGGCCCGCCGGGTTCCCCTTCTCCAACTCGCAGAACGGCCCCTTCGCGATCGTGTCGATGGTGACGCCCCAACGATCGAGCCGGGACGGCGTCGCGTCGCGCATCGCACCGGAGAGGTTTCTCACGAGCGCGTCGTGGTACTGAGGTGTCGTCGTTTGATTGGCGGGCGACGTGGGGGGAAGTGATGTGATTGGTTAGTTATGTGATGACCCGTGTGGAAGTTTCATTGGACGGGGTCGTACGGGGATCAGATGTCTCATCGACGGAGAACGCGCCTGGTCGCCCCATCCGAAGACGCGCGCGAGGTCGTTCCCGGTCCCGAGGGGAACGATCCCGACGTGCGGCTTGGCGGCGGCGTCGATCTCGCCGTCGCGCACGAGTTCCTCGAGCGCTTGCAGGACCCACGCGACGGTGCCGTCGCCGCCGCACGCCAAGACGCGAATCTCGTCGTTCTCCGCGTCCCTCTCCACGTTTTCGTCATTCTCATCATCATTCTCATCGTCGTTCTCGTCTTCGCGCCCGGTTCGCCTCCTCTTCTCCGCGGCGTCGCGTCCGCACCAGCGCGTCAGCGCGTCCTTCGGTCCCGCCACGTCATCCGCCGCGAGGTCGACGACCTCCACGCACGTCAGCTCGCCCACCTCCGCGCGCTCGCGCAAGATGGCGCGGACGCGATCCCCCTTCCGACCCCCGCTCTTGCCGTTGACGAAGACGAGGAGGCGCGCGCGCTGCCGCCGCGACGCCGACGACGCGGACGCGGACGCGGCGTCGTCGAGCCGCCGCGCGGACGTCGCGTCGTCGGCAGCCTCGATCGCGGAAACCCTCCCGGAGAATCGGTCGTCGCCGTGACCACCGCGACATCCGCGCCGCCGCCACCGCGCGGCGGCAGATCTCGTCGCGCTCGGCGCGACGAGGCCGCGGGCGCGGTGTTGGTGTCGTGACGAGGGCGACGACGAGGACGCGCGCGCGGGCATGGGGCGGATCGCGCGCATTCGCCCCTCTGCGCCGCCGCGGACGATCGCGGCGAGGCGGTGGACGGCGCATCGCGCGCTCGGCGCGGCGCGCGGCGCGGACGACATCGCTGTGATGGAGCGCGTCGGTCGCCTCGCGGCTGCGCGGGGGGCGATGACGCGCGCGCGTCGCGAAAAGCGCACGCAAAAGGCGGGAAGGTGCCGTGATGCAGAAAGAATCTCGGCGCCGCGTAGTACGCGCGAAAACTACTTCCTCACCACGAAACGCATACGACGGACGAGCGGGGGAAACGAGGAAATGAATCCCGCGGACGGATTCGCGCAAGGCGCGGGAGAATCCAGATCGATCTTCTTTTTCTTTTACAAATCGAGTCGCCGCCGCGGCGTCTCGTCTCGCGTCCATCCGTACCTCCACGTCGCTCCTAACTCGCGGGCGGCAACCCCGCGGCGAGCCGTCCAATCTCGTTCTCGCCGCCGCTCTCTCCCCCTCGAGCGTCCGCGCCGCGGTCGCGGTCGCCGCGCCCGCCTCCCTCGGACGCGCCTCTCTCGCCGGCGCCTCTCTCGCCGGCGTTGAGATTCGCGCGACCCGCGCTGAAATCGTTCCATCGTTCAAAGCGATGATGTCGGGGTGGAGTTCATAGGCGTCAGTGGCGGATTTGAAAGGCGTCGCGGTGTGTGTGTCGAGATTGAAACCGTGGGACCCTGGGCGGAGAGATGCGCCGCCGGGAAGAGAAGTCCTTAAGGATCGGCGTTCACCGCGCCGACGCGGTCGTACGGGAACCAGTGTGATGATGGATGAGAACGCGCCTGAAGTCATTCTCCAGCGCCCCCGTCTCAGCGAGCGCGTCGCGCATCGCCGTCAGCTCCCTCGCCTTGTTCACCATGCCGTTATCCTGGCACGCCCTAACGAGCAGCATGAACGTGATCTCCGTGGGTAAGATCCCGTCCTCGCTCTGCATGGCGTCGAACGTCGACAGACTCTCCTCGAGCCGATCCGCGCGGACCAACGCGCCGAGCAACGCGTTGTACACGGCGGCGTTCCTCGCCGCGCCCCACTTATTCCGCATCTGATCGACCAGCGCCTTGGCCTCCATCCATCGCCCTTGGCTCCCCAAGCAGTGCACGTACGCCCCGCACACGACCGTGTTCGGGGGTATCTTTGACGCGAGCATCAACGTCCAGATCTCGTCCGCTTCCTCGTGCTTCCCCCCTCGCTCCGCCGCGGAGACGAGATGCGTAAACGTGTACGAATCCGGCCTGAGGTGCGCGGCTTTCAGCTCCGCCAAAACAGCCGCCGCGCCGTCCCAGTCGCCGTTGCGCGCGTACCCCCCCAAGAGGCAGTTGTACGAGAACGTCGTCACGACGATCCGCGAGTCGCCGCCGCGCATGCGATCGAACTGCGCGCGCGCGTGCGCCATGTCCCCCGCGCGGCCCGCGACGGCGATGACGCTGTGATACAACTGCGAGTCGAACTCGACGTCGTAAACGTCGGAGAGCCGCTTCGCGATCGCGTTCGCCTCTCTCCACTGTCGCGCCGCGTCGAACGCCGTGAGCATCATCCCCGCGCACATCGCGTTCGGGGCGACGCCCTCCTCGTCGCGCATCGCGCGAAACACCTCCGCGGCTTCCTCCCACCGCGCGTTGTCTCTGAGGGTCGAGGGTCCGTACAAAGCGATGATGTCGGGGTGGAGTTCAAAGGCGTCAGAAGCGGAGTCGAAAGGCGTCGAGGTGTGTCGGGATTGAAACCGAGGTGTGATGGGCGGAGAGATGCGCCGGGGGATAATAAAGTCCTTAAGGATCGGCGTTCACCACGCAAACGGGGTCGTATGGGGACCAGTGTGAGATAGAACGCACCTGAGCACGGTGAGCATCGCGGTGTAGACGTACAGCGACCGCGGCTCGCCGGCTTCGCGCATGTCTCGCCACACCTGGAACGCGGCGGGCCAGTTCTCGCACCTCCCGAGCGCGATGATCGCCGCGCTGCCAACCTCGGAGTTGATCATCTCGTCCCCGTCGCGGTCTCGGTATGGTCGGTCTCTCGTTCCGCCGCTCGCGCCTGACCCGTGAATCTGAGCGAATCGGTACAAAGCGCCGCGCCAGGCTTTCGTGATGACCTTGGCGTGTCGCTTCTCGCTCGCGGCGCCGAAGAGCGAGACGAGCGTGTGCCGGTTCGGCGCGAAGTTCTTCATGACGCTCTTCCCTTTCCCGCCGTTAGGGTCGTTCTATACAAGCGAAAGTCGGGGTGGAGTTGAAAGGCGTCAGTTGGAGTTGAAAGGCGCCGAGGGCGGGTATTGAAAGGGAGGGGTGGGCGGAGAGATGCGCCGGGCAAAATCCTTAAGGATCGGCGTCCACATCGCCAACGCGGTCGTATGGGGACCAGTGTATAGAACGCACCTTAGCGTTCTCACCGCTTCGATTCTTTTTAGTCGTGCCTTGCATCGTCATCCAGAGATACAACGCGTGCGCGCGTTCAAAGTCGCCGCGTTCGCCGAGCTCTTTGATGGCGAAGTTCAACGTCGGGGCCGAAAATTTCACGGGGGACCCCCCGGGCATCGTCACCGCCTCGTCCACGGACTCGAACGCGCTCGTCCGCGACGCGGTCTCGGCCTCTTCCTCCGCCCTCGCGGCGTCCCACAGCGTGGGCGCCGCCGCGCCGGGGTAGTACGCGAAGTCCCCGAGGGAGTCGTGATCACTCGCCGCGACGTGATTGTGATCACTCGTCACATTCGCCCCGGACGCCCCCTCTCTTCCGTTACTCACTCCTCCTGAGGATAGCGCGATGTCGTTCACGCTCGCGCTCGGGAGCGCCTCCAGGGCCTGGACGATCCGCTCGCCCGCGCGCATTTTGGGGGCGCCGCCGCCGCCGGATCGATCCCCGCCGCCGCCGCCAGTTCGATCCCCGCCGAGCCCGGCGCCGGGCTGCTTGCGACGCTGTTGCGGTTGCTGCCCCGGGGACGACGTGTGCGCGTTGCTCCGCCATGTCGGCCGTTCATCCGGCGCCGGGGACCTCACGGACCTTTCGCCGCCGCCCTGCTTCTCCTTCTCTCTCTTCTCCCGCGCGGCGCGTTTCGACGCGTGCCGCCAGTCGACGTTCCCCCCCGGCCGCGTCGGTTCGCCGAGCCTCGGGCGATTATACCGCGGCTGCCTCTTAGACGACGGCCTGAGCTTCGGCGCCGCGCGCGCGCGTCCTCCTCCGCCTCCGCCGGCGGCGTCGCCCGCGTCGCCGCCCGCCGCTCGACGCGTCGACGCGTACCGCCGCCTCGCTTCTTCGGCCGAACGCGGCGCGCCGTGAGCGCCCGACGACGACGACGACGACGCGATGTCGTCGTCGTCGTCGTCGTCGCCCCGATTCGCGTACCGCCGCGCCGCGGCGACCCTCCGCGCGGTCGCTCTCTCCGCGCCCGCGCTCAGCGCCGCGGCGGCCGCCGCCGCGCGGTCCTTCTCCGGCGTCGTCGCCTCGCCGCCGCCGCCGCTCCCCGACGCGGACGCCGCCGCCGCGCGGACGGACGACCACGACCACGACCACGATGGCAAACGCGACGGACGGACCACCGCCGCCGCCGCGCGAGACGACGACGACGCCGTCGTCCGCGCGCGCGGGCGCGACGCCGCCGCCGCGACGCGCGACGCCGCGGCCGCGGGCGTCATCGCGGCGAAGGACGACATCGCGTCGCGCGTCCGCGTCGCGCGCGTCGGGCGTCCTTCGCGCGCGCCTCCGGGCGGCGGCGCGGTGCCCTCTCGCGAACGACGAGCGTACAGACGCGCGGAATTGCGCGTCCGTCGGTCCTCGCTCTCTCCGTCGCGCCGGGGTGGTGGGGGTCCTTCTCTCCCCTCGCGCTCGCCGCTCCCTTAACGCCGCGCGGTGCTCTCGCGCGGTGCGTCCGCGCGCGCCGGCGACGGTGCGAATGCCTCGGCGCTCAGACCGGGGCGATCTGCTTTCCGGCCGTCGTACGCGGCGCGGCGCTCTTCGGGTGAATTCTCGCCGTCGGATCCAGGAACGAGATCTACGACGAGATCTACGATTTCTATGAGCAAACAGTCTAAAAATGAATCCACCCCCATGATGTACGAAACGTACTTTCGAAAGTACTTTCGTACTTTCGTACTTGAAAGGAGAAAATTGAAAGAAGAAAATTTCGTTGACTGTGAGTTGCTTTCAAAATTTCAAAGAGTATTTCTACATGCCTTTCTCCACGAGCATGTTCGCGATGTCCGCCATTCGCGCACTGTACCCGTACTCGTTATCGTACCACACGTACAGCTGTACAGTGGAGTTGAAAGGCGTCAGGGGCGGAGTTGAAAGGCGTCGAGGTGTGTGCGTCGGGATTGAAACCGAAGGACCCTGGGCGGAGAGAAACATACGCCGGGAGAGAAAGTCCTTAAGGAATGAAGTTCACAACGCGAACGCGGTCGTACGGGGACCGGCGTGAAGACACTCGAACGCGCCTTGAGGTGCGTCCCGTCGACGACCATCGTGGACAACGCGTCCACGATCCCGCTCCGCGTGTCGTTAATATAGTCCGTGCTCACCAGCGGCTTCTCTTCGTACCCGAGCACGCCGCACATCTCGTTCGCGGCGGCGTCCTTGATGAGCGCGTTGACTTCCTCGCGCGTCGTGGCGCGTCCTACCTCGAAGACGCAATCCGTGAGCGACCTGAGAGGGCGGACGGACGGAGTTGAAAGGCGGGCGTCAGGGGTGGAGTCAGTCGAAAGGCGTCGTAGGTAGGGTCGAGCGTGCGTTGAAACAACCAGCGAGGGGTGGAGGACGGAGAGAAACGAACGAACGCCGGGGTTATTAGAGAAAGTCCTTAGCTAAGAAACGGCCTTCACGACGCCGACGGGGTCGTACGGTGTGGAAACCAGTCAGTGCGATGAGAGACATAGTAGAACGCACCCGTTCAACAGAGGCACGCGCACGGCGAGGCCGTTGAGCTTCCCTTTGAGCTCCGGGAAGATGAGCGCGATCGCGGTCGCGCTCCCCGTGGACGTCGGCGCGAGGATCATGAGACCCGACCGCGCCCTGCGCAGGTCGCTCTTCTTCGCGTTGGGGGCGTCCACGATGGTCTGATGAGGGTCGTTCCATACAAAAAATACAGTATGCATCGGTCAGTTGAAAGGGACCCACGCGATCAAGTGTTGAAACCGATGAGCTATGGGTGCTCCAAACGTTTGTGTCCGCGAAAGTCCTTAAGGATCGGCGTTCACCACGCCAACGGGGTCGTATGGGGACCAGTGTGATAACAGAACGCGCCTGCGTGTTGGTGACGTTGTGAATCGTCGTGATGCTTCCTCGGACGATCCCCAGCTTGCTCTGAATCACGTTCACGACGGGCGCGAGGCAGTTGGTCGTGCACGACGCCGCGGTCACGATGTGATCGACCGCGGGGTCGTACTTGTCGTGGTTGACGCCGTACACGATGTTGAGCACCGGGTCGGACGCGTCCTTCACGGGCGCGGAGACGAGCACTTTTTTGACGCCTGCGACGCGATCGTATTATTGGTCGAGAGGATCCACGCGTCAGGTATACGTACTTTTGATTGGTGGATATCAATCCCACGTGTCAAAGCGTGAGGTTCACAGAGCGCGAGTGAAAGTCCGTCCTTAAGGAACGGCGTCCACCGCGCGAACGAACGCGGTCGTATGTATGGGGACCGGTGCGACGAGGGAATACTGAATACCCACCTCGCGCGAAATACGGCGCCAGCTTCTCGCGCGTCAGAAACTCCCCCGAGCACTCCAGCACGAGCTCGACGCCGTGCGCCTCCCACGGCACGTCCCCCGGCGCGTCGTGCGCGGAGTACGAGATCTCGTGCGTCCCGTCCACGACGATGGCGTTCTTGCCCGCGTCGTACTCGCAGTCGTGCGTCCAGTGCCCGTGGACCGAATCGTATTTGGCCAGATACGCGCTGCTCTCTCCCGCGCCCGGGTGCTCGTTGATGTGGACGAACTCCAGCGCGGGGTTGTCGTACGCGAGGCGGAACGCGAGGCGGCCGATGCGGCCGAAGCCTGAGCGCGATGCGATGGATGTCGGGGGAGGAGGGGGCCGGCGGTGAATGGGGGTGAGGGCGGAGATGCGGGAGGGTGAGCGCGTGGACGAGGGAGGTGGACGAGGGGACGGCGCGGGCGATGAATGAAAGTTCATCGGGAGCCGGCCGCCGCATGTATGAGTGCCGTTTTATCCGAGAGATCGCGACGCCGAGGCGCGACGACGAGGCGAGGCGACGCGCGCGGCGCGGGGATCGATCGCGACGCGAGCGCACCGTTGATGCCCACTTTCACCATGACCGACGCGCGCGTTCGAGGACTGCGGCGAGGCGAGCGAGCGGTCGCGAGACGGATACGGCGGTCGCGACCAGACCTGACTCTGCTCGAAAGGAATATTCGTCGGGAATATTATCTGAATACGGTCTGTCGGCACCCCCTCCACGTAGCGAACGACGGCGACGCGCGCGCGCAGACGGCGCGGCGCGCGCGCACCTCGATGGCGAAACCGGCCGCCGCGGCGAGCGACGGCGGCGACGGAGCCGCCGCCGCCGCCGTGGAGACGACGACGGCCGCGACGACGACGCGCGGCGGCGGCGGCGACGGCGACATGCACGGCGCGCCGCAGCCGCTGTCCGCGCTCTGGCCGTTCATCATAATCTCCATCACCTACCTCCTCTTCACCGTGACCGACGGCGCCGTGCGAATGCTCGTCCTCCTCCACGCGTACACGAAAGGTTTCTCCGCGATGGAGGTCGCGATCATGTTCTCGCTGTACGAGCTCATGGGCGCGGGGACGAACCTCGCCGCGGGCGTGTGCGGCGCGCGATGGGGGATCCGCGCGACGCTGCTGAGCGGACTGACGCTTCAGGCGCGTTCGTTCGCATTCACACTGGTCCCCGTACGACCCCGTTGGCGTGGTGCACGCCGATCCTTAAGGACTTTGCCCGGCGCATCTCTCCGCCCATCCCTTGCGGTCAATCCCCGCCCGCGTTGCCTTTCAACTCCGCTTCTGACGCCTTTGAACTCCACCCCGACGTCATCGCTTCGAACGATGGACCCTCGACCCTCATCAGATCGCCGGCCTCGCGATGCTCTACGGATGGACGGACGACTTCAGCAAGCTCCACGCGATCATCTACGTCACGGCCGCGCAGGCGCTGTGCGGCGTCGCGAAGGACCTCACGAAGCTCGGGGGGAAGACGGTCACGAAGCTCGTCACCCCGAACGAGCGCCAGGGGACGCTCTTCAAGTGCGTCGACTGAGAGTCATCGTTCTTTCTGTTCACACCGGTTCCCATACGACCGCGTCGGCGTTGTGCTCGCCGTTTCTTAAGGACTTTCGCTCGGCGTTTCTCTCCGCCCAGGGTCCCTCGGTTTCAATCCAGAAAAAACACCCACCGCGACGCCTGCCTTTCGACTCCACCCCTGACGCCTTTCGACTCCGCCCCGACATAATAATACGTCGCCTCGCGTACTCACCCGCCCCGCGCTCGACCCTCTCTCATCAGACGCGTTGCCGGGCTCACGGGGTATAAAAACTCCCTCAAGGGCGTGGGATACTTCCTCGGCAGCGCTTTACTGACGTGGTCGTACGTCGGCGCGGTGAGCGTGATGATCGCGCTGATCGTCGTCGCGCTGCCGTTCGCGTGGTTCGGTCTGACGACGAAGCTCGGACGCGTATCGAAGAAAAACATCACGCTGCGCGCGGTGTTCGAGCAAACCGGAAACGTCAACGTCCTGTCGCTCGCGCGGCTGTTCCTCTTCGGCTCGCGCGACTTGTGGTTCGAGGTCCCGCTGCCGTATTACCTTCGAAGCGCGACGGGAATGGAGTGGCCGCGCCCCGCGGTGGGCGCGATGCTCGCCGGGTACATCATCCTCTACGGCCAAGTCCAAGCGTACGCGCCTCAGGCGCGTTCTAGTATCATCTCACACTGGTCCCCATACGACCGCGTCGGCGTGGTGAACGCCGATCCTTAAGGACTTTAGTATCTCCCCGCGGTCGTCTCTCTCCGCCCACCACGCCACGGTTTCAATCCCGACACACACACCGCGCGCGATGCCTTTCAACTCCGCTTCTGACGCCTTTGAACTCCGCCCCGACATCATCGCTTTGAACGATTGACCCTCGACCCTCAGCTCGTGCTCGGACCGCTGCGACAGTCGCCGCCGAATAAGCACGTGTGCGTCTTCTGGAACGCGGTCCTCCTCGCGTGCCCGGTGTTCATGGGGTCCGTGACGTTCAGCACCTTGTACGACACCCCCGGGGACGGCGACGGCGGGAAGGCGCGTTCTGATTCACACTGGTCCCCATACGACCCCGTTCGCGTGGTGAACGCCGATCCTTAGGGACTTTTGCCGTCGCATCTCTCCGCCCAGGGTCCCTCGGTTTCAATCCCGACACATCTCGGCGCCTTTCAACTCCGCTTCTGACGCCTTTGAACTCCACCCCGACATCATCGCTTTGTATGGAAGGTGTCCACGCTGTTGCTCGGCGTGGTCTCGTTCGCGATAATCTTCGCGATCAATTCGGCGGTGCACTCGTACCTCATCGTGAAGTACAGCGACGGGAACAAGGTCGCGATGAACGTCGGGTTTTATTACATGGCGAACGCGTTCGGGCGGCTGATCGGGACGATCGTCTCCGGCGCGCTGTACTCGTACGTCGGCGAGGATGAAAACGACGGCTTGGCAGCGTGTTTTCTGGCGTCTTCGTTTTTTGTCGTCGTCAGCGCCGTCGTGAGCGTGCGGTTGGACGACGACGTCGGCGGGTTCGTCTGCGGGCGTCTGTGCGGGGGGGCGGAGGAGGAGGAGGAGGGGGAGGGGGAGGGGGAGGGGGAGGGGGGCGGCGGGGACGTCGCGTTCGTGTGATGTATGCGTGAGGTTCTTAAGTTGTCAACCGCGTAGGATAGTCGAATAGGGATACCGTGTACACACGTACACGTAGTCCTGACAAAAAGCCCATACGAATACGGTACATGCGTGTGATGAGTCAAAAGAATGGAAGGCACGAAAGCCGAGCTCGTCGCGCGTTTCCCGGCATAAAGTATCGACGCGATGTTGTTCCCGTCGTCGCCCGCGCGGGGCGCGTCGTCCCCCGGCGACGGCGGCGGCGTGTTCGTCCCCCCGGAGCTCGAGAGCATGCTTCAGACGACGTCCCCGAAGACGGCGAAGCACGTCCTGTCCCGCGCGGCGTGCGACGCGCTCGCGGAGGTGCGTCGTCGTCGTCGCGTCGCGTCGCGAGAATTCTTTCGTTCGTTCCTTCGTTCATTCCTCTCCATTTCACTCGTCGTCGATCCCACCCCTCCGCGCTCGCTCACGCCCCACCCCTCCCCTCCTCGCGCGCAGCTGAACGACCGGCTGAACGACGCGCGCTCGATGCACGCGCGCGCGGAAGAGCGCGCGCGTCTGTTCCAGCTCGAGCGCGACCGCGCGGTCGCGGACCTCGAGACCTCGGAGCTGAAGTGGAGCGAGCTACACGACGCGGTCGTCCGCGAGATTCAGGCGCGTTCGTGATGTCATCTCATCACACTGGTCCCCGACGACCGCGTCGGCGTGGTGAACGCCGCTCCTTGAGGACTTTCTTTTCTTCCCGGCGTTCCTGTCGTCACTCTCCGCCCACCACGCCACGGTTTCAATCCCGACACGCCCACCTCGACGCCTTTCAACTCCGCTTCTGACGCCTTTCAACTCCACCCCGATATCATCATCGCTTCGTATGGGCAACGACCCTCATCAGTCTACGCACGCGGCGATGACCGCGGTGCGCGCGGAGCACCGCGCGATGGCGGAGGCGCTGCGCGACGCGCGGACGCATTCCGCGACGGGGATGACGCTGGAGGAGCTGGCGAAGGCGCTGGAGGAGGCGAACGCCGCGAACGCGGCGTCGGAGGTGGCTTTGCAACGCGCGAAGCGAAATCTGGAGACGGAGCATCGGAAGGGCGTCGAGGCGGCGGCGAAGTTGCTGAGGCGCGTTCGTTCGTTGTGTTACCACACTGGTCCCCACGACCGCGTCGGCGTTGTGAACGTCGTTCCTTGAGGACTTTCCTTTCTCTCCCGGCGCGCGCGCGTCTCTCTCCGCCCGCCGCCCATCGGCGCTTTCATCGATCCCGCGACGCCTTTCGACTCCGCCCCCGACGCACGTCTGACGCCTCGCGAGGACCCCCCTCCCGTCGACCCTCCTCCAGCGAGGACGAACGGACGACGATGCGCGGGAACGACACCGCGCGCGCGACGGTCGCGGCGATGAAGGAGGCTGGGACGTGGGACGTCGCGTACGCGACGTTGAAGCGGGAGCTGGACGAGACGCGCGTCGCGCGCGCCGCAGGCGCGTTCGAGTCACACTGGTTCCCATACGACCGCGTTGGCGTGGTGAACGCCGATCCTTAAGGACTTTGCCCGGCGCATCTCTCCGCCCAGGGTCCCTCGGTTTCAATCCCCGCCCGCGACGCCTTTCAACTCCACCTGACGCCTTTCAACTCCACCCCGACTTTCGCAGCGGAGGAGCGCGCGGATCGATTAGAGACCGAGCTCGAGGCGTCGAGGAAGAGGGAGGCTGAGGCTTCCGCGGCGGCGGCAGGGGGATTAAAAGGCATTTTCGGCGGCGGCGGCGGAGGGATGCGAGGAGTTGGCACGCCGGTCAAAAGCGCTGCTCTGGCGGTCGTAAAAACCGGGACGACGCCCGGGACGGAGGCGCCCGGGACCCCGGCTGCGCCAAACTTTTCTTCTCAGGCTCCTCTCGCCCCCGCCGCTGACGCCGCCGCGGAGTGGGAAGCCGCGGTCGTCCGCGCGCGGAGAGAGACCGCGGACGCGCGCGAAGCTCTGTCGCGCGCCAACACCGCGCGCGAGGTGGCGGAAGCGCGCGCGATCGAAGCGGAGGCGACGACCGCGAAGCTCATGGCGATGAACGGTAACTTGCTGGATCACGTACGGTTCTATACACTGGTCCCCATACAACCCCGTCCGCGTGGTGAACGCCGATCCTTAAGGACCTTTACCGTCGTTTCTCTCCGCCCACGCCACGGTTTCAATCCCGAAACACCTCGGCGCCTTTCAACGCCGCTTCTGACGCCTTTCAACTCCACCCCGACGTTCGCTTTCAGTACCGCGCGGCGTTGGAGGGACGCGGCGACGGCGGCGGCGGCGGCGGCGGCGGCGGCGGCGGCAGCGGCGCGGCGGCGGCGGCGCTCGGGGGACCCGAGCCCCTGCCCGGCCCGGGACCGGGGGCGTCCTCCGCGGAGACGACGACGACGACGACGACGAGGGACGCGGACGCGGACGCGGGCGGTCGTCGTCGACTCGAACTCGCGTCGTCGACGACGGCGTCTCGCGGCGGCGGCGGCGGCGGGGGCGACCCGCGGTCGACGCTCGGGGGGTTTGACGACGGCGGCGGGGCGGTGTATCAACCGCCGCGGTCGTCGGGCGGACGCCGCGTCGGGGGCGCGTCGGCGCCGCTCGCGCCGCCGCTCCGCGTGCACGCGCCGCAGCAGCAGCGGCGGCCCGCGAGCTCGGTCGCGCCGCCGCTGACGACGACGACGCGGACAGGGTCTTCGCGTCTCTCGAGCGTCTCTCGGGTTTGGAGAGGAGGAGGAGGGAGACTGGTCGCGGCGGCGGCGGCGGCGGCCCCCCCGGCGCGGGGTCGCCTCCCCGGGGCCCGCGCCGGACCGCGCCCGTCGACGTCGAACCGACCGACGACGACGAAGTCCTTAAGGAACGGCGTTCACCACGCGAACGCGGTCGTATGGGAACCAGTCACGACGACGACGAAGACGAGCGACGTCGCCGCGGACGACGTCGCGAGGTCGTTAGAGCGCGAGATGCACGCCATGCGCGCGGAGTACGACGCGCTGTTGCGACGGATGGGCGGCGGGGACGGCGGGGACGTCGACGTCGCCGCGGCGGCGACGCATCCGAAGGAATGGGCCGACGCCGCGACGAGAGCCGCGGTGCTCGCGGAGCGCATGGAGGCGAAGGGCGCGCAGATCCTGCAGCTCGCGAGGAGCACCGGGCGGGGGTTGGGGGCGTTAGCGCCGCGGTAGAAAAGGAGTAGCTTAATAGCGTAGAGCAGGAAACCCGATGTCATGGCGCGCGTCGCCGACGTTTTCGCCGATTTCTACCGACGCTGCGCTCGAAAAGGTGCACTGAACGCGCGTCTGATCGTAAAAACCCGAAGTCGATGGGTCAGATGGCGACAGACAAGATGACGCGCGCGTTCGCCGCCGCGCGCGCGCCGCCGCCGTCGCTCGCGCGATGGCGTCGCGCTACCTCCCGCGCGAACGCGCACGACGCGTCGCGCGCGCGTCGCGTCGCCGCCGCCGCCGCGATCGTCGTCTCCTCCGACCCTCCCCCCCCGACAGATCCGCCGTCGTCGTCGGAACCATCGGGGGCCCATCGCGATAATGACGCGTCTCGCGCGTCTCGCGCGACCGCGGCGCCGCCGCCGTCGCCGCGCCGACGCATTGCGCCCGGCGGCGCGAAGCGCGGGGACAACGCGCAGCGCGACGAGTGGGCGGACGCGGTCGTGTCGTCGCACTCCGGCGGCCGCGTCTCCAAGCGCGCGTTCGAGGCGCACCTGGGCGCGGTCGCGGACCTCGCGCTGTCCGACGTGGCGGTGGTTCTCGTCGGCACGAAAAAGGTAAGGTGCCTCCTGTCATCCCCACACTGGCCCCCGCGACCGCGTTCGCGTGCTGAACGCCGTTTCTTAAGGCGTTATTTCGCTCGCGCGCTGCGAACCTCACGTTTTGACACGTGGCAACGCTATCCACCAATCGCGTTCACGCGCGACTGACTGACATGACACGCGGATCCACCCTCACCAAACGAACCGAACGAAGGCTGGCAACGTCGGCGCGATCGCGCGCGCGTGCGGCGCGTTCGAATGCGAAGACTTACGGCTCGTCGCGCCGCGCGCGGATCCGTACACGCGCGCGTCGCTGAGCGCGGCGAAGGGCGCGCAGCACATCGTGCACGGCGCGGGGGTGTACGACGACGTGGAGGACGCGCTGAGAGGGTGCGACGCGGCCATCGCGTTTCATCGATGGCACGAGGGGTGCGCGCCTCGGGTGCGTTCATATTTACACTGGTCCCCATACGACCCCGTTTGCGTTGTGAACGCCGTTCCTTAAGGACTCTGCCCGGCGCATCTCTCCGCCTGCCCCTCGCTTTCAATCCCCGACCGCGATGCCTTTCAACTCCACCCCTGACGCCTTTCAACTCCACCCCGACGTTCGCTCGTATGGAACGACCCTCAGGCTGTGACGGACGTCGCGGAGCTCTTGCGGTCGTTCCCGGGGGATTCGGGTGGTACCGGCGGCAGCGCGGCGGGGAGTGGTGATGATGGTGGTGAGAGTACACTATCATCGCGTCGTAACGCATCCGAAGAGGGCGTTACTCCCCCGGAAGCGGTAGAAGAGTGGGATTGGTCGTCGCCGGCGCAAGTCGCGAAGGACGCCGCCGCCGCCGCCGCCGCCGCCGCATTCCTCGAAGGATTAGAAACGCCCGAGGACAAGGCGTTATCACACGCCGAGCGCGAGCGCCGGGAGCACGGATGGCGCCGGCGACGCCACGCGACTCCGCCGAGGAACCGCGCCGGACGCGGAAGGAAACGCCTCGCGCTCGTCTTCGGTCGCGAGGTCGAGGGGCTCTTCGACGACGAGGTGAATCAGGCGCGTTCACGTCCACACTGGGCCCCATACGACCGCGTTCGCGCGGTGCACGCCGATCCTTGAGGACTTTTGCGGACGTCTCTCTCCGCCCAGGGTACCTCGATGGTTTCAATCCCGACACACCCACCTCGACGCCTTTCAACTCCGCTTCTGACGCCTTTCAACTTCACCCCGACGTCGACTCGCGCGCGGCCGACGACCCGCAGTGCGACGCGGTGTGTTCGATACCGACCGGTCGGTTGATCGAGTCGCTGTCGGTGTCGCACGCCGCGGTGATCATCCTGTCGCAGTACTACCAGGCCAGGGTCGGCGGCGGCGGCGGCGGCGTGGCGTAGGGCTGACTCGGCCGCGAGCTGGAGAGTCGCGCGGTGGAGAACCGAACCAAAAAATTAATCCACTCGAGAAAAAAATATTATTTCGACGATCCTTGTCTCTTTCTTCGCGTCACTTCCGGAACCGCGCGCGTCCTCCCGCCAGCGCGGTTCGCGGGGAGCATGCGCGCGGCGGCGGCGTCGAGCCTCGCGGCGCGCGCGGGCGGCGGCGTCGAGCCTCGCGGCGCGCGCGGGCGTCGGCGTCGAGCCTCGCGCGCGCGGCGCGACGTCGCGTCGGAGTCCGTCGACGGACGCGCGTCGTCGTCGTCTTCCGGATATCCAGATCTCATCCTCCTCCTCGCGCGCGTCTCATCGTCGTCGTCGTCGTCGCTCCGGGCGCGACGCGCGGGCGGCGG